AAGCTAAAAGGAAGGAAGAAAGAAATACGCTGAATATGATTCCAAAAAAAGCATGTTATTAATCAATATATAATATACAATGTATTTGTGGTTATGATTATGTACACGCACATATAGTTTGTCTCAGGGTCGACGCAAGAGAAAGCCTCCTACCGATTACACCTCCCTGGAAACCATCAAAACATTCACCCAAACCTCCACCATCCCATCCCTCCACTCCTCCCGCACACCCGGCATCACCGCTGTTGATGTTGATGTCACCGGTAAGCTTATCCTCACCGGTGGTAACGACAAAAAGGTCCAGGTCTACAACCGCGACGAAGAAAAGGTTGTTGTGGACTTACCAGGTCACACCAAGAAGGTCACCTCGGTTAAGTTCAGAGGACAGGATGTGGAAAAGGATGTGTTTGTCTCGGCTAGTGCCGACAAGCACGTGCGTGTCTGGACAGAAGGAGGAGCCAAGGGCTACCACACTGCCCACAACATTTCTGCACACACTGCAGATGTCACTGCTCTTGCTATTCACCCTAGCAAGGACTACTTTGTCAGTGCTGGTTTGGATAACAAGTGGGCCTTTTATGACTTTGAGAACGGCAAGTCCTTTATTGAAGCCATTGACACCGAGACCGAAGCTGGTGAGTTACATTATCTCTTTTGTTAAAGAAAGAGAGAGAGGGGGGGGGGGGGGGAATGTGTACAAGTTAAAGTCGAGAAGAATTAGTCTCTTTACTCCTTTCCTTCTACGAAAAAAAAAAACACACACACAGACAGAAAATATAGGAATATATAATACGTAGATATGCATGAATTTATTTTACTCATAATTTCTGCCATTATTATTGTTGTTTTGACCTGTGCTGCACTTAGGTTACACTGCACTTGACTTCCATCCTGATGGTATGATCCTTGGTGCTGGTACTGGTGACTCGGTTGTTCGCATTTGGGATGTCAAGTCTCAAACTGTTGCTGCAAGCTTCAGTGGCCACACTGGAAAGATTAGTGCTCTTGCTTTCTCTGAGAACGGGTAAAGAAACTATTCATATACACTCACACATATCTACATGCATAATATGTACAAGGGAAAAGATCGAGGGGGGGGGGGAAGAAGTTTTGAGTGACCTGACTAATTGATTGAATGGGTTTAATTGTGTTTATTAGTTATATCCTTGCTACTGCTTCCGAGGATAACCTTGTCAAGATTTGGGATTTGCGCAAGTTGGCCAACACAAAGACCTTTACTCTCGATGAGGGTTACAAGGTCCAGTCTCTCTCGTTCGACAACTACGGCCAGTACTTGGCCATTGGTGGTACTGATGTGAGAATTCTCAAGGCTAAGGACGGATCTCCCATTACCACATTCACAGACAACACTGCAGAAGTTACTGGCTTAAAATGGGCACCCGGAGCTGACAGCCTTTTGGCTGCAGGTTTGGACCGTACAATCCGTTACTTTGGGGCATAAAAACATTACTATTATTATTATATATACACATATATATATTATATAAAAAAAACAAGAATACGCAAAACCAGACCTGACCCGAACTGACCTGACCTAACATGACATGACATGACATGACATGGCATGGCATGATATAGCCAAATCAAATCAAATCAAAGCTTTTCATATGTGTATATGTATGACAGTCCATCTATCTATTTTCTCTCATTCTTTCTCTTTTTCTATCACCTTTTTTTTTTATACATTTTTGGTATAATTATCTCATCTAACTTCACAGCTTGTTATCTCACTATTTTTGTGCGTGTATTTCTTGTGCACAGTTTATTTATTTTTTGTACTTTGTGTACGTGTGTGAATATATAAAATAGTAAGAGCATCCCCAGCAGTTCGCTTTATTTTATTTTACCAAGCAATTAAAGTTAACAAGGATTTGAAATTGACTGCTGAAAAAAGCTCTCACAAAAGAAAAAGAAAAAGAAAAAGAAAAAGGCTAAGCGCACAAGAAAAGAAAATAGAAAATAACAGTGCCACCATGGAGTATAGGATCAGAAAGGGAATTTAAAATATATATAAAAATAAAAAGAAGAATAAAAAGAAAAACTAGATGTGCTGAAGAGAGGGCTTTTTGCCGCCAATCGATATAGAGTTATCGACATTGTACGTCTGATAAAGTCCAATCAATGATACCAATGCAAGCAAATAATAAACGAGATGTTGGTCAAATGGGAACACATTGGTAGGACGTAGTGATATGGCCCAAAGAGTACCACCCAAAGCAGGTGCTATTTAAAATATTTAAAAATATATATATATATATAAATATAAAAGTGGTTAGTAACCTAATCCACAATAGTATGTAATTCATGATCTTTTTCTTTTACTATATTAATTAAAGACATATATACATAATTGTATGTGCGTGTGCGTGTGCGTGTGCGTGTGTGTGTGTGTGTGTTTTTGTACTTTACCTAATGCTCGTACCAAGGAAAGAGCCGTTTGACACACGCTGAATGGCAGAAATAGGAATAGGTATGGGTAAATATATTCGCGTTACAATTATATAATAATAATAATAATAATAGTAGTAAACTTACCCATTGACCGTGCCGATGATTTCGGGATCTGCAGAGTTGCTCACCTATATACAAATTACAAAAGTACACAAGGTAAATAAGAGAAAGAGAGAGAAATAGAATTGTACGAATTAAGGGTGGATCGTTCCAATTCTGTGTACCGATAACACTCGCGCACACAGCATAAAAGAAATGAAAGAAATGAAAGTAATGAAAGAAAAATAGCTCACCAAAACCATATAGCTAACGTGAGACGTTGTGGACCCCGTGTATCGAATGAACAACAATACCATAAATGATATATAAAACGCCCATTGCCACATATTCTCGTTCTCCGTGTGGCTAAACATCCACACTTTGAGGGGTGAAAGTTCAGGGAAGATCATATAGATTGGGACGAATACTATCAATGCCAACCGAGCGCATGTGAGGGTCGAGTACGCCCTGTTCAACATCGGGTAGACAATAAACTGGGAAAATGTCTGCTGGATACCACAGATTGCAAATATTTTTGCGATTTCTTGAGGATCCATGCCAAGGCCGCCTGCGGACAGTGGTGTGGAATAAAAGAGAGGAATGACCTCTTCAAAGGCCATACATTGGAATCCCCATAGCCTAATGTGTCTGTTAGTAATACAGTACTACAATAAAAAAATAAAGAGAACTAACGTATAACAAACAATGGCAGCATAGGACTGTCGAGTGATACGTGAGAGAGAACTGCCCTGAGCCTTTGCTGTGACCATTTCTTCCTCTGATGCGATTGATAAAGAATTTGATTTGATTGGAGATCCGCCGTCATAAAATGTTTGTTTGGATGTTCCCAACAATTTCGTTTGCTCGTCAGCAACATTGGGTGTCTTTTGATCGTCCTTAAGCTTTTGATCGTTGTATTTTCTAGCCAGAACAGATGGGTTTGACTCCTTGAGGTAAAAGTAGCCAATAATCCATCCTGACAAGGTAAACAATGCCGAAACAATGCAAGGTAAAAGATAAGGATAATACTTGAAGAATTCGGAATCGCCAAATAAACTCGGGAATTGCTCCACTGGATTACAAAGAAAACCACCTGAGATACATGTGTAGATATACAAATACAAATACAAATACAAATATTAGCACATGAAATACATATAAGAAATATCCCAACAATAGATTAGGTTCTGCTTGTATTTTCAATATGTTTTGGTAGATTTAATAGATATACTTTACCAAGAGCTGGACCTGTTTACAGAAGAACGGAAATTAAGATCAAAAAGAAAAATTGAATAATTAATATCGTTATTTAGCAAAGAAAAAGAAAAAATCAAGGGCACATCAATACATTTACTTACCAACTAGAAATTTTTTTATAAAAAAAATAATTAATACACGTAAAAAGGAGTAGGAAGAGGAGGACGATGATTATGAAGAGTGAGGAGAAGGTTAGCGATGCAAGTCAAAGCTTTTGGTACACAATGCACTGATGTCTCACCAATTAAACCAATGCCCCAGCAGAAACCAAAGATTGAAAAGGCAAAAGGTCGATTTGTTTCGTCTGTGATTTCTGCCAACATGCTTCTGGCCACAGCAGTATTTCCTGTCCAAACAAACGCATGAACAATCTGCGAAGTACACATATATAGATAGATAGATAGATAGATAGATAAAGCTTACCATTCATTATACCACAGATAGCGCGAGAGGCAATAGCCCACCAGAGATTTTTGCTCAGACCAAATGCAAATGTAGACACGGCGTTTCCGATAAGCCCGGTAAGTAATACAGGTCTTCTTCCATGTTGATCAGAGCATCTTCCCCAGGGGATTGCACTGAATAGCTGGCCAATGAAAAAGATTGAGGCTAGAATGATAATGATTATTATACATGATATTTACTCCTTTAAAAAATTATCTATAATTTATGTATAGAAAATGAAGTGGAAATTATTATACAACTTACTGATCCACCCTGCATAACTTCCAATCACCATTTCATCGTCAGACAAATGAAAGTCTTTGATCTAAGTAATAAAAATAAAAATAAAAATAAAAATTACAAGAATTTAATAACCAGCTGAATTAATAGTACGGGTTGACATTTTGTATATTTGTGACACACAAGTTTCATTTATATTATTGTTACTAATATTAATATTAATATTTCTGTTGTTGATGTTGTTAATTAGTTACCATGAAATAGATAAAAGGAAACAATATGGCTGAAGTCATTGGTTCACTGATTAGGATAATCGTAAGAATAAGCATTTGCATTTTTGGCAATGGTGTATATTCAGGTTCGAGGGGCAGACTCTTTCCATTTCCAAATACGGTTGCGTTATCTGTTGAGGACTGGACGCTATCTGTGTCGCTATTGGATCCATCTGACTGGGGCTCGGTGTGGGCCGCGGCTATATATTTCACACACAAACCACACATTAGACTTATTAATTCTACTCTCTGACGAATATCCTTTTGGTATATTACGATTCTGATGGTCAGGATTGTTTGTTTGGTGAGATATATCAGTATTCATAGCTGACATGTCTTTATCAATATTCTTATGGATTTCTGTATACTGATTCTCGGTAAAAGCAGACAATCAGACAGGCAAGTGAGCAGGTTATATGAGAAGAGGGAGGGAAGGTATAGATTGAGTAGCAAGAAGATAAGAGACAAAATAATAATTGAAGAGAAAAGGATAGCAAAAGAATGAAAGAGTAAGATATCAATATATAGTAAATAAAAAAGAAATATAAAGTTGAATGTTTAGAGCAGTCTTGGATATACTGTTTAAGGGTACGATTGATGTTGAGTTCGATTATTGGTATTAATATTGTTATCCTGCGACTTGCTTTTATTTTATTTTATTTTATTTATTTATTTATTTATTTCCCCTCTTTCTTCATATTTATATATATACATACAGCTTTGCTTCCGTTTTACTATGGAATAGAGGGGGAGGGGGTTAACTAGATTTGAATATCTTACAACAAACACAAGCACAAGCACAAGCATAAATACAAACACAAACACCAGTACAAAAAATAAACACAAAAATGCATACAAAAAAAAATACATAAATAATGATTCATTTTGTAGGTACAATATACATATCCTTGTAACCATAGCAAAGTATTTCTTTTTCTTTTTGTGCTGCTAATTGTATTCGTATTATTTTGTCATGAGAATCGAAACATATATTAAGTGATGTTCAATCGATAAACGTTCATTGTGCATTGCCAAGCCTTCGGATTAATAATTTATATTTATTTATTAGTATTAAATAGCGTTGCATATGTCCGTGATATTTGAGATTACTGTTATGCTTTTTTTTTTTTTGTTCAAAACAGATAATTTGCCCTTTTTATTGTTATTATTATACTATTCCTTTCTCCAATCAAACATGCCCTTTTGCATGCATGTTTCTGTTCGCGGAGACCCACATAAGAAAGACATACTATGATCTTAATATTATATTTATATTTATATTTATCTTTATTATTTCTATTTCTACTATTAAGAATGCATACCTGTCAAAACCAGAAACAAATGATAAATATTAAAAACAAACAATAAAAATAAAAATGATCCAAGTTACGCCTTTACTTTGCTTTATTTTTAAAAGAATAGTTTATGCTTTGGCGTTTATTTATTTACATAAAAAAAGGGGGGGAGAAGATGTGGAAGGTATCAAGAACTTGAGAGCAAGAGATATAAAAAAAAATGGTGAAAAAGACAATACAATATTAGTCTTTTTTAAATATGTATGTGTAATTGTGTGAGTGTGTAAAAGTGCAAATTCTGTATACTGAATGTAAAAATAAAACTAAAATAGAAAATAAGAATAATAGTGATAGTAGTGGTGGTAGTAGTAGTAGTAATAATAATAGTAATAGTAATGGCAATGGTAATGATAATGGTAATGTTAATAGAAATGGTAATAATAGTGAGATATATATATATATATAATAGAAAGAAAGTAAAAGAAAAAAGAAGAAAAGAAACGGGGAGCAGAAAAGTACTGCCTTTTAGCACATCTAATGCGGGTAAGATAAAGATGTGTCAAGGCCTTATTTAAACATGATAACCTTCCATTGGTGTCATCACGTCTGGCGTATCTGCAGTTCCGGTAGGTGAAACACACACCACAGGGACTAAATCATTTTTTTGGTCAAAAAGTACTCCTAAGCAAAATTCATCTTTAGACTTGAAATCAAATTGGCTGTGCGTATCTATTGTCGTGTTTGTCAAATGTGCTGACAGGTCTCTGTTCATCCGGAAGCTGTTTATTCTATCTTGTCCAAACAAAGACCTCAACTTATGATCGCATAGAATAAATCTACGATCCACAGGGTCTTGTAACTCGTTACTCTTTATATAGAACCACAGTTTCTTTACAATTTCTGGTCTGGAAAGCTACACATTATATATACAGACAAACATAAAACTCAATACAAGAAAAAAAACAGAAATGTAAAGAAGCAATACGTGTTGCAACAACAGCAACAACAGCAACAACAAACAACAACATTGCTTTGCATTATTATTTGTCTTACCTCGGTGTCACCACCAAGCACAGCCGACAGGGCCGGGCTTGGAATCAATGGTTTATTGAGTCCTGTTTTTCGCTTTGGTTTGGGAGGCGCATTTGCGTCTTCAGGATCCTTTGGCTTTGGCTTTCGCTTGACTCGAGGCTTCTTTGGCTTTACTTTAGGATCAACACTTGTAGTGCCATCCTCGGTCTTTCTTTTATAAGCTCTCTTTGTGCGTGGGGGATCGTGGGAAGTATCGATGACGTGCGACGGAGAACGGGGTGTTGGGTAGGGTGATGGGCTGTGCGCTGTGTGTGGACTGTTCTGCATCATGTACGGACTGTACATGTGTCCGGTAACTGAAGGCGACCGACCCATGTCTAAGCTTGTCAAGGCTGAAAAGGGCTGAGTCACAGGGTAATCTTGTATAGCTGCACAAGGATTATAAAACGGATAGTCAACCATCGTTTGGGATTCAACTGTGCAATGCGGTGAAGTGTATTCCACCCGACGTTGAAATACATGACTTTCTGGTGTGTGCGCACCTATTGAATCGGCTGAGTAGACAAGAGATGCATTTTGAGGCTGATTATCGTCAAATACAGGGTCGGTGAATTGGGGGATCTGGTAGCTGCATTTCGACATATGGTGGGTTGGTACGTTTTCTGGATGGGAGAACATTTGATCCATGAATTGCGACTGAGACTGCGGCTGTGATTGTAGTTGCGATTGTAGTTGTGGTTGTGGTTGTGATTGTGATTGTGGTTGTGGTTGTGGTTGTGGTTGTGGTTGTGGTTGTGGCTGTGTATTTGTGCTTAGGTTTATGTTTATGTTTGTATTTGTATGTTCAATAGTTCGCATCTGTTGCTCCAATGAATTGGATACCACTAGATCGTCAAAACTAAATTTCTCAAACTGCTGGTAAGGGTTGAGATTAAGAGATTCGTCTAGGAACCCAGGACCGACGGCTTCTCCACAAGTGACCGCGGTTGAAGGAGTCTGGGCATGAGTCTGGGCATGAGTTTGGGCATAGTGGGTGGGTATAGTAGACTCGTAGGCTGTTGCAGACATGTTCGATCGGCTTCTCTGGCATTCTGGTAGGTAATAGCCTACACCTTTCACGCACCAAATTTCGCCATTATATTCAAACGAACTATGGCTTGGTACAGTACGTGTTTGTAGATCTTTTATCGGAACTTGATTAGTGTAAGAGTTTGTTTGTGTTTTGGTGATGTATATAAAGTTATTTATGTATTTATGTATGTATGTATGTGCTTGCGTATATATTTATTTTGGATACTATGTTAAGCTTTTGAATAGATCAACAGGCTTACCGCTCAAGGGTACATCAGACACCACAGAATTCATCGTGCTTCTTTGAGATGTGTAAAATATTGGTATTGAATAAATCAAGAAAGAAGAGGGTGAAAGTGAATGTGAAGGTGAATATGAATATGAATGTAAGACAACGTCTTTGCTTTTTGCTTTGTTTTTGCTTTTCTTCTTATTCTTATTCTTTATTTCTTTATTATTATTATGTTTGCTTGCTTATTTGTTTGTTCAAGAAGTATATTTAAAAAACTAAAACGTTTTTTCTTATTCTTCTTCTTCTTCTTCTCAAGTTTCACAAAATGACTTGTGAAGGGGAAGCCTGTGTGTATTGGTAGGACAAGTATTTTAGATACACAGTAGTACAAGATATAGATGAAAGAGAGGAAAAGCAGTAAGTTGAGCACGGAGGAAAGGAAAAAAAAAGAGAGAGAGAGAAAGAAAAAATATATGAAAAAATAAAGGGTTGAAGCTTATGATGTGTACAATACCCATGTATTATAATCCAAGCGTGACCTTTGGATTGCTTTGGTCTTGGAAATACAGGACTCTCTTTTTCTCTTTTAAGAGGTCGATCCCACTGACCTGAGCCGTTATACAACCCAATTCAATCCAACCCAATTCAATTCAACCCAATTCAATTCAATTCAATTCAATTCAATCTAAATAATACTTTATCTTGATTAGTTAATTCACTCTGTATTTCTATTGAAATCTAAAGCTTCTGCTTGACGAAACAAAACTCTATTTTACACACTTGTCTTTATTTGCCATATGTATCTTTATATATATCTTTTTTTTTTGGTTTATGAACCTCTTTGAGCGGGGATCCTATATTTGGTTGCACTTGAAATATTCTGGCGTCACCACACTCTCTCCCTTTCTCCTATCAGAACATGCCTGCCATAAGCTTGGTTCCTGGTCTCGAATGATCTTTTTGGATATTAATTCGGGTCAGATCGACAGTTGCAAAACCCCCAATCTTGATTTATATTCTTATTAAAGCCCTGTGTGTCATCTTGGCTGTCCGAATCAATGACAAAATAGACGGCACAGGCCGTTAATCACCTTTGCCGGCACGGGGTACAACATCAAATCAATCTGAACTATACCTTGTTTGGGTATTGCAGACGTGTACCTTAACACCTCCTTCATGGAGACATAAGAAATTCCTTTATATATATATATATATATATATATCTTGACTATTAGTATTATTATCTTATATATACATATATACAAAATAAGTCTGCCAAATTCATTTTATGTTTGACGCCAGGCGAAGATGGTTGTCTTGAATATCCCACCAGAAGAAATAAACAATTAACTAATACACCACTATGATAAAGGATACATCTCTCAACTCTCTTATGCATAAGCAGTATATTTTCTTCTTCTTTCTTCTTCTTCTTCTTTCTCTTTCGTCACCTTGTTTAAAAAAAACCATCAGTGAATATTCTAATTTGATACTTTTACTTAAAGTCTATTGATGTTTACATAATAAAAACTACTTTATAATATTTTAATCGCAGGATTGATTCAAATATATATAAATAACAATCAGTGCTAATCTAAATAAATAAAAAAAAATACATGGTAAAATGAATGCAAACTTTTTTTTCCCTTAATGAATCAACAAGAAGATGGAATCAAATCAAGCTTATGTTTGAATATAGTAAGATTTCTTTAATAATATATATATATATATATACTTGAACTAACGACAGAAATTTATCATATACACATACTTACATAAGACAAGGGTGAAAAAGGTGTAGATCAATTAATATTTATCAAGACGAGCAATAGTTGGTAAACGTTCAAGATCTTGTGTATGTATCTGCCGTCATTAAATACCACGTATAGTACAGCTAGAATAAAAGGACCTAGATATTGCAAACAAAGAAAAAGAAACCTCAGCAAAAATCCAAGGCATGTGCCTCAAGTTAAGTTTTTTATTTGTTTTGAAGTACAAGGACATCAAGGTCCGTTGGTTCAACATTACCTAAAAAGCTCGAGTGCTCATGGTTTAATACACATTCGCTCTTGATTGGCAGAAATATTAGACTGAAGGCTATTATGTCCACTCTTTAGAATAATGCTTGTTTGACAGTTGTTGAAATAGCTATCTTTCTATTTATAATAAACAAGTAAAAGATAACAATAATGATCATAGCACTAATCCAACACCAGCATTTTTGTATAAACACTAGGCAAAATCCAAACCCAAGATTGGTCTGGTAAAACCCTCTTCTTGATCTATTGAAAAAGTCGGTCATTCTTGTATAGGATATGAAGTGTTTGGAATCAATAAAATAAGGAAGGAAAACTAATCTGGTGCTACTTTATTTAATTCGTATTCTAGATCCTTGTAGAAATTCGTAGGCTATCTAAGCACTCTTTAGTCCTTTTAAATCATTGCGTTAACCATGTGAGTCACTTGTATGAAACATTGTTTTGATCAAAGATACCAAAGACTAGATCTGGCTCTTATCATGTTGTCTTTGAATTCAATGGCTATTATACAAAGACCTATCACAAGCATTTGCTTTTATTTACATAGTTGTCTATAACACATCGTCATCAAAGGTGCGGGTTACATCTATATTTACATCCAAGTGTATCAATCACGAGTCAAAAACAAAGCATATGGTGTGCTGCAAGTATTACCTAGAGTCTCCTTGTCAATTACACTTTGCTTAATTTTAATTCAAGCAAAAGGTGCATTACACAACAGGGCTAATATATACTTGAATGTTTTAAAGAAGAAGAGAAATTAAAAATCTGTAGGCTAAACCCATCTTATATACTCGCTATATATATATGTGTGTGTGTGTAAATAGAATAGGTGTAATTAAAGAGAGAAGCAATCCAAAACCTTTCCAATACACCAAGAGAATGCAAAGGACGCATTGACGAGTTTGCTGCCATTTCATTGGCTCAGCCTGACAGACGAGTCACCATCGTCTTACACAGCGGCTTTTTTTTTAGTGAACCTGAAGAAACTGGGATCACTATAGCTGTTATTTGAACCACCCAACGTACATTCACTTTTTGTCTAGTCACCTTCTTTTACGATCCTTGAAGATCAGGAAATACAAATAACAAAAAAGCAGTCGAACCACTCTTAAAAAAGACCACAGCACCTTGTCTCCGTCTTTTGTACACACAAAAGCACAACAACAAAAAACAACAAAAAACAACAAAACAAAACAAAACAGACCAAACGAAAGAGAGAACAACAACCAAAAAGAAAAAGAAGAAGAAGAAGAGAGTATTTTACGATGGGGTCCAACTCTCATCATCAACCATCGGAAGCAACCGATTCGTCATTATCTCCTCTATCCTCACAGACAAGATCCCATCTACCTGATCCGGGCTTGAATCAAAACACAATCTATAATGTCATTCACTCACCCGATAACCCTCCCGAGTTTTATGGCTCAAGCCAACACCTACCTCTTCAAACCGCAGGGTGCTCTCACCTGGCAAAACTCAAACAACGTCGGAAACAGGAACTCCAAGACTCTTCAAATACAAACGAGTACTGGGATGTTTTTGATAGCTATCGCACTTTGGTTCGCTACTCTCTTTCCTGGCAAAAAAGCCGAAAAAATACTAAAGATGACACCAAGAAACGAAAAAGTGGACCAGAGGTAAAAAAAAAATTGATTTGTATATTTTGCCTCTAAATTTTCAATTTTTTTTTTTACATATACAGTTGCCGTTTCCTCAGTGTACTACTTGTCAGGATCCAATGTCACGTCTACACGTTTGTCTCCATTGTGTTTATATGGGTTGTTGGCGCAAAGGGCACATGTTGGATCATTTGAAAGAAAAGAAACACATGTTAGGTAAGTTGGAAGGAGTATGTGTTTTTCTCAAATCCAAAAAAGAAAGAAATCAATAGAGATTGAATTGAATTGAATTGAATTGGTAATTATAGCTGCTTTATATATATATATTTATCTATTTTATCTTATTTATATAGCCATGGATTTTACCCATCGAACTCTTTATTGTTATGGGTGTGCCGACTATGTGTATGATCTTGAATTGGAAGATGTGATAGTGAGACAAGAGATGATTAGATACGAATCTAGTAAGTATTGATTATCAGTCAATATGTGATCTACATAGCATAAATCCAATTGAAAAAAAAAAATCTGTCTGGATTTGGTAGAATCTCGGAGAAAACGAAGCCGGGTGATGTATACTAGCTGGGAACCAACTGAGCAGGAAGCATCAGAGCTTGTTCAGAAATCATTGCTTATATCTTGTCAGGGGATCCGTGGACTGTGCAACATGGGAAATACTTGTTTTATGAATGTCATTCTCCAAAGTCTTGTCCACAACCCACTTCTCAAAGCTTATTTTCTCAGTGATCGCCACAATCCTAAATATTGTGACAATAAGTATTGCATGTGCTGTGAGATGAACAACCTCTTTAAACAGGCAAGTAATTATTTATTTTGTTTTGTTTTATATATAAAATGAATATTTTTAGTAATAGTTTGGGGAAAATCTGACAGTATTTGGATCTTGTTTTATTTAGATTTATTCATCTGAAAAAGGGCCTTATGGACCCTGCAGTTTCCTGATGTCCATGTGGATGAGTCTAAAGGAGCTAGCGGGCTATGCACAGCAAGACGCTCATGAGTTTTTTATCAGTGCGCTGAACAATATTCACGCAGGATGTGAAGGTAATAATGTCTGTGCGTCTGCTTTAAGGAAAAGGATCTACTGATACATAGATGGATCTTTTGTCTGTAATCTATATATGTAGGAAACACCATGGTTAGTTGTAATTGTATTATCCACAAAACATTTGCTGGCGTTTTACAATCCAATGTAACATGTCTTGGATGTGGCAATGTTACGACAACGTATGACCCCATGCTTGATATAAGTCTAGGGCTTCGACCGGTAGAAAGAAAGAAAAAGTCGCACGGACCAAATGGTGCCTTGAATCACCAACGATCGGGCGGTGTTGATCGCAATGGACGAAAATTGTCTGCGTCTTCTGATAGCATGAACTCCTTGTCGGATTACATGCCGCGGTCTAGACAGGGTAACACCTTGATGGATTGTTTAGATAGGTACACTCAGCCAGAAAAACTAGGTAACAATGAATACAGCTGCAGTAAATGTGGCAATACTTTCCAGGTGTGTATTTGTTTTTGCTTTGCTTTGCTTTGCTTTGCTTTTATTTGATTTGATTTGATTTGATTTCATATGGATTATGAGCCTTAACCGATCATAGGAAGCAACAAAACAGTTATCGGTAAAGAGGATGCCACCCGTATTGAGTTTCCAGTTAAAGGTAGAATCATTGGACTATCATAAAGGACGTGCGTCTTATCGGTAGAGAAAAAAAAAGCGTTTTGAGCATGGTGGTGCAGCCACAAAGATAGAGACAAAGGTTAGGTTTCCGGTGGAGCTAGACATGACTCCTTATACAACCGATGGAAAGAAAGACCAAAGCAGGTGAGGTCTTTTTTTTAGACTAAGACATGTCTAGACATTGTACACACCAATATTTAACGGACCGATATGCAGCATAAACACTGCCAACATGTATACCTTGTTCGCAGTGGTAAATCACCAAGGAAAATTAGACACAGGCCATTACACAATGTTTGCCAAGCACCGTGGTGAGGTAACGAAATTACACATGCTTTTTTTTTGCTATGGGTATTTTTGACATCCATTTGTTTTACAGTGGTTCAAATTCGACGACCATAGTGTAACCTTGGCCTACCAAAAAGATGTTCTGGACAGCAAAGCGTAAGTTTTTCTATTTTTGTGTATTTCTTGTATGAACAACAGTCACAGACGCATTGCATTTTATCAGGTACATGTGCTTCTACATTAAAGAATCTCTAGAGTACGAGGACTCGCATAGAAACAACGATTAAAAATAAATATTTATATATATACATACACATACAAACATACACACAGATATATATATATTTATATATAAAAGATACATTTACATATTTATATATATTTATATATATATTACATTATATATTATACAATTCAAGAATAATAAGTTTAAGAGTAATAATATCGTACTAAATCGAATGATCAAATGGAAATCCCGGTCCGATTCATTGTGTTCTGTCTCAGAGGCCGATTGTAGGACAAGACTGAAAATGCTGTGACTTGTGTCCAGGTATTTATATTGCCCACTTTCTCCGCCTGTTGGTAGAGTAGCAATCTTGCTTTTGAACCGTCCCTACTCTTCATCTGACCAGGTTCATGGCAATCCTTTCGCTCATCACACAAGTGGTGCCTTCGATCACCTCAGTGTTCCTTTACGGAACTCTCAGTTTGGTGGTTGTATTTAGTATTCATATTTTGTCTCAGTTGGTATGCCCCTTTTTTTTTCTTCAGGTCTACAAAGTTAAAATACTCATTTTTATTTCATACATATCAACCTTAAAGGTCGTCCCAAGAGACCCTAATCAACCAAAACTTGTTTTCTCGTGGGTTCCTTTCCTCGGAAATGGTGTTGAGTTTGGCATGTAAGTTTGATGGTCCAGCTGATAGAAGTTGACAGGACAAAATGATGTGGTACGTTCCTGTATTTATTTTATTTTATTTTATTTTATTTTATTTTATTTTATTTGTTATTCCGTTTTAGGAACCCTATTGGTTTCATCCAAAAGTGCCAAAAGCTATATGGTGATGTCTTCACTTTCAAGCTTGTTGGCAAGAGTGTTACCGTGTGTCTGGGTGCCGATGGCAACCAATTTGTCTTTAACAACAAACAGAACTTATCTTCTGCTGCTGAAGCTTACAATGACATGACCAAGCACGTATTTGGCTTTGACGTTGTATATGATGCTCCTCACAGTGTGTTTATGGAACAAAAGAGGTAAATATTAAATAAAAAAAGTTGGATTAGACTATTTAAAGGGAGTAAAAGAAGACGCATATATATATATATATATATTAAGGAGGTGATATTGACATCGGCTTGTAGATTTATCAAAGCAGGTTTGACTCTCGAGAGTTTCCGTGCACATGTCCCCCTAATTGTCAAGGAAACCACTGAATTCTTCAAGGACTTCAAGAAGCCTACTGGTTATATGGATGCTTACAGCACCTTCAGCAAGCTTATTATCTGTACTGCCTCCCGCTGTCTGATGGGCAAGGAAATTCGTTCTGCTCTTCACGAAGGTGTTGCTGATCTTTATTATGATCTCGATCAGGGTTTCCAGCCCATCAACTTCATGTTTCCCAACCTCCCTCTTCCATCTTACCGTAGACGTGATGTTGCTCGTGAGAAGATGGCCGAGCTTTACTCCAAGATTATTCGTAGAAGAAAGGAAGAAAATGATACCGTGAGTTCACCTTGTATATAATTGTGTTTGTCTTTGTGTCTAAATGTTTGTGCATAGTCAAACAACGACCTCTTGCAAGCTCTTATCGAATCCACCTACAAGGATGGAACCCCTATTCCCGATCACCATATTGCTGGTATGATGATTGCTGTTCTCTTTGGTGGACAGCACACCTCTGCCACTACATCTGCATGGACTACGTTGGAACTTGCCAACCGACCTGATCTTGTACAGGCTCTTCGTGAAGAGCAAATTGCTAAACTTGGCTCACTCAAGGCTGATTTGACTTTTGAAAACCTCAAAGAGCTTACTCTTATGGAAGCCTGTATCAAAGAAACTCTCCGCCTTCACCCTCCAATTTTCCAAATGATGCGCAAGGTTATTGCTGACAAGGTTGTGTTCGAGAAGACTGGTCATGAAATTCCCAAGAATGATTTCCTGTGCGCTGTTCCTGGTGCCACTCAAGTTGATGAACAATATTTCAACGAACCTTTGACCTACAATCCCTACCGCTGGATCGAGAAGTCCGACCCCGTTCACCAAATGGAGGTTGGCGAGGACGCTAATGCCGATTACGGCTTTGGTATTGTCGGTATCTCTTCCCGTAGTCCCTTCCTTCCTTTTGGTGCCGGTCGTCATCGTTGCATCGGTGAACAGTTTGGCTATCTTCAACTTAAGGCTGTCATGGCTACTGTTATCCGCCTCTATGATCTTTCACTCGAAGAGGGTAAGGGTGTCCCAGAATCAGATTACACTTCCATGGTGGTTGTTCCCAAACATCCTGCCAATGTAGTTTATACTTGCAGAGAGTAAGCCTTGAATATATATATACTCATACTTGTCTTCTCTTATTAATCACTTAATATTTTTCTTTTATCTTTTACTCGTAATTCATTTTAATCTATTATTATTATTATCATTATTATTATTTGTTTCTTGCTATTTTTTTAATGTAATAAATAAAAAATATAATAAAAGAAAATAATAAAAACAATGGCGGCGGCAGTGGCAGTGGTAGTGGTAGTGGTAGTGGTAGTAGTGGTAATGGTAGTGGTAATAGTAATAGTAATAGTAGTAATTGAAATAGTAGTAATGGTAGTAAAAGAAGAATAAGGATAAATAGATGTATTGTGTACTTAAAATACGACCTGGTGGTTGTGGTTTGATTGTTGCTCAATTATGGTTGTTTGGCTCCACTGGATTTGAGACAGCATATCGATTAAGTACTCCATAAAAGGCGCACCATTTGAAACATATTGCTGAACCACATACACCAGTATAAAAGTCATGGCAACAATAATGCTGAATCGGAGAAAGTTGTAGATAAGTCTGAAAACTCCTCGAACGGCCCAAACCACTAACGAGAACAGAGTGTATAGTACAAGAATGGCCAGAAAAACGGGGATAATGTTAGCCTGGACAGGCACGGATGTCAACCAAATTCCAAAATGACGGAGGTTCTCGGGAGAGTACTCATAGATATAAGTACTTGCAGACGACATGACATTAAAGGCCTGATCAGGGGCCGGTAAAACGATGTTAAGCTGTAAAAGCTGTGTATAGCAGTACAGATAAATCGATGAAAAAAATTCAGTAACAGGGCCGTCCATGATGAGATCTTGTCAAATAAACAAAAACAAAACAAAACAAAAAAACACGTATTTATATAGGTGTACAAGAGAAAGATAAAAGGTCAGTAAGACTCATTTTCTTCTTCTTTTTGGTAATCCAACCGGGATTAAACTAAACAAGATTGACGGCCACCTTTGGCAAACAACAGTAAAAGAAAGAAAGCGAAGGCTTGGTTTGAAAAAGACTTTCGTCTTTGTTGCGGCACGTGGATTTAAGCTTGGGAATGATTATCAACATAATTTGTGCCTGTATGTATACATTTTTCTTTTTCGTTTTCCTTCTTTTTAATTCTTCAAAGTACTTTACTTTATTATATGTTTATGCCTCTATGCTTTTATTATATTGTTACTGGGGTTATCTAATGGTACAAATAGAATATACACTTATTTACGCTTCTTGGTCTGCTTTGGACCCTTTGCTTTCTTTACTCCTTGTCGACTGACGCGCTTGAGTTCGTTTTTACTGATAGTCAACATAGCACCCTTCATTTTGCCAATACCATTTGTAATACCAGTATCTTTGCTTCGCTCCTTCTCCTTTTTATCAACATACAAATGTCGGGTAGACTTATCATACAACCCTAAATCCTTTGCGTTTTGCAGTTTCTGTTGTTGACGTTCAGATTTCTTGGCCTCCATACCGAGGTGCATTGCTAGAGGAACCTTTCCATTTGCAGAAGCCTAACCACAAAACCAAGTTAGCTATCAACTTATCAGTACACCGTTGTAAGTACATCATTACCTTTACACCCAGTGCTTCCATCTTTGCCATCATATGTTTCCTCCGTTCCTTACCAGACATCTCCTCCAATTCTAGTATGAAAGGTTAATAATCATAAAGAAAGCATTAAATATATCCCACTCACGGTATTCTTCCAAAAGTTTTGTAGTAGCCAAAAGTTCCTTCAAATCTTTATCATGTCGGTCATTCTCTCTTAAATTGGGTTGCGTTGTGATTAATACATGCCATAATTAACTGAATGATATACTCACTCTTCTTCTTCTTGATCCTTTTCTGAGAGTGGTTTAGGGATGGCCGACAAGGAAGGCTCGGGCTTAGATATCTTGGAGGACTGTATAATTGCATCAGGATATATTCATATTATCAAATAATGTTCAAATACATACCATAAATGCTCTCTTCTCAGCTTTGCTTTCTCCTGTAGCTTTCTTTCTTAGGCTCGATCCATCAAATACAACAACAGTAGGTCCCGAAACCTTGGCTAATATATAACGCATTTAGGTATTTACTTCATCATTACTATCAATAAAAATTATGGTTATTTTTTACCTGCAAGAGCAGCAATTTCTGCATTCTTCTTCTTTTTCTTAGCAAGCAATTCCTTTTCTTCACTATCGTAGAACAAATCGTATTAGTCTGTCATTCTGGGTTTTTACATTCTTTGTCATAAACACATGCCTAGCGATTCGCTTTCGTTTTCCGGCCAATGACTTTTGGAGCATAGAATTTGTAGCCGTATTGGCCTTCACGCTGCTAATGAGGCTAGCTAATGAACCTAATTCTGTCATTGAGACTATTAAATGAGTATAAAATCGAAGCTTTTTTTTTCTTGGACCACAGAGTTCTACTGAAGGTTATGCGACAAGCCACAGATCACTTTTCAGATGATTGCCTTTTTTGGAGTAAAACAAAATTATGCTTGCCGATTGGCTACAAAATGATAGTGTATTTTCTCTACCTCTATCAGACATGGCTTGTCTGTAGGTTATGTGATTTCGGGAGGCTTTTTGTTGCTGTTGTTTGTACGCAAATAAGCTTAATTAATATATCATGGCTTAGGTAGAAGATATTTAAAAAAAACATTGAATGAAAGGAAATAGAGAGCGCGGTAATATGTACAGACCAGCGGTCTGAATACAAAAACCCTCTCCAGGGCACAAATAGAATCGGTATTTTAATTAAGCGACAACTTTAAAAAAGAAGTTGGATTTTGTGGATTATAAATGTACTTGCTTAATTTAATATTGACACAACAACTCTTCTTTTCTTTCCTCTAAGGAATTCATAAAATAGTACTATGCAAAGGATACAAGATCAGATCGACGCTCACTACTGGATAATAACTAATGGGCAATCATGGATCAAGCCTGTGACCGCAATTACCCTTGGGATCGTACTCTACAAACTGTTTTCGCCTGCCCCCGATCCTAGAAAGACTACCACTATTGATCCCAAGCTTATACCCGAGTTAGTAGCCTATCCTCTACCTATAATTGGCCACGTTCCAACACTATCAAAAGGTCGCAACAACTTTCTCAAGGAGTGTGTAGATCGTTATGGTCCTGTATTCCAGCTACGTATTCCAGGCCAAAATCCATATGTAGTGACAGGAGATATAATCCCAGACATCATGAAGTCTTCCACAAAGATCGTCAGTTTCCTTGAAGGAATTAAGACCCTTATTCCTGCAACTCATGTAATGGAACTTTCTTACGATCATAAATATAAAGCAGCCCCATTCAACTCGCGTGATAAGAACCCTGGTAAGAGAACCATCCTGTACGCCAAGGTTTTAGAGTACAAATGAATATGAAAGGAAAGCTTATGTATCTCAATATTTATATTTATCTATTTTCTTATTACAGCTATTTATCCAATCAAGCAAAACTTCAAGTCGGATAAAATTCACGTCTTCTCAGAACGAATCCAAACCGGACTTCATATTGTCCTCAAAAGGGATCTAGATTTGAAACCTGGAGAAAGCAAAAGTGTTAACATGTGGGATTTTCTTACCAATACCGTCTCTCAAATGTCTTGCCCTTGCTTTGCTGGAAGTGTGGTCGGCTATGATAGTGAATTGATCTCTTCCATGGCAGTTCTTACTCAAAAGATCATAAGGGCAGGCATATTCTTGGCTGTATTACCCAGCTGGCTTGGAGATGCTATTGTCCGTCGTGTGTTCTCTGTTGAAAAGGAGATTGATATTACTATGCGCCTTTTGGTTCCAGAGCTCACCCGTACAAGAGAAGAAATCCTAAATGGAACTAGCGAGGTTACATTCTCCTCGATGCTTTTATCCCTTCCTTTGCACGATGGCAGTCTCAGATCCATTGAAGAAACTGCCTTTTGGTTTAAGAGCATAGCACTTTCCAGTATTCACACTACCTCTCACATCTCTTCATTCTGTCTCCATGAGCTTTCTTGTCGTCCTGAACTCGTCGAGACTTTACGTAATGAGATCAACCGTCTGGATTCGCTAAACCCTGAGACCACTGCAACTATTCCCCTGCTCGATTCTTTCTTGAGAGAAGTTCTACGCTGCAATATTGATTATCTTGGCCATCACAGTCTAGCATTACAAGATGTTCAGCTTAGAAATGGTCAGATCATTCCAAAGGGTAGTCTTATTATGTCTGCTCTTTTGTTGGCTCATGAACAAGGCATTTCCGGACAAGCTACTCAAGATAATCATACCAAAACCTGTCTTCCTCTTGATCAATTTGATGCCTATCGCTTTGTTGACGCTGGCGAAGATACAAATGCTACCGATGTCAATCTTGCCAATCTGGCATTTGGTTTAGGTGCACATGCCTGTCCTGGTCGTTACTTTGCCGCAAATGAAATCAAGTATATGCTTTCAGAATTAATTATGCGCTTTAATCTATCTACTCCTTCTGGCAAGCGAGGAGAAAATTCAGTCCTTTTAGGAACGAGTGTATTTCCCCCAAAGACACCGATTGTTTTCACTGCTATTTAGATTTGAGAATATATAAGTTATTACTATCTTATTCTGGATCTATTACCTATCTTAACTCCTATTCTAAGAAATAAAAAATAATACAAATATACATAATAACGTGTTTGGTGTGCAGCGTAGTTGGACAAAATAAATACAACGCTTTGACCACTGTATGGCAAATGTTGGACGGCTATATATATACTATTTTGAGATATAGATTGTGGCTGTCCACAAATTCAATCATTTATCATATTCTGAGATGTGTATAGATCAAGAATAAACGTCTATTAACATACGTGTGTATATGCGAAGTTTGAAACTGCTGTGTATCTAGCCTTCCGAGTCTATTATGTCTCAACATTTACCCACAAGCTTTAAGCAAAAGAAACTTATATAAATATGCCACGATGCCACGAGCTCATAAATCAGTGTTATTTTGCGGCCAGTAAAAGTCGGTAAATGTATATATATATATTACTGTGTGTATCTCACATAAAATCTGCACAAAATATCAATAATCACGCCGAGTATATTTTACTTTACTTTACTGTATTCTCAGTTATAAGTTACAAGCTGCTAATATGTTTTTCATGTATTAGCATTTCTTTGTAGAGAAAAGATTGTTTTTGGCTTGTTTTTTTAGGTATATTATGAGAGAAGTAAAACAAAAACAAAAGCAAAAGCAAACATCGAATATAAAGCTCTGGTGAGTACACCACAAACCCAAGTTTGTACGGTTGTCAATTTGGTGTGAGAAGGAAGGTCAAAACAGAATAATGATAAAAAAAATACAGTTATATGCATACATCTTTACTAGAAAGTACCAGACTATCTTATTTTTATTCTTTTTGGAAAGAATAAATCGTCTTATTACTCCAGATGACTTGATCCTACCGTTATTAGTGTACTTGAGGTAATGAGAAAACCCTAATCGTTTATTTGTGTTTTTCAGAGTTTTTTAGCTAGTATACTTTCCGCCAGGAAGACACCCTGATCCTAAGAATAGTTTAGCAAAATGTAGGTTACGAGATGTAATTGGCGATCGTGTCATGATATTCGTCAGATCCCCAAGTTCGATCATATGTTTCTTCTTAGTTTATTATCGAGATGGATTATATTTCGCTTATTAAGTATTTTTAAGGCTCTTGTTGCTCCTCTGTAAGTACAGTGCCCGTATGTCTTCATCTGCATACTGTTATATGCACAGTTGTTTTTGGTATGCATGCTTTCTTTGAATTGGCAGTGATTAAAAAATTATTCCATGAATCGCCAATAAATAGCCATCTTTTTTACAATCTGGAAGCTCTCTCCGCTTGCTAGACCTTTTCTAGCTAAGTTAATGGGACAAGAGAAAAGTCGAATTAGAAAAGTTTTATATAAAGAAAATATTGCCAGTAAAACATTAATATAATATTTTATTTGGTGGAGTTTAAATGCGGTTCAGTAGTACTTGGAGAGAATCCTTTATTGCTCCTTATAAAGTCAACAATATATAACTACTATATATCTAAAAGATACTCAAATTATATGAAAGTACATATATACTAATTTTACTGTGGTCTGTTGAGTATTAGAAAAAATTGCTTTGAGATATTTTATAGTAAGTGCCAACAGACAACTTTTACCTCAGAGTTTCTAGTATGGCAGGCGAAAGTATTAAATCAAAGCCGAGGAAGGCAAAGTAATCCCAATCTACTATTTGACTCTCAGCCACTAGCACTTGGCATAAGGAGAGTGGCCCAAGTGACTTGTAGTCTATTCTTATTCTCCAAACTAGTCATTCTTTTCTGCTCTTCCTTACATGAACGAGGTTTAGTCAGAACTTTTATCTTGATTCATTGTCCTTCAGTACCTTCTAATGACGTTCCTTAATCACACACTCGACAACCTGAGCTCTCCAACATTAGACTCCGACAACAATGTACAAACCATAGATTTCAGGAACGACCATCTTGTTTCCACTTCATCAGCCTCGCCATTAAATAGCGAACAAGTTCGGACTTACGAACCAGCAAACACTGCTGATTATGCTCAGTTGGAAATTGATGATTCTGAAACAACACTACTGGGGAGTCAGCAACGACTTTTAGACCACGATGACACTGACGAAGAGGGCGATCCTGAAGAGTTGAAGAGTTACAGGTTACCCTCGGAAGGGGGGTCAATCTTCTCAAGCTTTGTAAGTTACTGAGTCATTTGTACTCTAAAAACATTAATAGTTATATATAAAAATTAATTAATCTAACATATCCAACGTCTAGCTTAATATGGCAAACAGCATCATAGGCGCGGGCATCATAGGGTTACCGTTCGCATTCAAAGAGGCTGTGAGTATAAATTGAAATATAGACAAGAAAAGTGAAATGCTCAAAATATATATTATTAGGGGTTCTGGACAGGGATTGGCCTGTTGATCCTATTAACGGTGGTTGTAGGTAAGAAATCATAGCTACAAGAGAAAAGCAATATGAATGTACCTTTTTGGATTTACTTGGTACATTTTATAAAAGTTTATTAATTATTCTGGCTCAGATTGGACTGTGAGACTGTTGATGTACAATGGAAAACTGGCAGGGCGAACAACATATCAGGACTTAATGGAATTCTCGTTTGGAAGACCTGGGCTTGTTGCGATATCTATATTTCAGTTTGCATTTGCATTTGGAGGTAATCAAAGCCGTCGTGATCATATATGACGTTTTTTAATAATAATATTTAAACATTAAATCACAGGTATGTGCGCCTACTGCGTTATCCTCGGTATGTAATCCTTAATTTTATGTAAATAAAAAAGCGGGAACTAATTCAATACTTTTACTGGATCGTCTACAGGAGATACAATCCCTCATGTTATTCGGTCAATTTTTCCAAATATCCACAATGTACCGCTTTTGTGGATATTTGGAAATCGTAAACTGTGCATCACATTTTTCACTTTATTTGTATCATATCCCCTCTCACTTTACCGTGACATATCAAAACTGGCAAAGACAAGCGCCCTAGCACTTGTTGCAATTATAGTTATCATTGTGAGCGTTGCAATAGAAGGTCCTAAGATGCCAGCTACAATTCGTGGCTCGTCAGATAATATGTTTATAGTAATTAACAACGAAGTCTTCCAAGCGATTGCCGTTATTAGCTTCGGTAAGCTGCTAATAAGCCCAGAAATAATATGGTTATACTAATATAAAATTATGCTGGAACTCAAAGCCTTTGTTTGTCATCACAACAGCTTCTTGATATTTGGGTCTTTAAAGCAACCTTCCTTAAACAGATTTGCAGCCGTTACCCACTGGAGCATGTTTATTGCGTTTGCGACATGCTTTATTCTGGCAGTTTCTGGCTATTTGGTATTTACCGATAAAACAACAGGTAAAATAAAGGAAAAGTAAAATGCATTTCGCAAATAAAGAAATATACTCCTTTTGATCTCATTACCTTCTAAATTAAAGCAATAATAAAGTACTAACACTATGACATTTTTGTAGGGAATATTCTAAACAACTTTCCACAAGATAACTTACTTATAAATATTGCACGCTTAGCGTTTGGCCTCAATATGTTCACAACAATTCCTCTTGAAGCGTTTGTCTGTCGCGAGGTAAGTGCTATATATATGCAATTCTTAAAACATTCTAGGCTGCCAATGCTAATCATTGTTCATCTATTTAGGTTATGGAGACATTCTTTTGGGCCTCTGAACCCTACAATCGTGTACGCCACTGTGCTATTACAACCATTTTGGTTCTTATATCATTAATTATATCTTTGGTCACATGCAATCTTGGTACTGTTCTTGAACTTACTGGTGCATTTTCAGCAACTGCATTGGCCTTTATATTACCTCCACTATGTTATCTCAAGCTGGCAAATGGACCAGTTTGGCAAATTAACAAAATTCCTCATTGGCTATGTATGATATTTGGTATTATTGTTATGGCTGTAAGCACATTTTATAGCCTTCAGAAGGCATTCATAGGCTCAAGTGCTGGTGTACACAAGAGTCAAAGTGAGCTTGTATGTAACTAAATAAATTTTGTACTTTCTTCTGTTTTCTGTCTTCTTTTTATTAATGAGTAGAAAATAAAAAGAAGTTTGTATGATAAACAAGTGAATTTATATAAATATATGTATAATTAAATATCAGACAAACAAAATATATTTCACGCTATTGAATTATATATATGTTTATTTTCAAAGTTTAATATATCATGTTGTGAGAAAAAAAATGAGAAATCTAGATGAAATAATTTGCGAGAGCTTGTGTAGGTTGTTTTATTTCAAATAAAAGAAAATAATAATAAAATTTGATTGTTTTTCTATACAAAACTATCTATTGATATTTATATGTTTTCTAATTTATAATTTAGTATGTGATTAAATAATCTTTATTACAATAAATCATCTTTCAAAAGTATTATTTTTCTGGAAAGATATGGAAAGATCAATTGATATTGTTGCGGGGAGAAATGAATAATTAGAAAGATTGACAAAAGAATTCGTGAGAACTTATGTAGGTTGTTTATTTCAAAGAAAAGTAAAAAATAATAAAAATCGGTTGTTCTTCTATACGGAACTATCTACTGATATTTATATGTTTTTCTAATTTGTAATTCAGTGTGTGCTTAAGTAATCTTTATCACAATGAGTCATTTTCCAGGAGTATTGTTCTTCTGGAAAGATCCAAAAAGTCCAATTGATATTATACTTCTCCAGTCAGATCAGTCCGAGAGTTTTGGTAAAGAAGAGCATTTATGCTATTGGTAATATTTTAGTATTGCGATCCAGATACTCGGGTAATGTTTCATAATATTAAATAGTTGTAGTTATAGTCTCTCAATTTAGTATCTATATAATAAAAGAAATATATAGATAAAATAAAGAAGTCGTATATATCATATATGTGTATTTTTATATTCTATGTTATGGTAATAATAATTAATAATAATTAATAATTAATAATATGTATAATAATATGTACACTCTTTCTGGAAATTGTTAATGCAAAAATAAAAAATTATTTAGTACAATTTTCAAATATTTCTTTGCTTAATTCATTTTTTTAGTGTATTTGGTGTATTTCATTTTTGTACCAAATAATCTTTTATTTTTATATTGTGGTATTTCAGGTACAAAATAATAAAAAATAATAATGTTAAAAAATAGAGATGTATAGAAATACTTTGAGACTGTTGTGGGGAGAAAATAAAGCAAAATATAATATAGACGAAAGAATTCGTGAGAACTTGTGTAGGTTGTTTATTTCAAAAGAAAAGTAAAGAATAATAAAATTCGATTCTCTTTCTACACGGAACTATCTACTGATATTTATATGTTTTTATAATTTGTAATTCAGTGTGTGCTTAAGTAATCTTTATCACGATGAGTCATCTTCCAGGAGTATTGTTCTTCTGGAAAGATCCGAAAAGACCAATTGATATGATACTTCTCCAGTCAGATCAGTCCAAGAGTTTTGGTAAAGAAGAGCATTTATGCTATTGGTAATATTTTAGTATTCCGACCCAGATACTTGGGTAATGTTTCATAATATTAGATAGTTGTAGCTGTAGTCTCTCAATTAAGTATTTGTATAATAAAAGAAATATGTAGATGAAATATAATGATGCCATATATATAATGTATATGTATTTGTATATCCCATGTCATGGTGATAATAATAAATAATCAATCATGTGTATGATGATCTGTGTATTAGATAATATCATAAAGGGAGATCCGTTCAACTGGAATAGCTGAGAATATTATTTTATCCTTCAGTCTTACTCTCAGATTCAGCAGTAATCAATACTCATTCACAACACTGCTTAATTAGTGTTGGTATTACAATTATGACATCAAGTCATAAATCGTACTTCTTTAGCTCTTAGCTATTCTTTTCTCTTTTATACTAGAGCTTTAGGACTTCCTACTAAATTAGCTCCATATCGATCTGACACAGTTTACCCGGCAGTATGATATAATTATCTTAACAATTTTTAAGATATTATCTACAGTACTAACTGTAATAATTATTGGGCTGATTACTTAATCGTTTATATATATATTATACTGACAAGATGATAGCTACTACGCTATCCCAATATGAATATGTTCTTATATTTAATAAATCCAACATCCGAGTGTCTGGATCACCACAAGATATAAGTTGCGGAGTACAAATTTTATATTTGCTGGCCTGGTTTTTGAATTTACTATATTATATATGAGAGAAAAATAATACTATCTCTTTCAGCATATTTTTTACTCTTATATGTGTAGTGAATATAATAGTTTGCGCAACTTGTAAAGCCATCAAAGGCTTCTTGGTTTAGTGGTATAATTCTCGCTTAGGGTGCGAGAGGTCCCGGGTTCGATTCCCGGAGAAGCCCTTAACCTAATCCGGTTCGGATAGTTTTTTTAACAACTGTGTTGTGCCCGAATTCTTGTTAGCCAATCAGGATGACGATTACACAGAATTCTCTTTTGAGAACGACGACCGAAGTGATTTCCTTTTGCTCACAAAAGAATTAGAAAGCACATAGCTTTGTCAAGTCTCGATCTGGTATTTCTTTTCTGGCACTTGTAACTAAGTCGCAGAATCAATACCACTGGGGATCGTCAAGTTTATGAATAGTTTTTAGATAAGAATAAAGATGCTTTTTATTAAATATATTTCTTGACTATTTATACAAAATGATAATTGATTTCTGGCTAAAAGAATAGCTACGATAATATGTCTTAGATGCCTGTTGTCCAGTAATATCTTCTACAAGTATATTCACCATCTTAAACATCTAAAACATATATGAAAGACCAATCGGCAAAGTCAAGATCTTTTATCCTAAAAGGTCAACTCTTACTGGTTGCTTATAACTACCGATTTTGTTCACCGATGTCAACTCTGACAGCTTAACAAAAGTAGAATAGAAACCAAAACAGACATTTATAATGGCTGAGTAGGTTTAGAAAAGATATAAAAGAGGGCGTTATTTCATTCAATAAAAGTTATCTATCTTTCTATCCTCTTTTTATTCTTTTATCTTCGTTTACGATTCCCAATGGGTTTGACCAATTTTGGCTGTGTTATAGCATTGGAAGAACAACCCAGATCGAAAACGACAACTGCTGCTAGCCACTATTTTGTTAAATCTGCAGGTAGTTAACCGCAGTATAATACTTCTTCTTTTTGTCAAGTCTGTCAGAGTTGACATCGTAGATAGAAATACTTAAGTCAGGTATCCAATCGGTTATTCCTTTTAACATAAGCCCTCAATGTTATATCGATTGGTCTCCCTTTTTGTTTACCAAGACATATTATACCGCCTTCTATAAATATAACACCAATATGCCTTGGGTAAAATAATAAGCTCAAATAATTTCACTTTAAAAATCTGTATAAATGAAAAAAAAAGTATTCAATTCTTTATATTCCTATTTATTCACAACGTTCTAGTTGGTGGTGCTCTATTACATAAGACGTTGTGGATAAATAGAGATATAGAGAGTTAAGATTTTTTTTATAAATAATAATACTTATAGCACTCATATAGATTAAGAGGGTGAACTGATCGAAGCTAATTATTTTGCTAAAAACATATTAGCTTTATATTTATGGGAGTCAGTATAATATGTCTCGGTAAAAATGATAATGTAGAAACAGCTGGTATAATATTAAGTACTTATGCTAAAGGGGATTGCTGGTTGGAAACATAACCTAAGCATTTCTAGTTACGATGTTAACTCTATCATATTATGATTGCAAAGAATATTTTATTTTATTTTATTTTATTTTATTTTATTTGACTTCGAGGAGCAATTTTGTAAATTCGCATCAATACAACCAAAGAAAAAATATTTGTTTTTGATCGTAAGATAATACAGATTACTATTAACTTAGATTTTCTTTTTAATTCAGTTAAAATGGATTGATATTTCCAATTATTTATTATGCATTTCTTTTCTTGGATATCTGCTGAAATTTTCCACTTCGTGCTTTGCAGAATACACATTATAATACTACTATTGATATGGGCTTATTACATTTGATCCTTTGCATCATGTAAATGTTAACAAACACTAAAGAAACGTTTATGATATTTTTATTTATCTTATTTTGAGTTGTTTTTTCTCTCTTTATTTTTATTTATTTTGATTCATATGTATTTGATATAATTAGGCATCTGCTGCAATCAAAGCAACAATCATGCGGTACAAGAAGTAAAAGAAACACTAGAAATATACAGTCATGAGATCTTCTTGTATTGTCCACATTTCATAGTTAATCCTTTTACTTACAATAAGGTAAAAAGCAAGTTTAAAGAAGCATTCCTTTTTATGTGTAGAGAGTGTACGGAAGATCTCGGTGGCATCATACATATGTCTGTTGTTTGTAACTCTAATATGTGCGTATTATATCATACTCAGTTATATTTCCTCTCTCTGTATCTCTCCCTCTTTATTTAGCACTTACTTTCTGATGTTGTAGGCAACTAGGGGCAAGTTAAGAATCATAGCAGTCCAACTACCGTTTACCAAGAACATGAAGAACAAAAAGGCATGAGCACCCATCTCGGGCAAGACAAACTAAAATGATGATAAATATCAAATGTCAATTACTCATCCACATCCACATTCTTATTCTATTTCATTCACCTGATTGAGTTTGTTGCAGAGATCGATGGGGTTAACATAATCACATTCCAAATCAGAGAACATAATAACCTAAAATCAAGACATTAAAAGAGTAAAGGCATAATAAAAGTATCACATTGTAATCATCTGTTATATTCATGGTTATTCATCTTTTCAGGTTCGCTCGAAACTCAGTTTAAAGCAGCCATATTTATATATAAAGGATACAAAGAAGACCATCGAAAACAAGAGGAGTGCGGCCATGATGACCGCAAAAAGAAATAGCATTGCTTCGCCAACCATTTTTGTGTTGTTGTGTAATAAGTACAAAGAAGAAGTAAGAAGAGTGGAAAGGGTCCAAAGGCGCGAAAATGGGTTACGTTACAAAGACGACACGAAAAAATAAATAAATAAAATAAAATAATAAACCAATCTCAGCTACCTCACCCGATTGATCTATCCTGTGTTGATTGGTGACCTGCCCCATCTAATAAGCAATAAATAGAATGTCCTCTATTTGCGATCTTTATTCATTTTCTTCATAGTTAAAGCCAAGCCTATCTTTGTGCTTACGCGTCTTTTGATTATATGTCCTTTTTGTTTTTTGTTTTTTTTTGTTTTTAATTTAGTTGATTTAAAATCGGGTACAGATATAGACTTATTACACAATACGCTCCAATTCTCTAGCATAGGCTAATGTCTGAGTAATGATCTGTTCCTGAGGGATCTCTACTGCATTACTGTCCTCTGTACCAAAATAGATCTTTTGTTCTACAGGGTTTACCTTCCATCCACGCTAAAGTCACAAGTATCAATAAAACTAGCCTTCATCATCCTCCAGAAATAATAACAATATACTATTTAATCTTTACCTGGTTTGCAAAGTTCAATATTTCTTCGGTATTCTTGAGGAAGAGAAGAGTACCAGCATCTTGAAGAGGAAGGAATTCATAGGCCTTTTCACTGCAGCCAGCAATCTCATTTCTACAATCAAATCAATACACTATCCAAACACACACTTAAATATACTAAAAGAAATTAAACGAACAAAGAAGCTCTCACCGAATAGTATTAATGAGAATGTCATAAAAGAACATAAACTCATCTCCCTTGACTGTGCTTCGAGTGCTCCACACCTTGTTGTAGCTTCCCTCCATCAAAAATTGCTCTACAATAATGGTTACTATATTTTCTATATTCCCGCAAACACACAGGAGCACTGTAGATATATACCCAAATCAACTGCCTGTTTAATGAAAGTGCTAGACTGGAGCTGCTCTGGATCAATGGCTTCAAGTGAGGTATGGAATTCAGACAATCTGTTCTGTGAGAGAAGTCTAAGAAGGTTGAGTCCAATCAAGGGGTACATTTGAGGAGAAGGAGGAAGAACGGACCTAAAAAAAGGAAAGAAATAAAGAAATAAAGTAGGTTAATTGATTGAGCCAATCGTCAACATAATACTTACGCAAGATCGTGATAGTATGTGTTGAGCTGTGCAATGTAACGTTCGAATGAAGCAATATCCTTGACACGTACACTGTAATAGACACCTGTCTCGAGTATATCACCTGTAGTCCTTGTAAGTCTTCTAGGACCGCGATGGAATACATTCTGATCTAGCATTTATTTTTTTTTGCTATAAAGTCTTACGTGCTACCAACAGAACAGAAGCATCGGGCTTTCCAGGTGTAGGGGTAAAGGCGCCGAGTTCGGCCATGACAATCTATGCATGTAATTGAGGTTTATCGCGTTGTTTGTATTTGTAGATGGCGTACCTTTGACTGTGCCAAAAGCTGGTTGCATTTTTGCAGGTTTGTAGAAGGAGATCCGATTTCTGCCTTGAGCTGATCGCGAAGGGTTGCAAGTTGTTTTGGAGAGGCTGACATTGAAGAGGTTACAAAGGTGGAGAGGGTGTGTTCTTTCATCTTTGGCGCACACGTAATGCGTCATCGGAGATTGTAATTCACGTGACGTGGCATTTGAATGAATAAAGAAAGATAAAATAAAAAAAGGCGTTACTTAAATCAAAAGCTTGTAACTTATATATTTTATTTTATTTTATTTTATTATTTTATATTTTTGATTCATAGTAAAGCTTGGTAGACCAAGCAGTCAAGACATGCAGCTCAATTGTCCTACATAATTTACTTGAACCCGATAACTGGGATCAGCTGTAGACCAAAGACAGAATTCTATGGTCCGTTGACCAGCTTATTATTTTTGTTTCTATTTCTTCTCTTTCTCTTGCTTTTTTTTTAAAAAAAGTAATTAAAGCTTTCCCAGGGTTACAAGTAACAAAAAAAGAAGGTTAATTAATATCGAAAGACTAGTTATTCTTAACCTTTAATACAAATAAAGATGGTTTATTGCAGAAGGTAGAAATTAACCGTACTAAACCCAAACCAATTCAAGCCAAGACGGGGCAACGACAAGAGAAGACTAAACAGGACGGACCCTGACACGTGTCCGGTCTTTCTTCTTTGGTGGTACAAGTGTAGAAGCGGGTCTCTTCCTCCTCCTTCTCACCCCCCTCTCTCTCCCTTCCATTTTCACTCTAACATATACTTTACTCCACTCCCCCTGTACATTTTTTTTAATATTGTGTCAATAGTAAACGTATTAAAGATGTAGGTACAAAAAGAAGTCTATGTGAAGAAAATTAAACTCTTTATTGAATTAAGAAAGTAAAAGAATAAGAAATGGATATTTAAGATAAAAACCATAGAAATATTCTCTATAGATTTTTTTTTTAGGAGGGGGAGGGTCTGGACAATTGTTTTGGGTGCGTTCCGCTGTCGATCCCTCTTGGTATTAAAATGGAGGTCCGCCTCTCTGCCAGCCACAGTTGTGTGTGACTTTGAGGATGATTGGTTCAATGGTATTAAAAAGAAGGAAGGAAGGAAGGAAGAAGAGAGGAAAAACGGCTAGATATTCGAAGTGCTATAGATACCTTTGAGGGATAAATTTGGCTGACAAAGAATAACCCAAAATAATACATTGGAAAAGGCGGGCGTGGATGTATTGTGTCTAGAGAGTGCCACCCTGTATAGCCCGCCAGGAAGAAAAGAAGGTAAAAATAAATAAAACAAAGGAACCAATCGCCTGGAGGTCTGTAGGCGATCTACTCTCCAGATATGGCCGCACAGAAAAATTAAGAGGATCGACGCCGCGATTGGGTGGGCAGGGCAGAGCATGTCCCATTTCCTGTCCTACCGCCACCTTTTTCTGCGTTTGCACAACCTAAACTAAATAATCCAGCCGCAACTCTTCTCTTTAGTCGTCTCTCTTTCCTCTTTCCAAAGTATGATCATGATGACAACCTATGCTACCTCCGCCAAAGGAAAGAAACCCTACAAGAGCTGGCTTAAAGATGGAGTTAATGGAGGCCCGTCCTCTATGGATATCCTTGTCCACTGGCTATCTGTCAAGGCAAACTACGCCAAATGGAGAGGAGACGACAGCGAACGCACCCCAAAGAAACTTCTCCTCGAAGGCATTATTGACAAGATGCGAGAAGTAGGAATATATCATCGTCTGGCCAAAGATGTGGCCAGCAAAATATCCACTCTCCAGAGCAACTACAGATCTGCACGTGAGTGGAGTGAAACAGAAGGTGAAAAACTACGAGGAGCAGGTGCCAAAGAAGAATCAATTCATGGTAAGAAAAAGAAAACAACAACAACAAATGTTTATCAAATAATTTTTTTATATATATTTATATATTATATATATATATTGAAAATTTTTCTATTTTCTCAGAAGAGATACTTAAGCGCTTTCCATACTGGGATGCCTTGCGCGAAGTGTTCGGAAGTACTAGGACAACCTCTTGGCCAATGTCGATCAGTAGTATTATGCACAGAGTGGAAGAAGACGAACTGCTCAAGGACCAACTCAAGTATGAAGAGACCTCGAACGAAGAAGACGAGGACGGTGACACAGACTCCCTGTCCCCACCCAAACGACGCCGCCAGCTGAGCGAGGACAGTCCGCATTCTCTCGCAACCACCACTGTCAGCACTTCCGGCAGCCCCGTATTAATTCGACCCCTCCCTCGCGTCGTTCCTATCATAACCCCCCGCACCCAGAGTCACCTCGAGAAGCGCGACGCCCTCCTTGCTGAGTCTCTTGTCCAGGTCACACGCGAGAAAGAAGCAGGACGTATGAAACGCTCTCACGACATGTTGGAATTCTTACGCGAAAAAAGACTCGAGCGCGAACAGCTTCTTATTGAGAAGGAAAAGACTCGTCGGATCAAAGCTAAATCAGACCTAGTAAAACACCTTATTGAAGCCGGATTCTCCAAAGCAGAAATCACTGAACAGTTAAAAGAAGTCTCATGATCAATCTACCCCCAAGTCCACCATTTTGTGTGCCCGTCGATCCTCACCTTTCTTTTTTATCTCGTCCTCACCATTGCTCTCGCTATCTCTCTTTATCTGCCATAAGTCTTGATCCTTTTATTATTATTATTACATCTATTTTCCACTCGTCCTATCCGCTACCTATTATTGATCTTGACCGGCCTCCATTGGTGACATGAAAAAACAAAAACAAAACAACAGCAACCAACCAACCAGCAAAACAATAATAATTAATAACCACGACCACAATCATAACCATAACTACAACAATTACAACACCAACAACAACAAAAACCAGCATTTCTTTTATTTTTATTTTGCCTTCTTGCTTTGGAAACACCCCACCCACATATATACACAAACAACCACTCACAACCACATATATAGGTCCCAATATAGGTCCAATTGTACAGCATTCTGTACAGCATTCTGTACAAATAAGATTTCCTTTTTACTTTACTTTATTTTTATTATATATTTCAATAACCAAGGCTATCGAAATTTTGCCAATCAGAAATGTCTTTCCTTCTCCACATCATTTCTATTCTTACAAAAAAAAACAACAAAACAACAACAGCCTTTATAATATGCTTTTTTTATATACACATATACACATATACACATATGCACTTTTAAACCTGCCATCTCTGATGTTACACTCATCGAAGAGGCAAAACGATATTCCCGCTCCACATCTTATACCATGCAAGTGGCCAGTTTGGAAACAGTCACCGCATGTGAAAATGAGTACTATTCTCCACATTTGGCCATTCATCATCCCAATCATCTTTTATACCCCTTTTTCTACCCTTCCATTATCCATTATATAAAGAAATGGACTGGCTTACTAGTATCGCCTTGGATCCTCAATACCATGAGATCCTCACTATCCTTAAAGGTGCCCGCAATGGTATTGTCTATGGCGCAAAAGTCCGCTTTCCCCATGCTCTTGTCATGACCTTCTTGTTCAAGTCTGGACCGTAGGTTTATAAAGTATGAAGAAAAGGAATGCGGAGGTGCTAATGAGTTCTCCAAAAAAAAGGCTCAAAGGAAAAATAAAGAGCATATTCACGGCCACAAAACAACATGCAACAAACCTCGGAAAGTTTGCTACCATCTACAAAACCATGATGCTCATCCAGAAAAAGTTGAATGAAGGCAAGGAATCAAGTCACCATTCCTTCCTTGCAGGTGCAATCGGAGGTTACATTGTATTCAAAAACAACACAAGTATCAACCAACAGGTACGTATGTGTATGCCTATACGTATTTGTGTTTGGTGCTTACGAATATAATATGAAACAAGCAATGAACCACATACATATATTCATATAGCTTTACATAATTTTAAATCAAAAGCGTGGGAGAAGCTAATGTCTGAATGTAATCGTTTTAGATCATCTTGTACCTCTTCTCACGTATTTTCATGGCTCTTGTTAAGCTGCCCGTAAAGCGCCAGGTTGTTGACGCTCCACAACACTCTTTTGCAATCTTTGCTACCCTTATATGGGGTACAGTCATGTGGCTCTTTAAACACGAAGCAGATACACTTCAACCTTCTCTTAGAGCATCAATGGTTTATATATACAAGGATTCAGATACCTGGAATTCACTCAAGACTCTCCTCTGGCATAATAAATAATTACACACTTGCTCTTACTAGCACAATATATATATATATATATATGTACACCTCAGCTCAGTGACGCACCATCCCTTCTCCCTCCCCCAATTGTTGATGGTCTCAATCGTTTTTTATTGCCTTGGGATCTCCTTGTGATTTCATTCGATCGATCAATCGGTCGGTCTTTTTATCTCTGTTCTTTTTTTTTTACCTTTCTTCATTTGTTTCCCAAATTGACTTGATATATTTAATATATTTAATATATTTAACATATTTAACATATTTAACATTTATTTTGTTACTATGGGCATAAAAGGTTTCTTACCATTATTTAAACAAGTACAAGAAGAGGTCCACATAAGAGAGTATGGTGGTGTAAAAGTCGCCATCGATGGCAATGTGTGGCTACATAAAGGCGCATTCTCATGTGCATACGATCTTGCAACCAACAGACCTACGCGCAGGTAAGTCTTATCGATCAATCGTAGATGATTTCTTTTAATTAACTGATCAATAATAATCAATACGAAAAAAAGATACGTCGAATATTTTATACGCCAGGTTGATATGCTTCTCTACCACAAAGTCATTCCAATAATCGTATTCGATGGAAAGCCTCTTCCTATAAAATCACACACTAATGACCAACGCTCCAAGCAAGTAATGATTATTATCTGTCCAACCACACAACGTTAACAGTAATTTATGCACAGAGATCGAATAAATGCGCGCGAAGCAGGTTACGAATTAAAAAGACAAGGGAATACGCGTGCAGCAACAGAGCAATTTCAAAAAGCAATCTCAATAACTCCTGAGATGATTGCCCAGGTGTCAAAGGTAATAAAACAAAAGATAATAAAATGGTACAAAGTGCAAGTCACTTTTTGGTATGATATTAAAATATAAAATATTTTGTAAAGGCATTGGCTATTCGAAAAGTGCAGACAATCGTGGCACCTTATGAAGCAGACTCCCAGTTGGCTTATCTTATTAAACATAACATAGTAGAAGCAATTATAACTGAAGATTCTGATCTTCTTGTATTTGGCTGTAAAACTGTTCTCTTCAAGATGGATCGTTCAGGAACTGCCATGCGATTAAGACAGAAAGACCTTCCACTTACAACTGAAATCAATATTTCTGGTTGGGATATAGATAAAATCCGGAGAATGTGTATTCTGTCAGGGTGTGATTACCTCGAGTCACTTCCTGGTATTGGTATCAAACGAGCGCACAATTATCTCGTTAATTTTAAGACTTACGAAGCCGTAAGTTCCTTTTTTTTTACTTTTTAATAGCAATATAATAATTGAATTGATCTGTATTATTTACTAATAATTACACCACTTGTAACAAACAGGTGCTGGCACGACTGCGAATCGAAGGAAAAATGAAAGATACAAAAAATTACGAAGAATTGTTTGAAAAAGCAGAAAAAGCCTTTCTGTACCAACATGTATATGATCCAATTACAAAGGAGTTCGTCACGCTTAACCCTCTCCCTGATAATATCCCTATTGAAACACTCGATTTTCTCGGAATTCCGCCTCAAAAAACATCATACTCCAAAGAAACAAAAGACTGCCAGACTACTCTCCAAAAACATGCATTGTCAGACGAAATACATTCTCAAAGCACACCTGAACTTTTACGAACGAATTCCCTTGCTTCCTTATCGGATGAAGTATTTTCTCAAGAGTCTTTATTACCCGGAACACCTCCAGATATAAGCTCACAAACTTCAACCAATATTACACCAAAAGAAAACATAAAATCTCTCTTCATATCAATAAAAAACAAGCAAGAAAAAGAAACAACCACTGTAAGTCAATTCTTCCCAAACAAAGACATATTTATAAATCAATCAATACGCAAACACACAACTACACATATATTGTATTGTTCACTGGTTATTTACAACGCACTTGGGTGTATATGTATTCGCCTGTTTATTAACTTCACTAATGTACATATTTCTAGACATTGTCAGAAGCAGATACCTTTGAGCGCAAACGGAATTTGAGTATTCACGAGAAAAATAGCTTCTCAAAACAGTTTGCCACAAAAAAAAACAAACTGACTACTCACAAACCAAATCAATTGACAGCTGTCGATCTGTGCAATTTGTTTACTTTTGCCAGTCAAAAACGTCAAGCAAATACTAAGGGAAAGCAAAAAATTCTTTCAAATAATGTGTCTGATTCAATATCCACAAAGAGTACCCCTACCTCCACACAAAGAAGTTTTTTTGATTTTACTCAAAAGTCAAATTCTCGATAATTTTTATATATCTTTTGTTTTTTTTTATAAAGAAAGATCATGTACATTGTCAAAGAAGTCTGTTTTTATATTATAAATATAATATACAAATAGCCCACTTTATTGATTTACTTATCCACAAAAGTAAATCAGCTTAATTTGATATCATGTTAGATCCTAAACTTAATAAAAATGCTTTAAAAGATATTCTTTCTATACACCTTATTTGATATTGATTTAACAACTTATTGTATTCTATTGCTTTATGTAACCAATTGAATTGTCTAGTAAAACAGTAAAATTAAAAATTTCTTTTGTGATGTGACTGGTGTATTCTCAATAAACCCTCGCCCAATCCAAAGAAGAAAAAACACAGTCAAGTTGACTGCGTTTGTACCGAAAATTTAAATTTTTAGATTGTTTTGCCGCTCAAATTTAAACTATAAAAGCCAAACAGTTTGCCATCTTTCAAAATTTATCTTCTCTTGGTCTCTCACTCCTCTCTCTAATGGTAAGCATCACTCTCCCCTTTAAACAACACAATCTATTGGCAGTCGATTATGTTAAAGCTATGATGAATTGGGCATTTGGCTTTAGTTGTCATAACGATGATGAAAAACAACCAGCTACCTAAATTAAACCACTGAAGCTTTAACATAAAAGACACCTTTCTCTGGATTCGTGTGCATTTTATACTTGGCATGTAATATTAGGTACTTACATTGTCTTTTCTTCTCTAGATTTTATCAATCATTTGGAAAGCAAGGCATTGGGATTAAGATTTTAGATAGATACTAGTTTACTTTTTGAAAATATTAAAATGAATAAAATAATTTCCAAAATCACGTTTCCGTTTTTTATTTGCAAGCCACTGCACTAAGCCACATTCTAAATGTTGAAACATCATTTTTTATAATTTTAAATTTGAACTCGCTTTCTCTTCTCTTATGACCTGCAATACATTATTGCACTTTCATGATGTTATCATTCGAGAGGATGTAAGGTCTTTTGTTTAAAATTAATTTGTGTTAAAATTATGAACAGGATTTTTGTACCCTTGACGAACATAATTGGTTAAATGATACTATTCTTGAATTCCATATGGAATATCTCGAGCGTACTTTTGTTACGTCCGAGACGAGTATTCAATTATTGCGACCGGCTATTGTACAGCTAATTACCCATACACATGGTGTGTTCCATTTGGTTTCCATCTACAATGAATTTTATGATCGATTAACGAACGATTTTAAAAGATCCTCGACAGATAATTTCTGCTTTACCCCCTCGCCTGAACGAGCAGAATGCGATATTTATACCTGTGAATGATGGTCGTCCTTCTGCTGCTAATAGTGGATCTCATTGGTAAATAGTAATAACTTATGTTCTTTATGGGGTTGACATATGTTTCTGCTTTTTTTTTTTGGCGAATTTGATCAGGTCTCTACTTGTATTTCTTCGACCGTCTTGCGCATTTTATTACTATGATAGTATGCGATATAGCAATATTCAGGAAGCACGACATACGGCTCGCCAAATGGCTCTTCTTCTTGGTCTAACCAAAAAGCCTGAGTTTATTCCTACGTCGACTCCCCAACAGAACAATGGTGCCGATTGTGGTGGTAATATTAGAACTAGGCTTTTTTTATTATTTGTTTTCACTAATCCTGTGTACGCTAGTCTATGTGATCGGGATTACTGATAGTCTTGTCAATCGATTTATGGAGCTCAAGGGAAAACCTATCGAGGCCGACAAATTGATGATGCTTCCCAAATCTCACGTTGTAGAACCCACAAAGATTAGGAACAAACTTAAATGTCTTATCCGTTCGCTTGGACACACAGACTAATAAGTATTCATACACACATATTTATGAATAAACCAATCAAAAGATTTTTAAATTTTAAATGTGAAGATGAAGGTTTTTTATTATTTACGTGAGTTGATTTTGTATGTTCTTACTCCATCTCTCTCTCTCTTTCTTTCTCTCTTTTAGAAACAGGTAAAAGCAGGTGAAAATCATTTTGCAGAAAATAAAGGGGTTCCAAGCGTTTTTGCCTGGGTTTATTTGTATAGTTGTGTTTAATATGAATACACTTTCATCTACTATACATTTTATTACTGTACCCCAACAAAGACCTATAGCTTTAGTTTTTCTTTCAAAACGTACATATTTTCAAAAGAGATAAAAAAAATGTATATAAAATGCACAACATCATTTTGGAGGGCTGTTATGAGAGAGATAGACGTATATAAGCATAAATACAAATGAATAAGATATGGAAAGACAAATAAGAAACGACGAGACAATATCAGCTCATCTATCCCAAAGCAACTATTATTGCTCTTGCTGCTGCTATTACTGCTACTGTACCCAAATACATATCTATAACAAAGAGTATACCAAAAAAAAAGCAAACTTATACGAATATTATCGTAGATTTGAAATGGACGCTGAGAAACTTTCCAAACTTCAAGTTCAGGTTCGCATCGGCGGAAAAGGTAAATGTGATCATTTGAACAAATATGCTATTAAAAGATTACACAAACAAAAGGTACTCCACGTCGCAAGACCAAGAAATTCATCAAGGTCTCTGGTTCTGGAGATGACCGAAAGCTGTCCGCTGCTCTCACAAAACTGGGTGTACAGCCCATCGCTGGTGTCGAGGAAGTCAATATGTTCAGGGACGATGGTATGGTTATTCACTTTGGTGCCCCCAAAGTCCAAGCTGCCGTCAACTGTAACACCTTTGCAATCCATGGCCGAGCCACTGAAAAAAACTTGGCTCAACTCGGTAATATATAATAGACTGTCTTTATGTATTGGTTGAGAGCACAGATTGCTTATCATGGTAAAAAATAATAATACAGTCCCTGGTATCTTGAATCAAATGGACCCTGAATCCTTGGCCATCCTACGTAAACTCGCCGAAGCTTACCAGACTAATCAAGCTGCTGGTACTAGTGGGGATGAGGACGATGAGATCCCGGATTTGGTCGAGAGCTTTGACAAGGTTGATATTAAAGAAGAGAGAGCATTTATTTGATATAACCATAGCTAGCTTGTCGAGGTGATAATAAAATATTTAAAAACCATTAAGACTTTTAAAGAGCTTCCTTGAAAAGTATGTAGAAAAAAAAATTAAAATAAAAATGGTGGGGGAGGATTACACAGCATTGTCTTGTGTGAAACATTCAAGTCTCGGTTTTCTCAAATAAACTCATTTCATCGTCACAACCAGTGGCTTTTCCTCTTTTTTTGGTAAAGCGAGTAATTTTCGGTTCGGTTTTTTTTTACTTTTTCTCGACATTCAACTCTAGATCATGGGCAAAGGAAGAGATAAAAAGTCGTCCAAGGGTAATACTTAACTAAACCAACGAGAAACCCAATTGGCACATTAGACTCACTAAGAAATTTTAGGACGTTTGGACAAGTACTATCATTTGGCAAAGGAACAGGGTTACAGAGCCCGTTCAGCCTTCAAGCTTATCCAGCTGAACAAGAAGTACTCTTTCCTTGAAAAGTCCCGTGTGTTGATCGATCTTTGTGCCGCTCCTGGTGGTTGGTATGTATTAAATAAAAAATCCAGGAACTGCAATGTAGGAACATATACATATATTGATATAAAAAACATTATTATTATTATAGGCTTCAGGTGGCTACAAAGTACATGCCCCAGTCGAGTTTGGTCATTGGTAAGATCGCAGCTAGAAATTACCTCAGACCAAGCAATGCTTAATTATAATGCTTATTTTAGGTGTCGATCTGGCCCCCATTAAACCGATCCCCGGTGTCATTACCTTCCAGGACGACATTACAACTGAGAGATGTAGACAAAATTTGAGACAGGAGATGAAAACATGGAAAGCTGATGTGTAAGCTTGTCAAAATACACTTATAAATTCTTTATATTAATTCTCTATTTGTATATTAGAGTACTCCACGATGGTGCTCCCAACGTTGGTGCTGCATGGTCTCATGATGCTTTCTCCCAGTCAGAGCTTGTACTAGTATCTCTCAAGCTTGCCACCGAGTTCCTGGCTAAAGGCGGTAAGTTTATTATTCTTTTCATTTTTTATTTTGTGATGAGAATTTCATATATCGGCCGCGGTGTTTATCTATTTCTGCCATTTTTCTATATTAGGAACCTTTGTCACCAAGGTTTTCAGATCCAAAGATTATAACAAGCTTCTCTGGGTTTTCCAGCAGCTCTTCCGTAAAGTAGAGGCTACCAAGCCTCCTTCTTCTCGTAATGTCTCAGCCGAAATTTTCGTTGTATGCCGTGACTTTTTGGCCCCCAAGAAGATCGATCCTCGTTTCTTGGATCCCAAGGCTGTATTCTCTGAAATCGACACAGATGAAGCAGCCAAGATGACTGATATCTTTAAGCCAGAAAAAAAGAGAAGACACAGAGATGGTTACGAAGATGGAAACTACACTCAACACAAGAACGTAGATGTCATGGAGTTCATTACAGCAAAGGATGCAATTGCTGTTCTTGGATCGTACAATGAACTTGTTTTTGAATCCGACGAGTCAAAGGAACTGCTTAAGAAGAGCGCTACCACTGAAGATGTCAAGATCAATTGTAAGGATTTGAAGGTTTTAGGCAAGAGAGATTTCAAGACTCTGTTACAATGGAGAACTGCAATCCGTGCCGAGGTAAATACTAATGATATACAAAGATTCTGACCTATCTATATATACACATTCTTACTAAAAAAACTAACCTCTTGTTGAACAGTACAAATTGGACAAGAAGGAAGAGAGAATCGAGTCTATCGTTGTAGAAGAAGAGCCTCTTGATGAGGATGAGCAGATCCAGGCTGAACTCGATAATCTCACCAAGGAGGAAGCTGCTAAACGCAAGCGCGAGAAGAGAAAGTCCAATGAAAAGAAGACCAAGTTGATTCAGCGTATGCAGTTGAACATGACTGCACCTACAGATATTGGGCTCGAACAGCAAGGTCCTGAAGATGAACAGATGTTCAACATCTCTAAAATCACCAAGGAAGAGGTAAGCTTATCTGTGGATCATATATTGCAATTCCGGATCAGAAAGTTAAACGGTTTTATTTCTTTTAGTTCCTTGAACAACTTCATGCTGGTGATATGTCTTACGCCGATGATCTCGAAGAAGAGCTCGAAGGTGCTGACGCTTCTCTTTCCAAGAAGATGAAGGGTCGTATAGCAGAGATGGATGCAGACATGGACATGATGTCTGACGAAGGTAGCGACTACGAACTCGAGCTCGAGAAGCAAATGGATGCCGATTACGATCGTTACATTGCACGTAAGGTTGAGAAGGATGCCAAATTCAGAGCCAAGCAGGCACGCGAAGAAGAGGATGAATGGAAGGGCTTCGATGGCAAGCGCACCCCCAAGCGTGGCGATATGCAAGAACTCGAAAATGATGGAAATGATTCCGATTCTTCTTACGCTTATGGAAGCGACAAATCCTTCTCTGACCAGGATTCTGATGCTTCATCCAACTCTGATACCGAAGAAGAAGCAGATGAAGAGGAAGCTACCCCCGAAAAGAAGACACGTAGAAAGAGAGCTCTTCCCGTTGTAACACGCAAAAACGACGGCAACTCCTTGCTCAATGATCTAGGCAAGAAAGCCGATCTTGCCAAACGTACAGCCAGTGGCTTAACCAAGGGTGCTTCTATGTTCTTTGACCAAGATATCTTCAAAGGTGTTGATCTTGAAGGTGATGACGAAGAGGAAGATGAACAATTAGAAGCCATGGAAATTGATATGAAGTCGAGAAAGAGAAAGGCCGAAGAGGTAAGAAAATTAAAAACCTTTTGGAAGTATTGGATAAATTTGCTTAATTCAATGTCTTTCATTATCAGGAATTGATGGAAGAGTCCGAAGAAGATGCTAGAGACGATGCAGATTCAGAAAGTGACTTTGAAATCGCACCCACCGAAGATAACGTTCCTTCTGACGAGGAAATTTGGGACGGTAATGAGGATGAAAACTCAAAGGCTATGCGTGCTGCACAAGGTAAGTTTATCACCAATTAATTATTAGTCTATGTGTGTGTACTCAATTCAATGTAATATAATTAACACACACACACACACACACATATATATATATATATATATATTCTACAGAAAATGGCCTTATCACAGCAGAAGCAATCACATTAGCCAGACAATTAGCGAATAAGGAAAAGACTGCAGCTGATTTGATAGATCAAGGCTTCACAAAGGAGGCTTTCCGAGACAAGGATGGCGCACCTGTGTGGTTCTTGGATGATGAGAAGAAGCATAACCGTCCTCATTTACCGGTCACAAAGGAAGCTGTGTCTGCCCTTAAAGAAAAGCTGAAGGCACTGGATGCCCGCCCAATTAAGAAGATCGCAGAAGCCAAGGCCAGAAAGAAGTTTAAGGTAAAAAGCAAATATACCCGGGCAGTTTTAAAAAATGCTTTATTTACTCACTATTATGGATATATGTAGACCATGAAGCGTATTCAAAAGGCTCAGAAAAAGGCCAACGATGTAGCGGACAACCCAGACATGTCCGAAAAAGAAAAACTTACCTCAATCAACAAATTGCTTTCAAGGTCGACAAAGTCAAAACCAAAGAAGGAGGTCAAATTGGTCGTTGCAAAGGGCTCAAACCGTGGTCTCAAGGGTCGACCTACTGGCGTCAAGGGTCGTTACAAGATGGTAGATGCACGTATGAAGAAGGAGATGCGCGCAATGAAGAGAAAGGCAAAGAGTCAGAAGAAGGGCGGCGGCAGAAGATAGAATCAATTTATTTCATTATTATTCCACGAACAAAAAATATCAACCTCATTTACAAACATCCGTCCAATACATATAAAACAACTTATGTTCATATCGTCCCGCTTATTTTATTTTATTATTACTTTTATGACTTGGCCCAATAGCCTATATTTTATTTATTGATGGAGCCAATATTTAGAAGCATTGTAGGGTAGAGAGTTAATATACCCTTAAATGGATTCTGGATAGTTTGGAGAATCCAGGTTCTTTAGCATCGTACTGATGCTGTATTTAGGTCTTGTATTCTAACCAGCAAAATAATAGATAAGAATCTTGGTTGAACAAAAAAAAAGAAAAGAAAAAAGACAAATATACCGTGAATGTACGTAAATGAGAAGCTCGTTTTTGGCTAAAATAAAGGCCAATTGTAGTGTCTATCCACGAGGTTTCAGAGTAAGGGATATCATCTGAATGAGGTTTCAATGAATCGTACTTTGATCCAATTTTCTGTAGATCAATTTAATTAATAATCATTTTGATCAAATATATATATGTGTGTAATTTAACCTTTAGACATGATGAGGTTGCATCATAAAACTTTGTTCTATCTGACTGGCGTGCAGTTTCACGGATACGCTGAAGTGCATGAGCAATGTCTGGGATATTCTTAATCCCAACCCCAAGTCTCTAGTAAAACATTAGAGCGCAAGTACCATTTGCTCAACTATATCACACTTACCTCTGCATAAGAAGGGCTGAATATTAGTGGATATGTAGAGCATAATGTATTAGATAATAGATGGTTAATACTAAATGCTCCATAGTTCATCATTTTCATCGAATGTGATTTCAACAACTTTTCCAAGACTTCCTTCAGTAAGATGATCAAGAGTGAAAGAAATAAAAGTTAAAAGTTAAATTAAGATGATTAATAAAATTTGGCTATTATATATATATATAAAGGATATTTTCTGTTTTCCATTCGAACCGAATCATCAATTTCTTTAGTAGGGCGCATGGAGCAGGACGCTCAATAAGATAAGATAGAGGAGTTGTGGTGTATGACTTTGGGATAAAAAACAAGAAATCTAAAAGAATGGAATAATTTTCATTTATTGCTGTTAGATTCTTAGTACATTCTTACTCTGACAACTTTCTGAGAAGCACATTTCTTTGCATTTAAATCCATAGAGTTGCATAGAGTTCACAAGAGCTTCACGTAGCCATGGATGAATACCAATTTGTTGGATGTCATCGATATGGCTTGTGCAGTAAGTACAAACAAGTTAAGGCATCAACATAAACTAGTGGTAATCAGCTCAGCAATATATAGATACACGATATAGTACCAAAAAAAAAGGATATCTCTATGGCCAGATTTCCACCCTCTAAAACACAATCTAGTTTGTCAAGAGTAAAAGTATCTTGGGAATGTGTTTGATAGTCAAGGACCTGTGTACATTTTAACTCTGGGTAAAATGAACAATTGAACATCCCCTGCGGAGGAGTCATGTATCGAAGACTAATATTGGTGTCTCGTTCTCTTCGACAAATAGTAACATCAGTAGTCTGGGTTCCTTTATGACAAGCCATGTTAGAAAGCAAAGAAGAAAAGTATTCATTTGTAGTAGACACGTATTTTATAGCCACAAAAAAAAAAGCGGCGTGACCTTTGGTTTACGCGTATATCTTGTACCAATTACTGTTTATTTGCCTGAACGTTATCACCAATTTGTTTAATTTATAATTCAAGACATAAGAGAAAATAGGATTGGCTGGGTGTTTTCTATGTATTTTACTATTTACAATTCGTGCTTATATAATATATTTTTCTTCTTAATTTGACAGCTTTGCCTTCTTTCTTGCTCTGTACTTGTCCTTCTTAACCTTATCAGAATCACCTCTCTTGCGCTCAATAAGTTTTCGGTATTTGGTCATGCGCATCTCTTGTCCACCGCCCAATATAACAGTCGAAATACCGTTTGAAGGCTTCTCTTTCAGTTGTACTCTGTCCTGGACACACATAGGATTTCCATCGTGGTCAGAAACCATAAACTCATTGACACAGCCTAGCATGGTCTGGCACATCAATCCACGAGTCATGGACACACACCATTGCTCTTGTAAGTGACCATACACTCTCAGGGGGCTGGGGAAGTTTCCTTCCGTAGCATGAACCCATTCAAGATCCTTGTATTCACTATCATACAGCATCAGAGGAAGATCACTGGCCATAGGATAATCTGGTCTAGCATCGCACTTTTCAATATCCATCAAATCATGGACCACCTCAGGCTCTTCAAGTTCCTGACCAACCAAGAAAAGGATAGCCATAATGCAGCGCACTTGATGCCACAAAAATGCTGATCCAGTTAGGACAACTTCGTAAAACATGAGATTTGTGCCGAGTTTCTGAGTATCCAAGGTGTGAACTGGTTGAATATCGAGTCGGATCACAGTACGTTGGTAATTAGTTATATCTTTGGTAGGATCGATTTTGCAAAAGTTACGGAAATCGTGAGTGCCTTTAATATATTCAGCCGCCTTTTGCATGGCTTGTATATTGAGATTTCCTTTGTTGAAAAAGTACTTGTATGTGCGGGAAAGGCAGTTGAATCGTGCATCAAAATCAGGCTTTACAGGCGACCAGGCGAGAATACGAATGTCGGGAGGGAGAAGACGGTTAATTGTATCAATGTAAGGCAACTCACGGTTACGGGCTGCTTTCTCAAGTTCGGGATTATCAAGTTCTTCCTGAGTTAACAGACTTCGGACATCTAGAGAAATCACTTGACCAAGTCCACTAACACCTTTGTCCGTACGCCCGCAGCGAGAAAAGTTTGCCTCTTCGGGGTCATTGATGAGTTTACACTCCTTCATGGCACGAAAAAGATGTCCTTCCACCGTAGGAGTTTTCTCATTATCAGCTTGGGCAGCAAATCCAAGGTAATTCCAACCAAGATAAGCTACTTTAAATGCAACTCTTCGTCTGCAGTATCGGGTCATATCGAATGGACGTTCTCTGCGTGGCTTCTTCTTTTTTCTTTTTTTGTCCATTTGTTCTGATTCGAGAGATTCGATTCGTTCCAGGAGTTGTTCTTGGGACCAGCCCTCATACTTCTTGGTGCCCATTATGTTGACCAATAAACAGAGTAATAAATATAAAAAAAGAAGAAACCTATTTTGTTTTTTTTTCTGAATTACAATTTTATTTAGATGAAAGGGGAAAGAGCAAGTACAAGCCACGACAAGTCACCTACCTCTACCTCATCACTCTTCCCAATGACAGATTTATTTGAGAAAACAAGCGAGATCTTCTGGAAATGGCTTGAAAGTAACGGTGCCACTCTCTCTGAGAATATTGAAATCGGAGATTACCGCAGTGAGGGAGCAGGACGTGGAATTACGGCAAAGAATGACATTAAAGTAAGTTAAATCTGTCAAAATCGATGAGTCTAACATTGTGAGTAGGAAGGAGAAATTTTGTTTTCCTTGCCGAGAAGTCTGCTACTATCTCCTTTGACTTCACGACTAAGACAAGAGCCAGGAATAGGTGATAAACTGGATAATCTTGAGGGCTGGCTTCCTTTAATTCTCTGTATGATGTATGAGAGCCAAAAGCCTGATTCATTTTGGAAACCCTACTTTGGTAAGCAGTAAGATTTTTTGTGTTCAATTTTTTTTTACATATACTAAAAATATTTTGCATTTGTATTTTTTTTTATATAGATATACTTCCTAAAACATTTTCCACACCGATGTTCTGGGGTGATGATGATATCAAGGGACTAGAGGGAACTGATATTGTGGGTATGTAATACCAAATATTTAACAGACAAAAAACTAAAAAGCAGAAATATTATAAGGAGATGTTACAAAATGATAAACTTAATGTTCGTGATAGGCAAGATCGGTAAATCAGATGCCGAGGCGATGTTTGAGTCAAATATTCTCCCAATTATCAAGGTGAAAGACAGATTGAAAGCGTTGATGATAAATCAGACTGTATACTAAATATTTCATGATAGAGTAACCCTATCCTGTTTGATGAAAATATTCATACAGTCGAGCTTTTTCATATCTGTGGCTCCCTGATAATGGCTTATAGCTTTACAGATGAAGTTGCAACAAATGCGAATAAACCAATTAAGAATAAAGAAGACGAAGACGAAGATGAAGACGACGAAGACGAAGACGAAGATGAAGACGAAGAGGGAGCTGAATTGATTGCCATGGTACCTTTGGCCGATACATTAAATCACAAGACTGGTTTCAATAATGCGCGCCTGTTTCATGAGCCAGAGTTTCTTGAGATGAAGGCATTCAAAGATATTCGTAAAGGAGAGCAGATCTACAATACGTACGGTGATTTGTGTAATGCTGATCTCCTAAGAAAGTATGGATTTGTTGATGAGCCCAACGAGTTTGATATTGTCGAAATCAACGGTGCAGATGTAGTGAGCACCTTTTCCAATCCAGAAGAGAATGAAGAAGTAACAGGCAGAAAGGTAAACACAGCCTTTGGATGTAACACCTACATTTGTTTTAAGGGCTTATTAAATCTGGTGGCTTAATGTATTTATTTATTTACTTAGCTTGAGTTCCTTATGGAGGAAGGCGTATTGGACGAGTAAGTACAGATATCAAACATAAAAATCCTTAAAAGACTCACATTGTTCGCTTTGTTTTTTGTTTTTTGTTTTTTGTTTTTAGTTGCTTTGTTCTTGAGAATGACCACGAAATTCCTGAAGCGTTGATTATAATAGGTAAACAATAGGACGCCAATGTTTTGTCTTATGATATTGATATAGCCGATGTTTCCGTAACCAAAAAATAAAAATAAAAACAAAGCCCACGTATTGAAAGCCCCTGTGGCCGAGTTTGATAAAATGGAAGCTAAGCAAAAGCTTCCCAAGGCCAAGCAAACACCGGAGATCATGCGTCCGTTGATGGAGCTGTTTGAGCGGCGCTTGGCAAAGTATCCTTGTTTAAAGGTAAACAAAACGTAAAGGTTGGTGTTTTACTGACATCGCTTTAGGATACACCGGCGGCCAATGCAAACCAGGAGAGAGCGCGTGTGGTCCAAAAGGGAGAAATGGACATCCTTAAGGGCATACTAGCAAAATATCAAAATAACAAGCGGCCTGCAGACAGCAGCGGTGCCAATGAAACCAAAAGACGAAAATAATATGATATACGTGATTGGCCAGGAGTGCCAAAAACATCATTTAGAGGGGGAGTGGGGCGTGTGTTACGCATAGGACAAATGGAGAGCTTTTTTTTTCACCCCTGCGTGCGACCTTTTTCCATTTCTAACATAAAGAGCCGATTTGGGACTGATAAAAAACAGATAATTTACCTAAAAATGTCTTATTTCAACATCTTTCCTTTTCTGTATCACCCGCCTCTTTATTTTCAATACATCATCATTGTTCTCATCATCCACCTTCAATTCAGCTCTTTCTCTTTCTCTTTCTTTACCATGCTTGCCTGCCTTCAACTTCCTCACTCACCTTCCCTTCGTGTCAAACACAGTCCAGATCCTCTGCTGTCATATGCAACCCTCAATGTTGATACGCTTATTGAATGTTCAAAAAAGAAAACATATTTCCAGCATCGTCTCTTACCCGATCTTGCCTGCTTTATCCGTCACATCTACTTTAAATGTCATCTCACACCAACAGTACTAGTTATTGGACTGATATATCTTGAACGTCTCAAGGCTAGTCTGCCGAGTCGATCTCGTGGAGGTAAAATAAATAAATACATATAAAATGAATGTTTGATTACTTATCTTATTATAGAATATGACACGCCTTACAAAATGTTTTTGGCTGCCGTAGTCTTGGCGTCTAAATTTGCGGATGATAGCAATTCTGTCACCCACTCTGTATATAGATTTGTATCACCATTGTATTCTCGTAAAGAGTTGAATGAAATGGAGCGTTCTTTTCTTGGTAAGGCCGCAGTTTTCTGTCATAAAAATATAAACAATTACATATATATAAATGACTAATTTGCCTATACTTGTACTTGTATGGATTAATTAGGTGTAATAAAGGTAATAGATACATAAATAGTACCGGCAGAATTGTTTCATAAACAAAAGCAAATGAACTAATGATTACTCTTTGATAGTTCAATCTCTACGTAGATCTCGCACAAGTATCCTGTTTTGTTAAGAAACACCAAGATGCAATTGAGCTCGAATTGGACCTTGTTTCTTGAGTTTTCCTTTTCTTTATATATATATATATATATATATATATATATTTATACTTTCATTTTTAAGAAAGAAACAAAAAAAAACAGGTCTTCTTTTATATCCTTCATACATTGCATCTTTTCTCACTACCCATTCTCTGTTCAAATTAGAGCTCATTCTTTGTCTATACCACGTCTAATTATCATAATAAAAGAAATCATTATAATAAATAAAAATTAAATCAAATTAAATTAAAAAACAAAAAATTATTCAGCACTGAAACACTGCCTATTAAAATCTTGGCAAAGAAAACTGATGTAAAAAAAAAACACTTGAAAAGCAGTCAAGAGGCCTTTATACAGAATTTCTTTATTACAGACCTCAGATGTACAGTAGTAGTGACGAGCAATTGGTTATTTATGTGATATTTTTACAGCATAAAATATCACTGAACCGCACCTCATTCAAAATCAAGCTGCTCAAAGCACCCAGTCCATTGCTGTTTCTCTGGTGCAAAATATCCAAAAAAATATAACCTTACATGTGCTGTCCAAACCATTGGATATAAATATATGTACATATTTGTACATTAAAGTTAAAAATATACATTATAATATGAAACACGCGGAATGTAATTTAAACGGCTCAAGCCTGTTGAATTTATTTTGTTTCAATTCATGAATAATATATTCTCCGTAAAAGAAATCATAAATAAGGAAAAATACGTCTAATAAGCCACGTAGCATTTGTCTTTATCGGTGGACTCAAAATCCTTTCTCTTCGGATCAATATGTTTCTGAAACTGATTTGATTTGATTTATTATTATTATTTGATTTAGCTTTACTTACGCACTGTGGTAAATGGCAGCATTGATAACTCCGTACTCGTAGCTTATCTACGCGCTCGTATCGAATCTACGCGCTCGTAGGTTCTTCAGCAAATGCGATTTGTGGGATTTCAGATTACTTTTGCATTTAATCCAATCAATTGTTCTAATAAAGTAGATCTATACCTTTTTAGATACTTTAATTTTTCTTATAATTGGTCCAACAAACTTAATGTTTTATAGCAAAATATTTTTATTTTTTGACTTTATTAATAGTAAAAGTAATAAAATAAGGCTCTTCTTTAGCCTTCTCATATCTATAGCATTTCCTCTAATAAAGGGTACTAAAAAATAGTAGACGAATGATAGAATAAGTATGTAAAGAAGAAGACTACGATAATTTTAAATTAAATAATAAGTATATTAAAAGTCTAATTTAAATTGTAAGATCAATGTCTTTATAAACTACTAGATATCGCTTTGGCCAGAAATAAAAAAGGGAGTTTTGTTTAACATTAAAAGAGCTATAGCTATATATCATTCTATCTATAAAATATGTGTATGTGTGCTTATCTTGTAATGCTTTGATATAAGGTTTTGTGTTAAGGGTCTTGTTATAGATCTCTAGCTTAATATTGTAATCGTCCAAAAGCTATAAGTTATCAGTTAGTACTTTGTAAAGCCTCAGACTTGTCAACAATAGTAATAGTGAGAAGAAATAGAAAGAAAAAGACTTACGAAATAAAAAACAAGTTCGAATTAAAAAAAATATTAGTAGATATGACTGTTTCTGGTATAAGCTCAGATCCAAGTTACATAGTTCATTGGGTTTGTTTGATCATCTAGTTGATTTTTCTTTAATCAAGCGAGTAGTTCTCTTTATTCGGCGATCAAGATGGTTTCCTGGGTTGACGACGAGACTCTCATCTTCAAAATATTTCTCTAGAGCCAAAATAGGATAGAAATACTCTAAACTTGGTAAGTGCTAGATAGTGTTCAAAAATCTGCCATTTCTTTCCAAAATAAGGCAGTTTGTTCCAAATACTCGTAGATTTTTTTCTAGTGCTGACTTGTATATTCGTTTTAATAGTTTGGAACTAAGCTACATACCATTGGCTACGGGAGTAAAAAATCATAAGGGTTTCTTGAAAAGCACAGCTAAATCATGACCATACATATCATCATATACACATATACATACACATTCCTCTTCCGCTTTTGAATAGACACAAACTAATTACTTTAGAACAACAATAGATTAATGATCAAACTTGATAGGTATATTGGGTGCTTGATTTCGAGCTTAATAATGCCATACTTATGGAACAGCAAATGAGTCTAGAATGAAAAGAAATAAATTAGATTATTAATTAATATATTAGCAAGTAAGGTTTTTATTACTACTACTACTACTACTACTACTACTACTACTACTGCTGCTATTATTATTATAGCTTAATTAGTGGAATATCCGTCACCAATCAAAATACCAAGAGAGTCTGGTATCCATATATTGATAGCCAATATAAACATATCAAGTGTCTCCCCATAATTGCGGTAACTATTTGTAGAGACCCTTAAATATTACAAGGTAAGAGAAAACCGCCCAACTAGGCCATGTCCGTGATTGATAATATCCCAAAGTTTGGCCTGGGAAAAACCATATGTATAGAATGGAAGTGCTTGCTCTAGAAAACAACCAAGGGCAGTATATATGTATATGTATATAATTTACAAGAAAACATCAAAGTTAGCCCCTCCTACGAAGGAAAGAAAAGAAAAAGAAAAGCCCATAGAAATAATCTTTAAAGAGATAGCTAGTAATACCGCTATATTGCTAGGTGTATATCAGGCTTACTCTAAGGCTTACATATTTATTTAATGGTGCGAGTATTAGGGTATATATGAGTTAAAAGATATATATCAATAAGCTCATATATATATATAGTTACCGATATTAACTCGAACGAATTTCAGATAGTATGTAGATAAAGCCAAGGAAACAATCTGTATAACTTCACAAGAAGCTTGTACTATACATTAACTGAATAGGGTGTGGGAAGAGGGGTTAACTGTATTACAATTACTTGATATAAATTCATCGGTAGTCGTAGTTACTTGAATATCACTGGGATCAAATACATAACGAACTAACCAAATACACACATGCTTGCAAACCAATTTGTTTTTCCCGTTTATTTTCTCTGAAATATATGTATAAAAAATCTTACGTTGCCTTAAAAAACAACAACAAACAAACCACCAATCTTTTAGTGATCTAGATAGCGGAAAAGACAAGAAGCAAAAGAATTCCTTCATTCGGCCTTTCCCTCAGGAATCCAAAATGTATATAGGCACACTTCTTTAAGAACACTTCATTTTGCCTCATCTTACAAATATACATGAGTTTAAAAATATCCTATATAATTTTATCAAGCAGCAATATAGATGCGGCTATGTTATATTTCAATAATATAAAATGCGGAGTGATGATATTTGTTTCACATATGAAATGTGCCTGGAGATGTAGATGTAGATGTAGGTACTCTGCTTATAATGTAAGCAAAGGAATCTACAGAAGAGTCAACTACTAAAATGAGCTCTGCTCTTTTTTTTTTCTGGTAAAAATCTAATCGAATTGACAGGGACGATGCACTAACAAGATATAAAAGTCTTTCTGAAAAGGATCCGTGTCATCGGAAGATGACTCCGGGTCCTCAGGTTCTTCAATATGGTCTGGGTGCCCAGTTAATCCATACGAGGAAATTTGACATTCCCAGAAATATTCCCTGTGAAGCTTGTTCTCCAGTTTTCTGCGCTGGCGTTCGGCTTCAATATGGTAAGCCCTGAGCGGTGTACTTACGGAGATCAGATTGTCTTTAGAAAATGGCAGGTGAGACTTGGTAGCACCATAAACTGAAGACTTGTACGGATCATTGTTTTGCATAGCTTCAAACTGCAGCCCAATTTTTTTCTTTATAGGTTTATTGATGGGTCGAGAAAGAAGTGCACGGCTGCACACTATGCCATCACAATAACTTGCATAATTGTAAACCTCTGACGTATAAGATTATCATTTGGTGTCAACAAGTGACACTTGTAGCGCCATGATACCAGCCCGGTGAGATAGGATGGCGTGCTTCAGTGCCTCGTTTGTCTTGAATTCCGGTAAATCTGCATCAAGTAAGAAGGTTTTTTTGTCAGAAGATTGAGTAACACGCAAACGGAGAGCATACTGTCATTTATATCAGCTCTAGTCAAAATTGGAAGAAAGCCCCAAGTTAGGTCTGTGCTGTTGTCTACACTCCATTTTTGCTTTTAGTTTATTGGTGGCTAACGTTAACTAGAATGTCTGGCAAGTCGTTGTTATGAAAAGGGGCTTTATAAAAAAAGAGATATATTAAATTTATCTTATATATTGGCTATATTAGATCCAGAAAACTTGGATATAATTTGATTGCAATAATAATCATAACTATGGAAATACCTACAAAGTCCAACAAACAGCTTTTACTGTTTTCACGAATTAGCTAATTTGATCTATATTGATATATAATACACACAAAGATAATCTATATCTTATACCTCTTGTATGACACAGTTTGTTCATGTGGGCTTTGAAGTATGCGATTACAAATGTGCTCTCAGCCAACCATACACCTAATTCCATTGCGTGAGAACCCAAGTGATGGCCACAATTGAAAAGGGGGCTCGACAATTACACATCTTTAAAAAAAATACAGAGTAAAAATAGGACGTAAAACCGATCAGTTTCTACTGTTTTTACCATAAAAACAATATTCCTGGAAGGATTAAAGAATGAGATAGCCGTAACAGCCAGACTATTAGCAATACTTATAAGCTGCCAGTAACTTTGTTAAATCACAATATATATATATATAAAGCAAAAACATGTATAGAGACTACCACATTTTATCACCATCTTCGCCTGTATGACAAGACTGAAAAATCTTAGCGTTCTATCACTCAAAGGCTTCTATAAAACGGCCTCCTGAGTGGAAAAATTTCACCTTCATCTGATTCGGATATTGATTGCAAGCCGGCTTCTATACATTTATAATTTAATGGTCCTAAAAGAGGCGTCGTATCTCTCAAGCTTAGAAATATTAATCACTCCTTGGTCTGTTACACATATGGCCCAGAGCTCTCCTACCAAATTTTGCAGCTGTGATCTGCCTTGCCAAGTGCGGCGTTGTACGAACATGAATGAGTGTATATCGCTGGGGTTTTGGCTGAGAAACGGAAACTAGAATTACCCTTGTATATATATGAACAGTAAAAAGAGTCATAGGCCGACTCTGACACATTTTGTTGTCTGGTACAGTCTCATACCAACCAAGCTGATCTAGATGAGGGGAGTATACTATCTGAAGACATCTCACAGATTCCCGGACAGGAGCAATGAGCCCTTTAGAGACAAGGAAAGAGGAGGATCCAGGCGGGAACCACTGAGACCGAGGGTGGTGACCATAGTGAGTGAGAATTGCTCGTGTGCTGATATAGACTGTGTATACCCGTTGTGGCTAGATCTCAAGGGTGATGTAGGATCTACTTCTGCTGGAAAGTTGTGCATTGTGCCAGGCCGAGGTACTTTTTTAGCATACATGTCTACTATGGTTGGACAATAAAGGGAAGAGATAAGATGATTGCCAAAGACATTTGCCATATATATATATACATATTTTGTTTGTGTGTATTGTTTGGCATATATTATGTACAGCTAAACAGGACAGACGATTTGCAAGGAGGTTGTTCTAATAGTTTTCAACATCCCTGCCTATAATAAATATAGTCTTTAGACTTTTTTTATATATAAAACAAAGAGCGGTTACAAAGAAGTCGAGGTTTGTCTAGAATTTCTATTCTCTCGCTCCAGAGCAATTCCCTCCTTAAAAAAACAGAGAGGAAGGTCAAGAGAGATGAAAAAAAAATTGAGCATATTTCTTGATTGTTGGACATACTTTATTACCCACTATTTCGAAAACATCCTATCTAGCTCCCCCTTTAGATTTATGGTTTTTATGTGAGCTTTATTATAAGCACAGGCCGTAACTTATATCAGACCCCCATTTATTCAACTCCTCCAACGTGGCAAATTAATTTGATTATTCTCGACAATACATCAACAGTAAACAAAATATAGAATTCCAAGGGGATAAAAAAAGAGTACTTGTTTACCCGAAAATGAGGATATAGCATATTATTTGCGACTGTGGTTTAGCCGAACCAGTTTGAGAAGTCACTTGGGATGACTTATTAAGTCAGGTTTAACAAGCAAAAAGAAATAAAATAAAAACTATAACAAAGGTGTGCAATCAATGTTAGATGCACCACAAAATTCTACTTTGAACATTGCGAAAAATTCTTGTTTTCGTTGTCGAGGATTCAGGTAAAAATACATAAGAAATAAATAATGTAAATTGTGAGCAAAAGATCATCTCATATTTATCTTGCCAGACACTCATGTAATCGACAAAAGCCTAGCTGCCTACGATGCGAAAAACGAGGCATTCAATGCATATATCCTGAGGCAGCACCTACATTACGTACACTTGCAATCACAATAGAAGAATTGGATGTTCGGATGAAATCATTGAACCGAAACCTTGGATTAGGAGAAAAGATCATGAAAGAATGGAAATTTCTCAACTGCCTACAAAAGACACTTCATCTAAAAGAAAACGTCGAGGAAGATTTGGATGTATTGTTGCAAGCTAAACTACGGCTATTTACAAATTCATTTTCTATCCATCCATGCAAAAAATGCACCAAAGATCTACAGAGCTGTGATCTTACTCTACCACGTTGCAATCGTTGTGAAAATAATAATTATCTATGTCAGTTTGAGAAATCAGAACCAAGGGTAAAAACTATATCAAAGTCTATAGCATTGATGAATAGAGTAATCGATCAGTGGCAAGACTTAATTGACGGATGGGCTCATGCTGTAAGCCAAAAGACATACCAGTTAACTACACCTTCCAAGGCATCACTTCCATTTGTGTGGAAAATCGTGTCAGGCCCCAAGGGATTATCGATTCAGGGCAACGTGCAGTCTTTTAATGAATTATCAAACTTCGTCGACCAATTAAAGAAATCCATAACCGTAGCCCCATCATTGCCTTTAGGAGAAGCAGCAAATGTCCAAAACATGCCTTTTAAAGACTACGCAAAACCATATGCAATATGGAATTTATGGTGTCGATCTACCCATTCATTACCACAATCCTATCCAATTGATATCTCGCAAGATCTTACAGACAGTCTGATCAGGCTGTATTGCCGTACACCTTGCTGTTCTGGAATAAGGATTCCTTTATTTAACCCAACTGAATTTTTGAGGCGCTATGAAGATAAAGACGAAAGTAAGCGACCGGCTTTGGTGCTTGTGTATGCAGTTTGTGCAATGTCAGCCAGAAATGCTTTTCAGGTACATGTCTGGGAGACCCGACCTTCACATCATACACCAAACTACAACATGGGCAAGCCACTATCGATCGCTTATTGTCTACGAGGGCGTGACTTAATATCCGAGTGTTTTGACCAGCCAACAATGGATCATTGTAATGCTGCTATTTTATTGTCATACTGCAACTATCAAAACGGCTATACGGATAAAATGTACATTTATGAGTGGATTTCATTTACAATGGCACAAGAATTAGGACTCTATAATCCAGAAAGAGAGCTTACTTTTTATGAAAATCTAACAGTTTGGTGTTTGTACTATTTCGATGCTTGGTACCGAGTGCTGCGAGGTGAATCACATCTATCTTCTAGACCAAGTCAACTTTACCCATGCCATCCACTACCTCCTCTTCCTTACGAGAATCAACTAGATGATCTAAGTGTAGACGAAAAAATTGACCAGATACTGCATCAGGCGTGGCACTACTTTTTCAGGCTGCAGATAATGCGGGACGATGTAGCATCAATGCTGACAAACAAAACGACACCAGACCCTGCAATCCTTCAGGTCCTGCTGGAGATGCAGGACAAACTCGAGACTTTTTATCAGTCGCTGCCAAAAGACTGGCAGAACCCTCTGGTCAAGTGCACCAATTCTCTCTGTACGCCCAGACCAGAGCCTGGTCTCACCGTTAACGTACACTCATTTATTCAATACAGTGCTCTTTTTGTACATATTCATTACAATATCAACATCATCATCATCCACCAACCTTTCTTGCCATCAAAATCACTCAATTCCACATCCACCCAAGCCCTTCGATCACTGGATATTGCTTTTAGGGCGGCCAATGCGATTTCGGACATTCTCGAGGCTATGACTAGAAGAAACGATTGCCATGTACCTCTGATAGGATTTGTATTCTCTAATATAATATTTTCTGAGATGGCTGGTTACAACGAACCTCATAAATCACTCGGACGAAAATGTCTCGAACGCTCAATCAGAGTCGCACGGGCATCAAAAACACACAAGTATGACTTTGAACTAAGCCATATTTTGGTGAAAATGCTTGAAGCCGATGTCTACTTGGCTTCCCAGGGCAAGACTCCTTTACAAGGAGGTTCGTTTATATAGCAATATACGGCTATTGTTATGACGCTCCATGACTCTTTTTTTTTTGTCTATAATAATGTACATTTTTATCATCATTTCGCAATTTTAATTGTTCATACTCAATTTTCCTTGATGGGAAACCCACCAGAATAGAATGACCAAGAACCTGGTATTTACAATTTGGTCGATCCGATTCTATCCTTGGCCTCTGTGTTCATTCTGCCTGATCAAACACAAATAGTTAAGGTTTCCGTCACCTTATCAGCTTAGTTGATATTTTGTTCTGCGCAAGTGCCCAGTCCATGACTGTCACCATGGAGAAGAAAGAGCCAAAAAGAAAAAGAAAAAGACATGAAAAGGGGGTTGGTAAGGATGTTCTGGACCCAATCTCAGTGGTTACCGATTAGAGTTTAGACTGCGTATCAAAATGGCTGGGTTGTCAAGCTCGACGCGACTGGCCGGCGTCCAAAAGCCCAGAGAAAAAAAAAATAAAGGGCCTTTTTGGACTGATATGTCGGCTGGGTGGGCAGACAAGGGCAGAAAGTAAAGGGTCTCGACTATTTAAGATCGGCACCATTTCTTTATCGTTTTTATTTTCGCACCTTTACCATGTGTGCCCTTCAGGCAGATTCTATAATGTTATTTAAGCTGCCTTTAGAGCTCTTGCTGCGAGTTTCTCAACAACTAGCCTTTGACGATATATTTTACTTCGCTACCTGCTCTCGCCAGGCGCAGTCTGTAGCTCACCAACTGATGTGGCATAAATACGGCATCGACCTCACTAAGCCAAGACTCAACTCTTATAGTCACCTCGTACATTCCGCAGTCGCCTTTCTCCATCGACACGCTACAACCTCCAGTAACATACAAACCAACTCACCAACCCTTCAAGGCGTAGCCAATCGTCTAGCAGTCGAAATATATGATCGCTCACCATCTAGAAACTGGGAGCCATGTTTAGATTATTATCTCGACAAAACATTTTTTATTCTTCTTGACCATGTTCTGCGCGACCCCGCCCTCGACCCCCTCCCCGAGGACATTGTACCAAAACCACCGAAGACCGAGTACTGTCCAACCCACATGGGTCGCCTGATGACCAATTTCCTCGCCACTCTCTACCCCACCCTCACAGCCATGTTTGAGACCAACCCCGTCGACGCTATACATCATCGTCTCCTCATAACTCATCTTAATCGTCATCTAGACTCCCTAACACAGCGCCTCAACTCATACCATCGCAACAGCTTTCAAATAAAATTACCCATATCAACCGCTCGTCTCCGCTCTTTACGGATTCTTAACCAATCGTTACGCCGAGGATTCAGAGTATTAGTACGCTTCATCGGCACTCTCGCACAGACCGATCTCCTAAGTCCTGCCGATCTTCATGTCCTTACACAGCAACGCATCCTCACCTTCTTTCTTGTACATCGACCATCATCAACCACAAATGAATGTCCGTGGCATCAACCGATTGAGGAAATCGAATTTAAAATGACCGTTATGACAGATCTTATTCAAGCCATGTCATGTCGACAATCTTCTCGCTGTGACTCTGGAAAAGAACTACAAAGATTTATCAGTCTACTCACAGAATCCATCAGTTCTCTCGTCGATCCAAAAACTATCACCCTTCCATCAACCCCATTTATTTAATTCCGCGCATTTTATTCTGTACATTACCTTTTATATATATATATCTACATATGCCTTCTTGTATAACTCTTCTTTCACTGCATAAACACATCTTACTGTGTTTTAAATACACCCCATGTACACACTCTTTGTCGATCTCTTGTGTCACTAAGGTATATTGGTTACATTTGATTTGGCGTTTTTGTTTGGAACTCAAGTCCAACACACCATACAAATCGCCCTGTACTTACCAAAAGATACACAGCCAGGGCATTCTTATCTTATTTTGACAACGGACTTTTCATACTTGTTTTCATATACTATTCTTAAAATATGTGTAAAAAAATTATCGCATCTGGAGATGGTTTAGGCAACACCTACAAAAGGCAACCTCTTCCATTACTCTTCTAAAAAATAAAACATTTCTAGTCTTATTCTCAAAAGTTACTACCAAGAAATGACCGTTATATATATGCGTGCATGTGTCTATTACAATATTTTTGTATTTTCATTGACGCGAGATTGAAATGAAGATCGTGCCAAGTCAATAAAGAATGGCTAAGAAATAATTATTTATACGTGTTAAAAAGCCAAAAAACAAATACTTTTTCTTTAGCTTTGCTCAATAATATATTCAAAAAGAGGCACATATTCTAGTACCACATGAATCAACTTAAGATCTCCCTGACAAGCCAGAACCCTGTTACAGACCTTGAAGAAGATTCTATTGATTGTGTCCCTGGAAATGTTAGCCCTTTTGTTGAGATTGACCTGGGCAGTCCTGCCAAAGAAAGCCGATTAGATAGCCTATCAAATAGTATAGAGATCGATACTGATGATTTCAAGCATGATTGCCAATGCGGTGACAGAAAATGTACCATATTTGATCAAAGGTTTTTATGTAAATACTAAAGAGTCATTTTATATACATATATATATATATATAGATAGAGATAAATATACGAAGAGATAGAACATCATCACAGGTCTTAGTAGCTCTAATACCCAATATTTAGATGAGCCCAGAACACAGGTCCAAGAACTACAAGAATGTCAGGAAGATGATATTTCCGAGCATTTATCAGAAGCGGAAAGGGGTTATGAAGAAGAGTTTTCACCAAATTTCATTTACACTAGTGGCTTAACTAGTAGCCTACAAGTTGAATCGTCCGCGATGCACACGCGTGATCAAGAAAGTGAAGGCGATATGGTGCCATCTTTGGGAGTAAGCGATTGTTTCCCGAGCCTCACAGATATCTCAAGCAGCCCAGGAATAGAAGAGCCTCCGCCACCATATTTTAGAGATAATTCACCTTCATCTACGCCTGCACCACCTTATCGAGCACAGCATATTCATCGTAGAGAGACACAGGATCGCGAGCTTTTGTTGCTGAGAAGAGCGCGAGAAGATTATATTCAGTCCAAAATCGAGGAATATTACAACCATATTCTCTTTACAAACTGGAGATGGTTTAAAATAGTCATCAAGCAATATCACAAATGTCCCTACATTGGTTTTGAGGCTAAACTTTTCGATATCGGGGCCTGTCGTCTGTCAAAGGCCTTTGTGTCGAATCAGTTTCACTCGTGGAGCGCCGCTTTTTGGATTACTTTCTTCGTGTTCATTGGCTTAAGCTCCCCTTTCATTGGTCTAGAGCAAGAACCGTATTGGCTTAGTGTACCTTTCTGCATATATATAATGCTCAGTATTCCTATCTCAATGATAAATAATGAACGAGAAAAGAGATCTAAATTATACGAAGAAGTATGTACTGCGTTTGCTAGACTTCAGCCCGAAGCTCCCACCGAGAGATTCTACTGAAATCAACCCCAGGAGACATATAAGTCATAGGAAAATAATGATGCACGTCGTAGAGATAAAAGATATGTTTATTGAGAGAGAGAGAAAGTAGCAGAAGTATTATAATTTCTTTACATGTATATATTTTGTTTTCAAGTTTAAGTGTCCTGTATTTTTTGTTTTATTAAAGAGTAATTTTAAATTACTTAAAGTTTTTTTTTATTGAAAAATAATGTGCTACTCAAACTAACTCTTGCATTTGGCTACATGCAGCCCAAGACACCTTACACAAAAAGATCCACCTCCACAATTTTTACAGGAGCGACGGCAGCGACGACATACATTGCGTTTCAATACACTGTTTCCGACCGATTTTTGAACAATAAAACATTTACAGTGTTTTATGTCTTCCTTGTTAGCACAGGTATGACACCATTGACCTAAGCAACCACCGGAACAGCCTACCAACTCGCACCGGGGACAGCATACAACACCGCATTTTGAACATTTATTAGAGACATATATATCGTTGTTCATGCGGCATTGTGTATGATATACTCCGTCGCATTTAGAGCATGACTTCTGAGCTTCGATGCATTCTCGCCTAGTGTTGCAGAGAGATAAGGGGTTTTCACAGCGAGCACACCGAAAGGTCTGGAGCTTTGCTAATACCTGCCTGCAAGCTGCTGTGCCACATACACGTATAGAACATCTTGGCAGTGTAATATATAAATATAAATATATAAATAAATGGATATGTCACGATGTGCAACCTATAACCTACCTATTGCATTGAGGCGCGCAGACATAACATTTTGTGAGCGGAATTCTTCCACATGCAGCACAATCAAAGGTACTGATAGCTGCTCCCAAATTACAGAATTGACAGAGGTGGCAGTCAGAATCGATAAGATGTCCTGCAAGACGACTAAGCGCATGTGTAATAAAACCGACATCTTGACCATACGATTTGCTGTCTATACTTGCATTCCGTATGTCTTTTACTGGACCACGTAATAAGACCTTTCCGAGACGCAAATGGGAGAGACTGATACCATACAAGCTGTCGTTGGCTAACTGATCCAATCGAGTAGCAAGATCTAACGAAAATACTTGCCAGCACGTCCTAATCGATAGATACTCAAGACAGGGAAAATACTTTAAGAGGTTGATTACTGTAAGTGCTGTAATAACGGACCCATCGAGATTAACAGACTCAATCAAATTTTGCACTTTATGCTTCACCAACGTTTCAGCTATTGCAATAATCCGAGAGTCATTGACGGTGTATAAATCTTCATACAAGAACCACAAAGAAGACCAGACCTCAGGATAAAATAGGACTTTAAAAAGCTTTTGACAGGTAGATGCTAGACGGATACGAGAGCGGACGTCGAGGGAGAATCCAATCATAACGAGTACTCGGTCAGGAAGATTGCTTAGACTAAAGGGTCGACTGTATACGACTGGTAAACTTTTGCGGCCAATAAGAGAAGAAATCAACGGTTTAGTTCTAATATATGGTCGACTGGAATATTTTTCTTGAACATGTTGAGACATGTAATATTCGGCATTAAGTGAATTATTGTCAAGGCATTTGGTAGTAACTGCTACAGATACAGCCTTCTCATGGAATCTTGACGAGGAATCTTGAGATTTATTTTCTGGAACCTTGCTTGAAGATGAAGATGACGATAACTGGTCAGAAGATTGCGAAGAATAAAACTCGTCTGGTTTAAAGATGGGCAAATGAGGATTTTGAGCTGAAGGAAGTGCTAATGTAGCTGAAATGTACGAAATGTCGTCATGACAAAGAAAATCCAATGGAATAGCAATCATGCTTCCATTAACCTTCTGTAGCTTGACCTTTGTGTTTTTAAATAAGCCCGCATAAGAGGCCATGACCTGAAACTTTCCATCATTTCCTTCCCATAGTCTAACTTCATGGTTATAGTCTATCATGACTTCATGAAGTTTTGTTTTCAATTTAGACACTGACACCCAGCTCTTTTTCTTTTCCTCTGACGAGACCTTGCTTTTTTTGATGTATTCTTGTTGTACAACTCGATATTTTTTCTTTCTTTAAAAAAATGGAGATTCTTGAAATATAGATTTGTATTCTACAGTATTCACGAATACACCAAAGAGTTCTAGTAATTGATCAAGCTGTGGTTTATTATATATGTATATAAGATACAGCTGAACAAGTTTTACATAAAGCTAGAAAACAACTTTGACTTTATTATAGTGTAGTATACTAGCAATGGAAGATAATAATCATCACTAAATGTATTAGTGATTATACTCCAAGGAGAAAAGGTGGATAGATAGAGAGCTATCTCAAAAGATATTTAGATGAAGAATTATGTTAACCATTCAAGGTCTCATACTGCCTGTTATAGAGAAATTTGTATTATCACTATACAGAAGGAGTTACGCTTTATTTCATTAAACATCATGTTTATCTATGTATACAGTACATCCAGGTAGTGTTCTTCGTGTTCCCAGCCATCTCATGAAAAGCTTAACCAATATCCCAAGTTTCTGTTATATTGTATCTCTTAACCGCTAAATTTAACCTGCCATGGTCTTTTAAGATAATATTACAATCAGTCTTATTTTTTTTAAGAAATAAATAAATTTCAGAAATCATTTTATATGTACCAATTCAAATTATTTGGAGAACATGGTTTTGTTATAATGTAAATATTATTAATATAAGAAATATCTCGCTTTTGCTTTGAGCTTCAGGTACATCCTTTACCAATTATAACGATAGCATACTTTTAAAAAGGCTTATTTGTGTGAGTCCAAGTCTGGCAGACACAATGCGACAAACAAGTTCTAGAAGAGCGATTCTGACAAGGTGTTTTTTCAACTTGGTTATCACCAGGTGCCCTCAAGATGCCTTTTTGGCAAGTCATTATATTCTTTAAATAAGTTAGTAATTTCTTTTTTATTCTTTATATTGCATGGAGGATGGAATAATTTGCCTCTATTGCCAAAACAATAATAATAGTGCTAAATGATCATTACATAAAAAATGTAAGATGAGATTGGGATATTAAAAAGATGCCTTTACTTTTAACCTGCAATAGAAAAGAAATGTGGAAAAATTCAAATCAAAACATAAAAAGAAGAAGGAAAAATAATGTTTAACTAAAATTCAACCTTAAAGCAATTCTTAAAACCCCCCTAAAAAAGCTTGTAAAGAGTTCTAACTAAAGTCGCTTCCTTTTAGCATAGTGTAGTTAGCCATATTACGTTAGTTTCCAGTTACATGGAGTAAGTCATCTACGTGTTTGAATAATTGGATTAAATTTATTCTTGTGATGTTTTATCTTGCATTATTATTAATAATAGAAAATAATCCTGCCTACAATTTTGGAACATTGGAGAAATTTATCTCAAGGAAACTTACGTTTTTGCGATATAGAGTAAGTTCTATTGTTTGATATCAGTTATTGACTTGCTTGCCTCAAACTCCTCAATTGCTTTTGAAGCCATGCTCAATGCGTCTTGATAAGAATCTGCCCCACCTATAAACCTAAGAGAGAAAAAACCCAAGTTTCAGCTAAAATACTTTGGTGAATATAGCAATTGCATTAACGCCTACCCAGCAGCATGTACAAATTCGGCACCGGGTATGCCTGATACTTCTCGAAGTGCTTCTTTAGAAAGACCTCTCCAGCTATTAAAAAAACAGAGGAATATATATATATATATTGTATTTGATTAGAATATTATATATATTAACGATGTTCATTTGTAATATTTTACCTTTCAGGCAACGGCCATTTATTTCTGAACTGAGCTCCGGGCTTGCCGACAGTTTGTACCATCCATTTCCCATTTTTTGATTCAGAGATTACATAGAGAACTTCTGTAGTCGAGTCTTTCTCACATGTCTTGAGATGATCCCTCCACGGGCAGGCTTCTTCCAAAATAACTACTCTACCAGAAGGATGGTATTTATTTCTGTTTTCATAGGATTTCTGTACTATTACACGCGCTGGCAACCAAGAATTTATAAGAGATCTGACTGATTGTATAAACTCTTTCCCAGCTAAACTTGAAGCTTCTTCAAATCGTTCCTGAAATGTAAACAATGTTAAGTCATTTTACAATTACTCACACTAGTTTATCTTACATTCACCAAGGCAGTATCATTTGGTTCATTCCATGCAGGGTAAAGTCTACTGATACGTGTACCAAGATCTGTAGAGTCAAAATAACGAGGACTTGCTTCTGTTGCATAAGCTGTAATTCCATTATCTTTTGCGTCCAAAGGTTTAACAAATTTCTTTGAATTGGATAAGGGTTGTTATTCATGAGTATCTATCTCGATCCTGCATCTTACTACAAAGCTTACGTAATAAATTTTGTTGTATATTTCTGTCACTGTAGGATGATCCTGGTTTGGTAAGTTTAATTCTGTAGCCAAAATCTCTTTTCCAAAGTGTCTATATATTTAAGCTTGAGTATTTTATGCTTGCATATCTTTCATAATTAGATTCAAATAACTTACTTGTAAATCAATCCAGCCGAGCTTAACTTGATTTCGCTATTCGAGTCAAAGATTTCCTCAAATCCTTTCTATTTGACATTTTTGAATAATCTTAGCCAAGGTTTATTTTATGACTGTGGTTAAGTTTACCTGGTGGTGATCAAACATGTTTCTTTGAGGATCATAGATTTGCCCAACATCAACAATAACATTGCATGTAGCTAGTACCGCAGGATCACGAGAACGTACTAGATTTGCATTCTTGAATGCTTTTGTTTGACGCAAAAGATAGACAGCCAAAGCTTCATCGCTTTATTTTTGTTAGAATCATTTGAAATCTTTATTTGTAAAATCTCACCAATGAAAGAATCCATCATGAGTTCCGATCTAATGTCAAAATATACTTAGCTTATACAATGTATTACATATGGATAAAAACACTGTACCTTTGGGCGTTGTGCTTGGAACAATGAGCCTAGCCCTACTTTATCGAGACGGATATTTTTCCAAAATGACATGTTGTAGTAATCACTAGGCTTTCTGTTTGCTGGAAATGTTTTAAGAGCTGGTTTTTTGAATGGAGAAACTATAACGAAAGGGAAGAAATTTCAACTTCCGTAAATCTCTTACCCTGAACCCTGCTTTCTACTGTAGTAGTTTAATAAGCTATTTGACAGATATAATTCACTAAGTTGGAATATAAAAGGGTTGTGATAGATATACTTTTAATCCAAGGCCATTATGTATGAACTATGTAAACACTGTGTAAAAGAATTGGCGATTTTAGAAATATACTCTAGTTACAGTGCTATAGCAAGTCTAATTGAAGATTGGCCGATAACTATACATTTACGCATATTTGTCTCAAGATATAGTTGGTTTGTGCCTTCAACACAAAATTTATTTGTATCAAAGACATGCTAAGCTTATACAACTTACATTTTCTAAATCTGCTTTAGAAGAAATATATTACTTTTAGTAGGTAGATGATACATAATTACTGTTGAAGTTATAAGTTTGTCAGTTATAAAATACAGAATAAATGGTAATTAGCCTCCTAAAACAACCAGTATTGAAGCTGGAAATAATATAATAAAATCCCCAATTGAACAATGTCTCTATCATTTCTTTCCATCTCATTGACCATATTTTATCTAATGACTTTACTTTATATTCAAGAGATTCAGGTCATTATTTTCTTTTTAATTCTTTTCCCAATTTTAATTAGGTGGTCAATGATGCCGCAAGTGTGCTACACCTATTCCAGTCCAACAATAAATGTTATTACATGCTTAAATTTTAACCGAGTTTTCCTTTTCTTAATTACTATTAGAAGTACTGGTTTGTGTGAATGAATTGACTGGAAAATGCTGTTCTTTTTTATAAAGGTATATACGATTAGGAGATACAGCACACCGTTTCATTATGTATCTTGCACACTTTTGCAAAAAAAGGAAGATTTCATATATTATAATTTACATTTTGGATACCTGTTTTTGTACTGCGTGTATTTATTATATAATTTTAAGTCTAGACAGAATTACTTAAGAAAACAAGTTACATTTCTCTGAGTACATGAAGATAATTTATGGGTAAAGTGTATATGTAAAATAAAAGAATTAAGCTTTTGTTTTTATGGAGACTCTAAAAGCATACTGTACTTATCTTACAGACTTTTAAGAAAAGAAGTTCACTGTTATATGTGATATTATAAAATAGCATGAAATGGACATTGTTCGAGTTTATTTCAGCTTGAAGTATAATAATTAAGATTAAGTGAAGCAGCTTTAGATATATATAAGCACCAATTGGAATAATATAACAAAAAGTTGTAATATTTAGACGTCCTGGCATCTTCATTAAGATATAGATTGTTGACAAACATATATTTATCATTCTTAAAATTCAAACGTTCATGTAAAAACTGGGAAAGTGGTTTGGCTTTTTTTACCTTGTGCATACAAATTTTGCTGAACTGTTGTCTTTACTTTAATAGCTCTTTAACTAGAATTTGTTATTGTGCCTTAAAGCTTTGTAGTTATTAAAAAATATTAAAAGTTTTAACTTAAAAGATATGACCATCTACATAAGTGCTTGATATACCATATATCTTAATATATTGGGAGTCGTATGAAAGGGTGGTCTAAAGAACATATACATAAAGTACTTCTTGGAAGGAAAGATTTCAGCTAAGCCTACGTTGTGGAGTAGTACTTTGACTAAGCATCACTTCCCCTTATTTTTTTTAGCTATTATGTAATACATTTAATATTATAAATACACAAAAGCGTGACTAATGTATTATGTAAACCGGAATGTATTTCAAATAGTCGCGCCAGTATTACATAGCTGGTGTATCAAATGATTTGGATCACATATCGACCTGGTGTCATAGTGTCCAGTCCCTCTTTTTTTTACTACTTCAATGCCCACCCTAAATTTAGGCATGGTTTGTTTTTACCGCTATATACCTAATTGCTTATGCCAATGTGGGAATAAGGGAAACTTAAAGTAAATACAGGGTCGAATGAACTGACTTTGATGATGGCAACACAAACATTTTCTCTTTAATTTTCGTGATTATTCCCCACTGTTATTCTGTTCTTTTAGGTGAAATTGTGCCCATACAAAGAGCCGGAATAGGACACTGCCCCATATAAGCAGTATTTATCAAATAATTTCAGAATTAATGTGGGTTGGACAGGAAACACTGCGTTGGTTCCCCAGGAACACAGATTTCATAGACCACTTTCAAGGTCCCCAGAGTTTCTAAGATCAATGTAAAGTCTACTGTCATTTTACCCTCCAAAATAATAGTTATTAAAGTAAATTGGAGTTTATAGACTTTTGAGGGGAAAGAGAAGGACCTTTTCTTTGGTATTGGGGCTAAGGTATATCATTTGAATGTATTGTGTCAAATTCTACGCAGCATGAATTTGTAATACATGATCACATATTTGCTTTGCTAGCAAAAGGACAGGGCTCAATACCAAGATAAAATATAATAAAACAAAGTCTTATTAGAGCCAGGGTGGCTAGGATCCTTGCGTTGAGTTGAATGATCTTTTCTTAATTTATTTACTATTGTTGTACATGGAATCCATGAGCTACTAGAGACAAAAAAAAACTATTTTTCCCAGGCATGGTTCAATGTAGAAAAAAATACTCCGAGAGCCCCGCAACTGGATGGAATATTGTGGAGCAAGAGTTTGTGTCGTAAAAGAAATGAACTTCGATCGAAAGGTTTTCTGTCCACCCAACCACACTATGTATAATACGTCTAAAAATGAAATGAATAAGCAAATAAGTAAATACGAAAAGAAATTCAAGAAATAATACACACAACGGTTTCCTATAATGCTCTGTAAATACTTCATTTGTACATGAGAACTTGTTCACATAGAAGCGGATAGCAAAAAATGGGAAAGAGCTGGAAGACCAGACATAGCTAAGATTTACCAGAGAATATGAACAAATAAAAAAATGGGGTATAATACGGAATTCTGTATACAGATATGACGCTTAAGTATTGTCAGGATGGCCATAGTAGGGAAGCATTGTACAAAATAAGCGGTTTAAAGTGAATCATTGGTAGATAAGATTAACTTTTTATCAAAGAACATTCAATTTATGATTAATCACGGTTAAAAAAGGCTTTTTGACCAAAAATAATGATCTTGGTAACGGGATTTTCTCGGTACCTTTTTATTCGTCTATCTGGCTCTCTTTTTTCCAACGCGGGTAATATCAGGACTTCTTTGGCTATCCGCACTTGGGTACACCACGGTAAGTTTCTAGCATGAAAAAAAAGACTGCTTACAATTCATTTTGGCTCTTATTACTAACTGGCTTTACCTCTTCCGGATAAATCCTCAAAGCAAGCTCACGGAAAGACTTGCAGGCTGTGTTTCTCAATTTATTAATGGCACCCATTCGTTGAGATGTATTTACACAAGGGCTGGAAAGCTTGTTCTCTATTTTTTTTTATTTTTTTATTTTTAAAAAAAAGTACACCGCAAATTCATTTTTGAATAAATAGGATCAAGTTTTCCTCTCATTAATATAGTTCTTCATCCAATTCAACTTTCATCTCTATCCTCTTTTTTCTAATGGTCCAATTTCTGTCTCTAACCAGCTCAGCCTTGATTCTTTTGGTTGCATGTGCAAGCGCTTCTAAATCCAAGTCTGGTGTTGATCTTCTAACCTGGGATGCTGCCTACGTCAAAGCAAACAAGCTTGTCAGCCAAATGTCGCTCAAGCAGAAAGTTGATGTCTCTACTGGTGTAGGATGGGGTGTTGGCGCTTGCGTTGGTAATACCTATCCTGTTACCAACCCCGATTTCCCAGCCCTTTGCTTACAGGATGCCCCTCTTGGAGTCCGTGGTGTAGCCAACACTACTTCTGGCGTGTCTGGTATCAATGCAGCCGCTTCGTTTGACAAGAAGGCCATACGTGAGCGTGGCGAGTACATGGGCAAGGAGTTCCGTGGAAAGGGTGTTCACGTTCAGCTTGGTCCAGCCATGAACATGATGCGAAACCCTAAAGGTGGTCGTGGATGGGAATCTTTTGGTGAAGATCCATTCCTTTCTGGCGTTGCTGCCTCTGAAACCATTCTAGGTATTCAGAGCCAGGGTGTTGTAAGTCAAAATATATACAACAAAGATAAAATAAAAAATAACCCATATTCTAAATGTTTTATTGGTTGATTAGACTGCCACTGCCAAGCATTATATTGCTAACGATCAAGAAGTTAACAGAAACTATGTAAGTTAGCTCACAAAAGAAAAAAGACAAGATATTTACTATATTATTCTTGATTCAGGCCTCGTCTAATTTGGACGACAGAACATTGCACGAAGTTTACCTTTGGCCTTTCGCTCGCAGTGTTGAAGCTGGTGTTGGCTCTGTTATGTGCTCTTACAACAAAGTCAACGAGGTGTATGCCTGTGAGAATGACGTGACTCTCAATAAGGTCCTTAAGGAAGAACTAGGTTTCCGTGGCTTCGTTCAGAGTGACTGGGCCGGTACCCACTCCACTGAGAGTACAGTCAAGGGTCTTGATATGACTATGCCTGGTATACTATCGCCTTTTTATAATATATACATATATCTACGACTGCAAGGAATACTAATTATTCTACCGTAATCTTAGGCGACATTACCTTTAACTCAAATGACTCATACTTTGGAAAGAATTTGACTGACGCCGTTGAGGCTGGCACTGTAAGCGAAGAGCGCGTAAGTATATGTTTCTTTCAAAACGTTATTTAGTATTTTATTTAATATTTTTATGTCATTCTTTTTCTTAACAGGTCACTGATATGACTCTTCGTATTGTTGCTACTTGGTATAAGGTACACAAATAAACGGGCCAAACAAACAAAGCTATATACATATATACTTACCATAACATTGTAATTGTCATTTTAACTTCTACAGCATCGTCAGGACGAGGTTAGTTTATATTTTCATATAGTCTAATACTATTTCTTATTAATACTAATATTTATAATTAATTTTGTAGAACTACCCCGAGGTCTCTTTCGATTACTTCCGCCCAGAGCTTACCAAGTTTGTCGATGTTCAGGAAGACCATCACATTCTCGTCCGCGAGATGGGCGGTGCTTCCACTGTTCTTCTTCGCAACAAAGATAACACACTTCCCCTGAAGAGTTCTACAAAATCGATCGCTCTTATTGGTAGCGATGCTGGACCCAACCCTTGGTAAATACCAGAACAATTGTGTCCCTCGCGCCAACTACTTACTAACTATTTTTGTACTCGTCTTTAGGGGCTTCGACAGCTGTGTTGATCAGGGCTGCAGTAACGGTACACTCGCCCAAGGATGGGGATCTGGAACTGCTATATACCCTTACTTGATCACTGTAAGTAGCCAAATCGTGCTTCGATTAAAAAAAATCTAAATGAATTGTACCTATTATATTTATAGCCTTTGGATGGAATTTCCTCCCGTGCTGGAAAGGGAGTCAAGGTTGTCTCTAGTCTCGATGACTTTGACCTTACCAAGGCTGCTGAGACCGCCAAGGGCGCCGATATTGCTTTTGTATTTTCCAATGCTGATTCCGGAGAAGAATATATTGATGTCGATGGAAATATTGGTGATCGTAAAAATATGACTTTGTGGCACAATGGTGACAACTTGGTAAGATGTTCACACACTAACTTTTTTTAATAATAATAGTATATCTATATAGATAAAGTGCTATGCAGGTTACTGACATCTTTATATTTATTCAATAGATCACTGCTGTTGCTGATGCTAACAAGAACACAGTTGTTGTTATCCACTCTGTTGGTGCTGTTCTTATGCCATGGATCAACCATCCCAACATCAAGGCCGTCGTCTGGCCTGGTCTCCCTGGTCAGGAATCTGGAAACTCTCTGGCTGATGTCTTATTTGGTGATGTCAATCCTTCTGGTCGTCTCCCTTACACTATCGCCAAGGAAGAGAGTGACTACCCTGTTCCAATCGATAGCGATCTTGAAGTAAGTTATCGCTGAAGAGCTCCAAAAAAATCTAGATATGATATATAAGATATACTTAACCTGGGTGTATTGTAGGTCGATTATACTGAGAAGCTTGAGATTGGTCACCGCTGGTTCGATCAAAATAACATTGAGCCTCTTTTCGAGTTCGGATTCGGTCTTTCTTACACCAACTTCAAGTACAGTGGGCTTTCTGTCAAGGTTTCCAATAAGAAGACCTTGAAGGTCGAGGCTTCACTGTCTGTCCGTAACACTGGTGGAGTTGATGGTGCCGAAGTTGTCCAGGCTTATATTGAATTCCCTGAATCTGCCAATGAGCCTCCCAAGATCCTCCGTGGTTTCGAAAAGGTTTCCATCAAGAAGAACAAGACCAGCAAGGTTAGCTTTGAATTCACCAAGACTGAGCTTAGCATCTGGGATGTTGATAGCCAGACTTGGGTTGTTCCCAGCGGAAAGTTCACTTTGCATATCGGCGCTAGTAGCCGTGATATTCGCCAAACTGCTACCTTTGTGCTCTAAATTCCCCTTTTTTCTCAATTTCCACTTTATTTTGAGAGCCAGCTCTATTCATATTTAATTTATTGTGCTTTGCAAGCAGAACATTGGGCAACAACACGTTATTGGCTTGTCATTATTTCTTAAAAATCTTAATAGTAATAAAAAACAAACGTGCTTATATATATATCTAAATAAATATCTGTATTAAGTAATATTTGGTGACTTATTTAAAACATATTAAACAGAAATATATCTATATCGAACTTGCTGATTTGTTTATGAAATGTAAGCTTGGATTTTGGATAAATCATCAAGATATTTAAAGAAGAATAAGAATATTTACATACTATTGAGAAACCATCTTATCTAGTTGCTTTATTGTTCTTACTGTGGTTCAATTGGTAAGAAACAAAATGAGAGCTATAGAAATCATAATAGAATCTTTATAAATCACACATTACCTATAAAAGTTCTGTATTTTATATCGTACCTTTCACTAACAAAGTATATACATATTGTATCTGGAATTCATAAATCAATGAATTATGCAAATATATAAATATATATTATGATCAGAATTCGTAGTGCTTTATCAATTCCCACAAACTCAACCATGTGATTCTAATATTGCAAAACAGATACAAGTAATATATATGTATATATGTATATATGTATATATGTATGTACACGCATATCAATTTATATAGGCTTGCAGAAAGAATGGAAAAGAAAAAAAAAGAGAAAGGGAGATAAAAGAAGAGGTAGAAGGAGAAGGAGAAGGAGAAGGAGGAGGATGATGAAGACGTGAGAAGTACTAAGGATAGAATGTGACATGGCTTTGAAATAAGCCAAGCTTCTGTTTATGCAAGCAGTTTTTTGATACCCTCCTTCTGTTCATCTGTCAAACGAGCAGGGAACTTGACATCGTATTTGATTATAAGATCGCCCTTTGCACCAGTCTTTGAATTTGGCATACCCTCTCCGCGAACGCGCGACTCTTGTCCTGGATGAACTACAGAGTTTGAGTTGTTTACTCCAAGAGTGCGACCGTCCAGTGTCTTGATGTGCTTTGAGAACCCTGCCAATGCTTCAGCAAGAGTCAATTGAATAGTCATGCGTAATGAATCGCCTTCACGAGTATATATCGGGTGGGGTTTTTCTTCGACGACAAACTCAATGTCTTGCTGTTGTCCATTAGGAAGCTCGTCACCTTCGTTGGGAAATCGGATTTTTGTTCCTGCCTTCCAGCCAGGTTTAACATTAACTGTCAGGATCTTCTCAGCCGTGACATATTTTCCACTGGCGCCATCTCGTAATTTGCGTGTGACCTTGAGACGCTTGGTTGTGCCCTTGTAGAGGTCTTCAAGTGAGATTGGCAAGATACGCTTGATTGCCGGGGGTTTAGCGGAACTTTGCCGCTGTTTGAACCTTTGGCCGCCACCGCCACTGCCAAATGAAAAACCTCCGGGTGCTCCACCAAATGAATCATAGTCATCGTCACCCATACCTCCCATACCTCCCATACCGCCCATACCGCCCATACCACCTTTGCCTCCACCTCCACCAAATGAAGCAAAGAAGTGTTTGAAAATGTCGTCAGCATCAGATGGGTGGAACCCACCTGCACCACCAGGACCACCAGTTGAGAAAGTATAAGTACCACCACCACCGCCAGGGAAGCCGAATCCGGCACCACCAGGGAATCCACCGGCACCACCGGCACCACCAGGCGGAGGAGGACCAGCCTTGAGACCTTCTTCACCGTATTGGTCGTAAATTGTACGCTTGTCTTTATCGCTGAGTACTTCAAAAGCTTCACCAATTTCTTGGAATTTTGCTTTGGCCACGTCAATTTTATCCTTGTTTCTATCAGGGTGCCATTTGAGTGCTACAAAAAGGTAAGTTTTGGAAATAGAAAAAAAAAAAGTTAACAATAAAGGCATATATATATATAAGCCTATAATATCTATGGGTGTGCGTATGCGTCTGTACGTGTGTACATGTGTGTGCGTGGGCGTGGGCGTGTGCGTGTGCGTAGGGGTTTACCTTGTTTACGGTAAGCTTTCTTGATTTCGTCTTCAGTGGCAGTCTTTGGAACGCCAAGGATAGAGTAGTAGTCTTTACCCATAGTAAGATTTATCAATTAGTGGAAAAGAAAGAAGTGATGAAAAAGGTTTTAAAAAAACTCGAGGGAATTTCAATTCTCTTGGTTCCACACACAATGCAGCCAAACTTACTGATTGATTTTTTTTTTTAAAAAAAAAGGCTCTGAATTTGCACGTCACTCAGCTTCCGATCAAACCATGGCTTGTCTATGACGATATACACACAAAGCTAATGCCGATTGTTCACAATTTCATATATGCAGGGTTAAAAAAAAACCAAAATAATTTATCAATTTTTAGATAGGTAGGGTAGACACAAGATATTCACCAATAAACCAAGTAAAAATGTAAATATGTATGATACATTGATCGTTTCAGTAAAAGACTAGATTCTTTATTTTTTAATTGCACAGTAAAAAAATAATATAAAAGATTTGGTAATTTATGATCTGGGCTTCTCCTTCTTCTCCTTGTAAAGAGCGAGGAGGGAGACACCGGCGACCTTGACGACCTTGAAACGGACACCAGGAATATCACCAATAGCGCGACCCTTACGACCGAAACCGGCAATCAAAACCTCGTCGTTCTCATCGACGAAGTTCAAACAACCATCATTGGGAACGAAGGCAGTGACCTTCTTACCGTTCTTGATAAGCTGGACACGGACACACTTACGAATGGCAGAGTTAGGCTGCTTGGCCTCAACACCACTATAGGAATTTTATAACAAAAAGATAGATAATATTTAATTAGATACCAATTATAAGGATAATACCAATTTTTTAAAAGCGTTCTCGATAAAAAGAAAATTACGCAGTATATATATAATGTGTATGCATTTAGGTGTAGGTTTGGGTGTGTGCCTTACATCTTTTCAAGGACAATACCCTTGGCGTGGGAAGCACCACCGAAGGGGTTGGAGCGGAAAGCAGTTCCAAGAGCTCTCTTCTTGTACTGCTTATCGGCCCAGCGTTGTTCACGGCGATGGTTGCGAAGCTTACGAGCGGCGTTCAATCCTCTGGGTTGTCCCTTACCTAATAAATGTTTGTGTCAACTTATTTGTCACTTGGATTTAAAGAAAAAATAGTTGTATCGAGGAAAGATGGACAGGAAGCACGTAGCACATCCACACGACAGAAAGAAATGAAAGAGAAGTCAAGAAACATTGTCGACGTAAGGTGATGAGGCTGTTCAATGTTATAAGGAACGATTGTAGATGGGGTTGTATATTGTTGTCCTTGTTCTTGTTGCTGTTTACTAGCACTCCAAAGAATAAAGGAGTGTCGTCGGGTATGCTGGTTTCTTAACTTCCTCTTTATCTTTCCCTCTGTGTGTGTATGCGTGTGTGTGCTTTTTTTTTTAATTTGTTGCCTGTTCCTCCCTCTCCCTTCCCTACTTATCCATCCATCTGTATCCATCCATCTATATATGTATGCATCTATCTATCTAACTGTCTATAGATACATGGGATATGTTCTTCGTACATCCATCTCTTCTCTATACTACAGAAGACTGCATGGGGTAGGCTATTTTCGGAATCAACTTACCCATGATGTTAAGTCTTTTTTTGTAGAAGAAGGTGCCTACAGTTCACGACTCAAGACCAGTATTAAGCCCTCCGAGGCATGGCAAGTCACAATTTGGATTCTCCCATTTTGGAGTATACCCTTTTGAACAGCCGATAGTTTTATCTACACTTTATATTTTATTTTTATTTCACTTCTTCATAATTCATTTTTCTTTATGGATTTTGATACAAAAAATAAAGCTTTTATTTATATATTTATTTATTTTTCTCTCCTCTTCTCTCCTCTTCTCTTGGTCATCATTATGTATTATTATTGTTACTATTGTTAATATTTTTTATTATGTTTTATTATTAATATTATTGCTGTCGTTGTCGTTATCGTTATCGTCGTCATGGTCGTTATTTGCTGTTATGACTTTTATGACCTGTTGGCGAATTTATTTCTTGGACTTCTCAGCCTTCTCCTTCTTTGGCTTCTCGGTCTTCTTCTCGTCAGCCTTTGAAGCAATAGAGGCAGCCTTTCCGTCAGGAATCTGGATGAAAGTAGCGGGAGTGGTGGCAGTAGCGACCGAGTCGAGGATGTAGTAACCCTTGCGCTCGAACTGCATAGCGTCACCCTTCTTGAGATCCTTGATGTTGGCATCAGCAACAACAGGGGTCTTGAACTCGCTCACAGGTGTAATGAGATCCTTGAGCTCATCACCTTCCTCGACCTTCTTTTTAGTGATCAGATAGTCATAGTCAACCAAAAGCGCATCCACAGCGAGGTTTGCGCCAAAAGCCAACCAGGAGATCTTCTTCTTGGTCTTCTTGAAGTCACCCTCAAGGTGGAGTTCAAGATCGACACTGGTAACATCACCCTCAGCGTTCTTTTCAACGTTGCGGACAAATGCATTTCCCCAATCCATAAGAGTAAGCTATAGATATAATTGTTTTTTTTTTAAAAAAAATATTGAATTTTAGTTTTTGTTCTTGTTCTTGTCCCCTTCTTTCTTTCTCTATTCCTAATTATATGTTATATTACCTCTTCTCCAACTTCGAGAGACTTGGCATCTTCCTGCTCAAGAACAATCTTGTTAAAGTAAGCAGTCTTCTTGAGACCAATTGCGGGATTCTTCTTGTGCTTGGGAAGTTCCTTGAACTCAGGGGTAGTGGGTGCGCCCTGGATGGTGCACTGGACCATCTTGTCCTTGACGATGGCAGTGTGTCTGGGAGCAACGGGGTCAATGACCTTCTTGTTCATGGCCCAGAGCTTGTCCCACTCGAGCATGAGGACGTTCTGGGAGGCACCCTGCATGAGGATGTATTCCTTCAAGGCCTCGATGGTCATACCACGACGACGGATACCTCTGACGGTGGGGAAGCGGGGATCGTCCCAGCCGCTGACAATCTTGTTGTCCACGAACCACTGGAGCTTTCTCTTAGAAAGAAGGGTGTAGACAAAGTTCATGCGGCTGAAATCCCAGATGACAACCTTGCGCAGACCGAGGTTCTCCAACATCCACATGTACTGGGCATTGCGGTCACGGTACTCGTTGGTTCTCAAGGCGTGGGTGACACCCTCGAGACTGTCAACGATGGGACAGGCAAAGTCGTAGGTTGGGTAGACCTTCCACTTGTCACCGGTGTGGTGGTGGGGAGTCAAGTTGCAACGGTAGATGACGGGATCACGCATGGTACCGTTGGGATCATCGGGGCTGATCTTTGCGCGAAGACAGAAGGAACGTCCCTAAAAAAAATAGATGATAATAAATTGTTAGAAAAAGAAAAAAGAAGCACCCTTCTTTATCGCTTATGTAACTAACTAACTAAAAAAGAAAACTTACGGTATCGGTACCCTTCTTCATCTCTTCGAAAATCTCCAAGTTCTTTTCAACAGGAGTGTCACGGCACTTTGAAGGAATACCACGAGTACGCTCATCGCGCATGGTTTCCTGGTCAGTGTTGTCACAGTAAGCCTTGCCTTCCTTGATCATCTTGAGAGCAAGCTCGTACATCTGGTCAAAGAAGTCGGAAGTGTGGGAGACATGGTTGGAGGTGACGCCGATAAGGGCAAGATCCTCCTTGATAGAGTCCTCGAATTCGGTCTTCTCCTTGCTGGGGTTGGTGTCATCGAAACGAATGATAAGCTTTCCCTTGTAAGTGTCGGCAAAGTACTGGTTCATCAAGGCAGCCTTGGCGTGACCAATGTGGAGATAACCACTGGGCTCCGGGGGGAAACGAGTCACGACGCGACCCATCTCGGCCTCAGTGAGACCAATCTCAAACTTGCCCTGCTCGTTGGACTTGACCTATTTTATTTATTTATTTATTTTTAATTAATATATATATATATATGAATTTAATCAAATTGAATTGAAAGAAAAAAATATATACCTTGAGCTTGTCTTGCTTCTGCATCTTCTCGACAGCATTCTTGGTGACCTCAAGGGTGTTGATGTACTCGTACCAACGGACAAGGTAAACACCGAGGGATTCCTTCTTGGTCTTGACGATGCGAGCAAATACGGGAGAACCTGAATAAGTATATTGATATATGCATACACATAAATCCACGGAAATATTATTATTCAGTTAGTAAAATAATAATAATAATAATAGAGAGTTGCTAAATGTAAAGCATATATAGAAGGGGAAAACTCACCTCTCAAGGCACCCCACACGACAAAGTCGGCCAAAGTAAGCTGGTAGCCAACGATGAAAGAACGAAGAGTCAAATGCTTGTTGAGCTCCTTGTAAGTAGCATCAAGAGCCTTGAAATCCGAGATGGACAACTTGGACTCGGCAAAATCAAGCCACTGATCAACCTATTATACACATACACACACACACACACATATATATATATATATATATTTAATACTTCAACTCACTATTTCAACATATAATGTTTCTCTCTATGTATCACACGTGGTTTGAATATTACCAAGGTTGAGCTAATGGGATCCTTGGGGTCGTAAAGACCAGTCTCGGGGTGAAGTCTGCCAAAGAGACGGACAATTGCGTTGGTGGAGGAGTAGGTTTGGCTAATAGTAACAAATCAAAAAATAAATCAATACGTACATATATATACTTTTGAAAGATAATAGAAATAATAATAATAATAATAATAATAATAATAATAAAGCTCCCCATTATCACACAGACCACTACCCTTACTCTCTGTTATATATATATTAATTCTATAAAAGCCTTACCCATTGAACTTTGCAACGGCTGTAGCACCTCCTTCAGCTTCCAATGTCTTGGTATCAGGGTACTCGATAGTAATAGCACCAGGCTTGATGGCGTTTACCTGCTCGGCGGCAGCTAGCACACCTGAGAGACGCGACAAATTCGGTTAAAAAACAACAACAAAGGAGTGTATATATTTATTTATTTATTTATTTATTTAAAGCAAAAGGTAATATTTTCTTGCTTGGCTGATAAATAAAATATAAGAAGACAAGATGGCTCACCATAGCTGATGGGTGATGCCTTTGTGGCAACAATAAGTTGGATGGACATGTCAACTGTGACAGAGAACCCTGTTAGTGCGCGCCAAAAGAAAAAAAATAAGTATAGATATTTCAAAAAAAAAAGAAAAAAAATTCCTATGTGACTTGCTTGTTTGTACGATATGACTTGATCAGAGTACTTTATGGGAGTCTATGTGTATATATTATATTATAATATTATATATATCTGTATTATATATTTTTGAGTTATGTTAGGCTAGATTGAGTTGAGTTGATTTGGGTTGGGGATAGAGGGAAGGGAGAGGGAGAGAGAAGAAAGTTCAATTCTTTTTATATATATAAAGAATAAAGATAAAAATAAAAAAAAAATTTGGATCATGATGAATGTTGACTCATTAATAGACACACTGTGTAAGGACCAATATATCCATGCGCATGTGTGAGAGAAAGAGGGACAGAAAAATTAAAGGATAGTGAAAATTTGTTTAATAAAGCAGACCTAAAAGATAAATATGTTGCTATGGATACCACTTTGACTCTGAAGAAGATATTGTTTTGAATTAGCAGAGAAGCTTGGATAAGACTTTATTGGATACCTTTGTATAGCTATATGTCTATACCTCGCGATCAGTTTCATTGTCAAATGGTGTGATAATAGCAGTAAAAAAAAATACTTGAGAAAAACTGGATGGTACACAAAGAAAATAAATGGCTAGAGAGTAGTCTATACAAAAAAAAAGTGATTCATGTCAGCTTAGTGTGAGAGAATATATGCTGTAGTTAATTAATATAAAGATAAATATATGAAAAGTTGTACGTATGTGTGTATGTATGTATTTTATTTCAATTTGAATTGTCTGTCCCGTAAGCCGAATATTTCTCTTCTCTTCTTTTTCTTTGTTATGTAAGTCTCTAGAAATATCTATCTATTCATTTATTCATTTATGTATTTATTTTTCATGAAATTACAGCTAGAGTCTACCAAATAGCTGCATTCAATGCTTGGCTCCTAGTATTATTATTGATCAAGACTATAAAGCTTACGTATATTTGTATCAAAAAGAACTTACAAAAATCAAGGAAATTAATGTCAAATGGAACATTAATTTTTTTAAACAAAAAGCCCTAAAAATAAGTCTATGTGGTCCAAGCACCAAATAATAATAATTCTGATGTGATTCTAGATTCTTCAATGATTCTTTTTTCCTACAGTTAAACTAATTATTTATTTTTGATAATATCAGACTTCTGATTTGGCTACCTTTATGATATTTGTAAGATACATACTATCACTACTACAAATTTTGTTATTCTTTAAGAGCCTATTCTTCTTGTTTATGTTCTCGGTCACATAAAGGCTTTGAATAATTGTTTATTTTACTGTGTCGTATATCCCAAAGAACGGGTGTGGATCGGCACCCGTCCTATTATTAATTTTTATATTTATATATTTCCCAACAATTTTCTTTTTGGTATTAATTACGCCACCAGCTGTAGAAAGAAAGAAAGAAAGAAAAATGAACTCGTGCCGTAGGTTGAATATAGCTTTATTGTTAGCTGTCAATATAACAAGCTGCAGTACACTTATTCACATCTAATTCCAAATAAACATAATCTCATTATATCAAGCAACCATTCAAGCTGTTAGAATTACAGTAGAGAATATATTAATCTTCCATTCAATAATAATCACATGTTTGGCTTATTATCTTTTCCATATTTTTTCATATAGGGGGGGGGGGGGGTTCAACAGTCTCTAGGGTTTGTAAGCTTAGGCCTTTGAGTTTAAATTTCCAAAATTTATTGGCTGTGGTTAATCTGAAAATAAAAATTTTAAAACTCAAGAATAAACATCAGAGGTGGTCAACCAAATTCTACGAAGCCATTTTATTTAGCCAATCAGAGAGTATATGCTTTCATATATGTAATTTATACGTTGGCATTAAAAATGAAATCCAATAATATGGCGTTCTGAACTTAAAATGTTTTCGAAGAGCCTGACTGAGTACCCCTAGTGGATATAGAAAATTAAAATTAGGGTAATCGTACTTCCCACAAACCTCAAATATTAGGGGGTTTCAACAGTCCTTTAAGCTTTAAAACTTAAAGCTTTGAGTTTAGATTTCAAAATATGATTGCCTGAAATTAATTTATAGGCATTAAAAAAGAATATTAAAACTCTTGGAAGAAAACCTTGGAGAGTTTTAAACTTTTAATACATCTTTGCCTCTTTCAATATTATTTTAAACTTAAATTCTATTATCACAATGCCTAATAGAGCTTAAAGAAGCATTTAGGGTACTCAAAAACACTTGGTAACTTTTACGTATTATTGGTTACTGCCTTGAAGTTCAAAGCTCAAGTTTAAAAGCTTAAAAGACTGTTGAACACCCCTGATAGGAAGGAAGAAACAAAAGAAAGGGAAATTTAATGCACAATGGCATATATAGATGTACAAATATTTTAATTATTGTTTTATTTTGGGGGTAAATAAATATGCAAATTTAGCTGGTGCTAGTAATAACAATCCCACGCCACTCTATATATGTAAGTGTGTTTTTTTTTATAGCATTTATTAATCCAAAGAAAATAATTATAAATTTAATTCAGTAAAATAAGGAGTAACTTGCATGAAAGCAGAGTATTTTTATTTTTATTTTTATTTTATTTTTTAAGATCATGTAAATTTTTTGTTAACAATGAAGAACGAAATAAAGAGAGAAACTAGATAAGAAAAGCACATTATAGTACAATACACTAAGATTAAGTATATTTCGTCCAGATGATCGGTTGCTTGAATTGCATGTGGTCTACTTGATAAACATAGATAAACAAAATGCCCAGCCTTTCTATTCTTTTTAATAGTTAATTGTTAATACACTTTGTATTATAGCCCAACAATAAAGCAAACAGAGCATTCCTATTAATTGATTAAAATAGAATTATGAATCAATTCTTGTTTATTGATGTAAAGGTTTTGTAGGAAAATGGTGGGCATGGGGTAATATATATATATATATATATATCTTTTTTTTTATATCTAAGTCTTGTATAATTTAATGAATAAAGAAGTGTCAAGACACTTCTTCTTCTACTTTTTCTTCTTATTTGCGCAAGTATTCTTAAATGGCTTGTGAGATTTTTGTTGTTGTTGTTGTTGTTGTTGTTGCTGTTGTTGTTGTCTTGTTTTTTTTTGCCTTAATAGTAATAGTAATATATAAGAAGATATTTAGTGCGTGTGTGTGTGTATATGGTTGAATTGGTGTGATATAATGTACAGTGGGAGATTGGCGTGTATATATGTATATGTGTATATAATTTTTCTCATTATTCTTTTGGCTTCTTTTTTTGTCCTTTTTTGATAATAAAGCTAAATGAATATAAATGAGTATGAATGTGGATATGAAGATGAAGATGAATATGAATATGAAGGGGAAGTGAGTAAAGAGATAAGAAAAGAAAACTAGAGCATGTTGAATCCTTGAAGACGTATTACTCGTCGTCTGGGTATCTTTTGGCTGTTGTGTTTTGGGAAAAAGGTTCCAGAAATCACATGAGGAATACTCCTGCACGTCGAGTGTTGAATTGAGGGTAAAAATGGAGACAAGGTATGATTTGCTCTGGTCAGGAAAGCAAGTCTTTGAGTCAAAATGTGTTCGGAAGGTTGTAGACTGATAGATTGGTAATCATCACTGTCATCATTATCGTTCTTCTTATTGTTGCTATTTGTGGGAGTGCAGAGATAATCTAGACCAGCCTTTGCGTACCAAGGTGCATCTGCATCGTCCGGAGAGAAGCCATCTGTCGAGCATATGGTCGAAAAGTTATCGATACATGATGCATTCTCGTCATTATTCTCGTCTCCTAGTCCTAGTCTTAGATGTAGGTCCAGGTCTAGGTCTTGGTCTTGGTCTAGTTCTGGTGACAAAATGTCTGTGTGGTAAATGGAGTGATGCACAGCTGAGGAGACAGACGGGTATTCGGAGTAGAACGGGTTTGTGTAGCGATGGGTGAATTGTCGGTTCCATGTCGACAGATTGGCAGTCGTCATAGGAATCGGTTCCTTGATGCAGGGTGCATTGTGTGTGTTGGTGAAATCGGTGGTAGAAGTAGCCAAGGGTGCATTTGGGGAATCAAAGTAATCAATCCGACTTGCTTGACGTAACCAAGGCTCCATCGAAGATGGGGAAACACAATCGAAAAAGGATTTGGTGTCCGTGGGTGTCAAGGGGACTTGAGAAATGGACGGGGTACTAGTGATGCTGCTATTACTGCTGCTGCTGCTGCTGCTACTATTCATACTCATACTCATGCTACTCATGCTGTTACTCCTGCTGCTGTTTATACTCATGCCCATACCCACGCCCATGCCTATACCCCTAATATCACTATTAAAGAGAGAGCGGGGAGAGTAACACAGGTCTGGTTCAGAGATATCGTCAAATCCTGGTATTGGCATTGACGTCAATGTTGACCCATTGGCACTCGAGTGCATTGATTGTCTAGTGACAAAAAGAGGTCTTGGGCGGCTCTTTTTCTGTTTTTCCTTCTCAATCTTTTCTTGCTTCTCCTGTCGCTCTTGTCGCTCTTGTCGCTCTTGTTGTTCTTGCTGTTCTTGTCTGGCCTGCATATGTTTCAGACTAAGATTGTGGATCATGACAGGCATGTCTTCCTGAAGCAATTTACGAATCTGGGCCTCAATTTCACGCTGCAAGAAGTCTCTGAGAGCTGTGACGCTGTCGAATGTGGAGCTGACCAGGATGCCCTCCAAGGGGTCGTTCTTGAAGACCAGAGTTATCCCTTTTGTCTTTGACACCACCAGGACCACAATGCCCCGGAGCTGCAGGTCACTGATCTTCAGCAACATTGGGACGACCAGTGGCTGAGCTGCAGCAAGAATTGTGGGTCTGGTGTGGCGAGGAAGCGATTCTGAGCGTTGGACATGCATTGGGTTCGCTTGGACCTTTGTCTGGAGAACAATATGTGCATCTCCCTTGTAGGTCAGTTTGAAGATGCCTCGGAAAGTATCGGTAGTGAGTTCACCGATTTCTAATATTTCCAGCTCAGGAGGCTTTTTTTTATTTTTTTTATTTTTTTTTATTATTTATTACATACAAAGAAGATAATTAGTTAATGAAGCTAATGAGGAATATTATATTCCTTTTTTTTTCTCTTTGTCTCTTCTTTCTTCTTTACCACTGTTCCCAAGTAAAGATCTTTTACGGTAATGTGATCAACAATCTCCTTTGGCTTTTCGCCCTTGTTGAGAGCTGTTTCTAATTGTGCTTTGGCATCGGTATAAAAGTCAGAATCGAACTCAGGCCAGTTAAATCGAAAAGCCATGATTGAATGAAGGGGTGTAATGTTTTATTCTGACAGTGTATTGAGTTCCACAGTGTGTATATGCGAGCGTGTGAGTGTGTAAATAAATAAGTAGGTGAATAAGTAAGTAAGTAAGAGAGAGAGAGAGAAGGAAAGGGAAAGTTTGTCGACCTGTAAATGTTAGGAGAAGGAAATGGTAAGAATTATAAGCAGTAGTAGTATTATTAGTGTAATTTTTATTATAATTATTTAATATGGTAAGAAAAATAAATAAATAAATAAATAAATCAAGGGAAAATGCTGTATATACTTGCTTTTGTTTTATATTGTTTTTAAAGTACTTTGTATATAAAATAAAAAGATAAACCGTGAATTTGTGCGGGGAAGATTTGAGTCACGAACAACAACGGAGAAATCCGGTAGGCCCTGCAACTCGAGATTTGTCACAAATGCATTTGTGTTACTCCCACGTGACATCCAGAGGGACGGTGCGCAAAAACAAAAAAAAAACCAAAAAAAAAGAGGGGGACCGTAATATGGTCCCCCTTCCTTCTATCTATCACCCTGTGCTTAACATTATCACTGTCATTGTCATTGTCATTGTCATTGCTGTTATTTGATTTCTGCCTTGTATTGTCTACTATTGATATTTTACTCGATCGGTGGTTCCCTTTAATCTAATGACATAAGCTCCTCTTTTACATTCAATTTGTATCTTGATCCTATATATTAGATTCTAACTTTAGAAAAAACTATAGTTATAATTGTGATTATGGTTATGGTTATAATTATAGTTATAGTTATATTTATGGTTCACACAATCCCATTAAAAGCAGTTACCACAATGATCCCATTCAATTTCTTATGTCTTTATCCAGAGTACATACATTACATTACATATGTTTTGTTTTTATAAGTATATGTATGTATCTATAGAATTCCGTCTAAAGTAGCTTTTGTTTTTATCTCTCTTTATGTGGATGTGGGTGGGTTTGATTTTACTCAACCTTCATATTCTTGAGAGCAATAAGACCATTTGCAGTACTTGCCACAGCCTTGACCGTCTTTCTACAAGCAGCAAACCAAACAGCTACACTGATAGAGCCTACATATTTACACACACACACACACACGTATGTATATACATTTATGCATAATACACATACACACACACACAAAAACCCAAATTCATTTACAGTTTTTTTTTAATTTTCTTCATGCCAATCCACATACCCATAACCATACATATACATATACACATAGCCCTATATATATATCCCACTTTCACACTCACACTTACACTTATTCTTGCACTTATTCTCGCACTTGCACTTAATGCTACACTACGCTGTACTACGTTGTACTACACTAAATCTTACCTGTTGGAGCAAAAGGAAAAGACAAGATCCACTGGGCTGGTCCAAACCATCCTTGGGGAAGGTAGAGCACCGCCCTTTTGTAGAACCACATCACCATCAACAATTGTGAGCCGTGAATAAAGAACCAAATGGCAGATTTAACCTTGAGTTCAAAAGCAGTTCTCGAATATGCAATTTCAGAAGCTGTTTTTTTTTTGGATTTTGTACAAGTTAATATACCATTCATACACACACACACACACACACACACATATATATATATATATATATTGTACTTACACATCTTCTCTTGATCTGCTACACCTTTATCCAACTTTCTACGCATCTTGGCCCATTTTGCAAATTCATCCTAAATATCCGATTTTGTTTAGCTTACTGTGATTGTGATTGATATGATTTGATCCGCGTGAAAATAGTTACAAAGCCCATGTATATGACATATGTCATTTTCTATAATTTCTTTAAATAGTTGTGATGTTTAACATACTTGGGAACTTGTCTTTGAGAGCTCTGCTTTCATTCTCAGAACATCCTGTTTGAGCTTATTGTGCTTGATGACCTTGGAATCATTTGTCCATTGACTATATAAATCGTATGCCTTTATATAAAAATAAATATTATAAGTAGATTGTTTTAAAGTATTTGTATATGATATCAATATTTTTTTTAACTATATGTATGATGAAAATAATAATAATAATAATACTAATAGATGGAAATGAAGTACATCAAGTCAATGTATTGATACTTACTGCAGATGCAACATATTCATAGCCAATGAACAACAGTAATTCTGTTCCAAGAACAAGTAAGAATATAGTAATCGGGAGATACATGGTCTGGGTTGGCAAACAATGAGACCACTTTTTGTCAGTTGGGCTTTGTTCTCAAACTGGAATTAAAAAAAAAAAAAGAGAGAGAAAAGAAAGAAAAACTGTATATTGTACACGTCATTCAAGTGAATGACGCAGACTGGTTGCATTCTCTCTCTCTCTCTTTCTCTCTCTCTCTTTTAATTTTATTTTTATTTTTATTATTATTTTTATTATTATTTTGTACAAAAACTCGATAAAGTTTAGATATCATGGACTTTTTCTTTCTTTTTTTGGAAACACAAAAGAAATGAAAATCCCAAAAAATATATATATATATAAAATATAAAATGCAAAAATAACACAATTGAATTGAATTGAATTGACTTGGATTGACTTGAAATGACATAACATGGTTTGATATAATACACAAAAATAAAGAAAAGTAGAAGAGGGAGAGGGATGTAAGAAAGCAATAGATAGATAGATAGATAGATAGATAGATAGATAGATAGATAAAAGAAAGGGTTACATGCAAAGGAAAAGAAAGAGATAGAAAAAAATATATAAAGGAAAAACAATAAAGAAGATACATTTATCAAATCTATAGCCTTATGGTCCATAAGCTATAGTCTATAGTATACAGTTATATAGCAGATATATGATATATCTTTAGCCAAAGAATCCACCTACAGGAGACTGGTTCATGAACATATTATTACTGCCAATAATACTGTTGCTATTGTTGGTGTGCAATGGCAATGGCTGTGGTTGTGGTGCAGGCCAGTATGGAATGGCTTGCTGGGATTGGGATTGAGTTTGAGGTTGAGGTTGAGGTACGGGTACGGGTACGGATACAGGCATGGTGTAATTGGTTTGGATGACCATCGGTTCTGGTGCAACTTGGGTGTGGTTTAAGAAGCGGACCAGTCGACGTAGCTTTTCGTATCTGTTCATCATGACCATCAGGTCTTCTTTGAGCGTGTGTCCGATACCCTTGAGCGTGTGTCTGAAGAAACGCGAGGCCTGTTTTCCTTCTGTGAAATCGCTGCACTGGATCCAGACAGACGCGCCGTCCTGGTTGGCTTCCATGTAAAACAGAGGAGGTTCGGTAATGTCAAAGTAGATCATCTGGCTGTTGTTGTTGGGGTTGTTATTGTCTACTGAAGAAACATGGCTGATGGACGAAACAGAGTCGATGGATGTGACCATCTTGAAGTGGCAATTGCTGTCTGTGATGTGCCACGAAAAGTGGTTTAGTTCTGGTTTGTAGACACACAGCAGGTCAGTAGCACGGAGCTTGAGACGATGCCAGGAACCGATTATGAGAGTCGAGGCATTAAAGTAAGATTCTTTGATGCCTTGTACTTGAGGTAAAGAAAGAGGAAGGTTGGCAGCACTACTGCTAGTGGTGGTTGTGGAAGAAAGAGGAGGGTTAGATGATGGGATACTGAGTGCTGCAGGATTGACGGTGCTGATGGTTGGGTTGGTCAGGGTTCGTGAAGGATGAATTGAAGAATTGACCAATTGACTGGATGGTAATTGAGGTCTTTGAGGAATATCTGAAAACAAAGAAGTTAGTGGATGTTATACAAGAAAGCAATTAGGTACCATTGTTTGTTGGCCAGAGCGATGGATCAGTAGGAGGTGTGTTTGCGGGTGTGTTTGGACCTTTTGAACGGAAATCGTGGGTGGCAAGCATTGCAGTTGGACCTGCGTCAGGGACTGGGACAAGAGTGGGAAGAAGAGTGGGATCGAGGGGGTATTGTAGGGGAGCTGCAGAGTGAAAGTCGCGCTGAGGAGAAGGGGATGGAGATGGAGGGCCGTGGAGGTAGTCGGGCAGATCGATCATGATGTCCTGGGCGTTGGGGGGCATACTCTGGCGTGAAATGTTGTAGGCTTGCCACTGTGAGCCATAAGGAGGTGTAAAGGGCTGGATGGCATCTACACTCTGAGCACGCGATAACATACGGTGCTGGTGTTGCAACTGCAACTGCAACTGCTGTTGATGATAAACATGCTGTTGATGTTGTTGAGGGTGGTGAAGATGATGAGGATGAGGATTGTTTTGGAGAGAGTATTGATGAACTTGTTGTTGCTGATAAACATGTTGTTGTTGCTGTTGATGATGATGATTTTGATGATGATGATTATGATTATGGTGACTATTGTTAGTAGTTGTAGTATTAGGAGTAGTAGCAGCAGAAGCACCAGAAGTAGTAGAATAACCACTTTGCTGTTGTTGTTGCTGTTGTTGATAATGATAGAGTTGTGCACGGATTGATGCTTGTTGCATTTGCATCTGTGCTCTCTTTTGCATATGCTTTACTTTTGCACGTCTGTTCTGGAACCAGATCTGGATGGATCGTTCACTCATCTGGAGCTGTTCGGCCAATTGCTTTCGTAGTTTGTTGTTTGGACTGACATTGACTGCAAAGGTATCTTCGAGAACAGCTAGCTGTTCTGCACTTGCTCTGGTCCGTTTGCGGGCAGCAGATGTGGATGCAGATGGAGAGGAAGGAGAGGATGGTATCTGGTCAGCTTGTTCGGATTGGTCTGCAAAGTCTGTAGGATCATTACTGCCAGTAGAGTTGTCTAGTTGAGGCGAAACAGGTGTTTCATTCAAGGGACTGGCTGATGACATCTCTTATTATTTGTTTAATGTGGAAAACGATTCAATTGACCAGACGAATAATCGGAGTAGCAAAAACAAATATTATATATTAAAAAGAAAAAAAAAAGAAAAAAAAAAGTTATGTTCCTGAAGAAGAGAAGCAAAGTAAGAAGAAAAATATACAAAAAAAAAATTAAACTTGATAGTCGCCCTTTTTTTTTTTTTATTTTCTGAGCTGAAAATAAAAAATAAAAAAATTAAAAAATCCAGCTTTTTTTTTTTTTTTTTTTTTTGCGTTCCTTCCTATTCTTCTTCCGTTTGGATTAAATTCCGCTGGACTCGACTCTATTTGGTTTCTCAAAATAGTTAGTTTGTAATGTAATTACCACTTTGCCCTTTTTTTCTTTCTTCTTTTTTGTTATTCAGTAGCACGCTTTATATATATATATATATTTTATATATATAAAAATATATTCAACATCTCATATTCGATATTCCAGATTGGTGGGTCCATAGATACATATATAAATAATTACAATAGAGTAAGAGAAGTAGGTGTGCTATTTGAATGAGCTGATTCGTTGGAATTGACTAGGGTGAACCATTAAACCGTTGAATAGAGAACCTCTTGGGACCTAATTAACGAATAGAATTACCTCTTACCTCTTTATACTATTTATTTACTATTATTTGCTTTGGCCAGGTTTGTATATGACTTATTTATATTTTGAGTTCCTGATTTAGGAAAATCGACACGTTTGAAGGATTTAAGACTCCGGATTTCTTACTTGCAAATAAAAAAAACAAAACAAAAAACAGTGACAGTAAGAGTGATGATCCTTATTACTACTTTTTACTGCTTTCATTGTTGTTACTGCTATTATCTGGATACCATTTGATTTTTTACAGCAAAAATATAATATAGTATAAAAAATTATAAATATATATATTATTTTATTTTATATTAGGTGTCTGGTACTCCCATTGAATAGTCTGTGCGTTTAGGACCCCAAAAAAAACATGGGAGAGAAAAACGAGATATCTGAATCCTCTCTTTATTTTGGAATCAAACACTGACCAGGTTTGCGTCATCAATTGAAACAAATTCACTTTATTGAGTGAGAGGCCATATTCAACTGTCTAAAAATGAAATACATACTTTATACTTTTAAGCTTTAAAGTTCGTTATGCTGTACAATAAGTAACAAACCAAAGCTAGCTTTGATATGACCATGATTCCTGTCCAATTAAAAAGGTATATAGAAAATGATCATCGGTGTCATATTCCCCACAGATATATATATGTCTCAAAATTCGAATGCACCCTGTCACAGCATTATTGCCTGGGTCGTAGATCTTTTTTTTTTTTTTTTGTCTTAACTCCTCCTACTTAACCTTTTTACTTTTGCATAGCTTGTGATTTACAGTGCCAGTAAACTTTGTTATCAATTGATTGATCTTGCAATTTACCATTCTTATTTTGAAATTCGTTTCAAGTCAACTTCATTTATAAACAGACAGAATAGTCTTTTTTTTTAAAAAATAAATAAATAAATAAATAATTATATATATTTATTGAGATTTTAAAAAAGCGCAGAAAAGAAGTGTATTTTATTATTATTATTATTATAGTGTCTTTCGGCAATACTTTTATAGCCTAGATAATATTTTTCATCTAAACACACCACACAAAACCATATTAAAGTGACCTGACCTGACCTGGTCTGACCTGACCTGACCTGGTTTGGTCTGGTCTGGTCTGGTCTGGTCTGACATGGCATGGCATGATCTAACATAATATTATCTGTTAACTCTTAACCAAATATCAATTCAAATATAGTCTATGCCTATATCTTGATCCATTTTATTCCATTTGATTCAATTCAGTTTAACCTTTCTTTTTACAAATAAATAAACCCTTCATTGATTATCTTGTGCGTACAAACTATATAACAAACAAATGAAAAAGATTAGCTTGTCAAAATCCGGTTAAACAAATACCCTCATTCTTTATTTTTTTTATTATTTTTTTCTTGGGGAGGGGAGATAAAGGGTTTAATAGTTGAAAAAGAAAAAGAAATCTTGTGGCTTTTTATCTTTTGGCTGATAATTTTCTATATGACAGCAATTGATAATAAAAATCTTTTTTTTTATTAATGTAACAAAGTAAAGAGGTAACTAGATCTAACCCTTTCGTTTGCTGTTGAGTAGATTGCACTTATACAGCTTATAGGAAATCTGTAGAAGCTTTTTATTTTTTATTTTATTTTGGTCTTCCGGTAAGCGGTTCCTAAGATACGGGAAGATAGATTTGTGTTCTACTCTATTTTTTTTTAAAATAGCGACATTTAAAGTATAACCTAATCAAATAAATAAATATATTATTATTCTTATTCTTATTTTATATTAATATTAATATTAATATACAAAGTATATGCAAAGATAGATATATACAAAAAGGCTATCATCAGATAAGTCAATATTCACACACCTATCTTTGATTTCATAAGCTTAATTATCCAATAATTGTAATATACATGCATGTACGTGTACATCTATGAATCTATAATAAACTATCCAAAAATTTAAATTCTTCTTCAAGGTTCACAACGAAAAGAAGGGTTTATTTACCACGATAAGGCTTGAACCCGTTTTATATAGATATTTGAAATTCAATACAAAATCAATGAATAGATAGGTAGATAATAATAATAGTAATAAAAAGAGCCACGAAAAGGGCGCGTGTGGAATTCAAACAAAACTGGGCTGTCTGCGGAAAACCAATAAGGATTATATATAAATATTTTAAAGAAGAGTAGGATACACAGCAGCACAAAATGGAATAGGTTGAATAGTTGTATATATAAGTATGAAAAGGTAAATTAACACGAATCAGATATCAGATAACATCTATCAAAATCATTTGGTGTTTTGTATTGCAGAATAAAGAAGTGTACATCATTACTATCATTTGGGTACAATGGTAATGATCTCAACCCGCGCAATAATGATCGAAAAAAAAAACAAAAATCGAAAAACAAAACTGTGTGTAATGGCAAACTTCCGAAGTGCGGAGAACAAGAAGTATATATGTAATTTTTTTGTAAAAAATAAAATAAAAAATAAAATAAAAATTCAAAGCTTAATTGACCTTCTTTAATCTCTTTTCTTTTTCTTTTTAAAAAAAAAGTTAATATTCTTGGAAATATAAAGAAGTGGAAAAAGTACAAGTAGTAGTGTTAGTAGCAGTAGTAATAAAGAAGTATGTATATAGAAATCTTTAACTACAGCATAATAATAACAATACGAAAACAAAGACAAAATCAAAAACAAGGAAGAAGAAGAAGAATGAATTGATTTGTAAATATTAATAATATTATTATTTTTATTATTAATTCATAACCACACTGAGATTTTCTCTATTTTATTATATTTTAATTAAATATATATATTATTCATACCACGCTTAATTATCCATTATCATTCGTTATTATCTGCTAATGAGTTATATACAAAACAAGCTCTTTACTTCATGATACTATTACTATAGAAACCATTAAGCTTTTTTTTTCCTTACACACATGTGTACATACTGATTGGTTCTATTTGAATGAATGATTCCAGAAAAAAAAAAGGATGTTATTTACCCTCACAGTAAATTGACCAATAAGCTTATCCACTACGCCATGTGCTGTGTATTCATAGCTTTATAGTATCTTCTTAATGATTAGTAAGAGCAAGGCCATAGATCTATATTTATATTTACATTTACATTTACACATAATCCACATACATGGATTTAACCTTGATTTTTTATATGAAAATTTTAAAATATATATTTAAGGTTAAATATTCCTTTTAATATTAAAAGAAAAATAAGAACCAATTGTACTTGTGTAGACAATTAATACAAGGTTAATTTATATTTATGCTCTAAATCAAAAGCAAAAAAAGTGAAACGAGAGTCTTGTATTAATTTTTATAGGCAGCACTTGCTAAAGAAGTATCTGTAAATAATAATAATAATAGTGACTGTATATATTTAAAGAGAATATTTATTACTTACAACAAAGTAAACATTTCTTTCTAACGAACATCAGATAGACTCTCAATAAGCTGAATGATATCAGACAACGGGGTGTTAAGATTATCAATGGATTTGTATACCCGATTTCTTTTTTCTTTAGGGAGGTGGAGGAAGGTTTCGATCAGGTCTCCATCAATAAATCCTCGTGGTTCACCTGTACGAGTACCGTTATTAAACGATCGCCATCTTCGGTGTTCCAGACTTCCAATCGACGGAAGCGTCTCCAGTTGTTGTTGTATCTTCAAAAGAAGCTCGTATTCGTTCACCGAAATGCTCGATATCGATCCAATCGCACCATTGACCGTGGCATATAGGAATGTGTTTCGATCAATCACAACATCTTGCTTTTCTCTACTCTTTTCAGAGAGTGTTCCACTTCGGAACCTGTTCACCAAGTCCCCAAGCTGATATTCTCCAATCACCTCCATTCGCTCTAATGCACAATCCTCCGTCTGTTTCGACGGCTTTAATGTAAACAGATTCAAGAGTGCGTCGGCCCCAATGTATGAATCGTCTCTTAGGATCTTAACGGTCGTCATCCAGCTCGAGTTGAAGTCTCGGGCCACCTTTTCCAGTTGTGTGGTTTCAGACGAGTCTTCCATCTTCAATAAGGCCATCGAGTGCATCAAATCACCAGTCAAAATCCTGTCGTCGTCTGTGTCAATTGCTAGGATGGTGTTGCTAACATCAAGTTTAGGAACCATAGTAAATCGTTCTCCCAAATTCGCGTCAGGATTGAAGTGAGACATGTAATATATCTAAGTAATTACTATTAGCTTAGAAATGTATAATAACTCTTTTTTTTTGTACACACTAAAGCCAACATCACTTAGATATAGTATGAATACTCACAGTTCCTACAACAGAAGCAACAATGCTGCCCTTGATCGGTTGAATGTCATACACCACACCCGGAACTTTAACCGCATCTACTAAACTATATGTGTGTCGATCACAGACTTTGTATACTAAAATGCGGCCATTTTCTGGATCCGAGTCATCTTCTTCAAGGATAGCCGTTCCCACAAAAAGAAAAGACATATCATATCCCTCTACTTTTGTAGACAACAAACTTTCGATCAACTCGTTTTCCAAAAGATCAATTGTATCAACACCTAATATTAATAATGATAATTAATATTTTCAAGTAAAATCATATACACAGTAGTAGTAGTAGTAGTAGCTTTCACTTACATTTAAGAGTGTATGCATCAAAGATCTGTAGCCATCCTTTGCTAAAATTAACCTCATTTCTTAATTTTGTTTGTACAGTTGCAACGGCAATTGTTTTTGAATCTTCATGGTAAGCTATTCTGCGACTCATTCGTTTGTCTAGTGGGAATTTGATTGCGTGAAGGCTTCGTTTGGTGTCAATCGACCCAAACATAAGCTCAGTAGAAGTTGCAAGCAAATTATATTTCTCTTTGTCTGGGGAATAGTATGTGCAGAACCCAAAGATTTCCTAAATAGATAAATCGATCGATTAATAAAAGTGAGAAAAATATATGTAAGATATATACCTCGGCATTGACAGAAGAATATACTAGTCTTCCATGAGAGCTGGTAATTATCGTGGGTCTATCAGAAGCAACGAATATAGCGTTTTCCCCATTGATTTCAAAAGAATGGAATTGTATTTTTCCAATTCCAATAGAGACTTCTCTTTGAGTTTTCATGCCATCTTTTGAGCAAAAATAAACCATTCTTCCATCGTCTATAAGCACACATATAGAGCAGTGATATATTGTTATTATCGTACGTTTCATTTTGGTTTGATTGCTTGCTTGTCAGGGGATTTTTCTCTCGTTCTTTACTTACCCAAACCAACGAAAAAGTAATCATGTTCTCCAAGTTTAGTGTAGCGCACATCTCTAGGCACAGCATCAGCTTCAATCTTGTTCTCCCATACCGTCGAAAAATCTGAAATATTCAAGAGTTTGACATCCTGACCTCCCCATAGGCCAATTGCCACAAAAACAGGTCCTGAATTATTAGGTACTTCAGGACTGACATAGATACATGATATTTCATCATCGAATTTCCTTTCCCTATTGTTTATATATAAGTGTGTGTGTGTGTCCTTATTAGTAAATTATATATATATATATATTATTTAAAACAAAAGCTTACCTTTTTATAGAAAGTGTCAGATCGTTAGCACTCAATAATGCCAGAACTCCTATTTCATATGATAAAATACAGACACTCGAAGTTGTGTAGGCAACATCAATCCGAGAACCTATACTAGGCGGAGACCATTTACTGAATTGCTTACAGCCGTGAGAATATGGCATTAACCGAACCCAAGAAGGAGTAACTTGGATAAGGCTTCCTTGTTTTGTAATTGCGGTGGACAACGTTCGTTCATCGTAGCAGAAATTCGGGAAATTGGACACTTCTGCCGTAGTCATCGTTTCATAATTATATTGTACAAGTCGAGAGGAATTCAAAAGCGATATTACAAGACCATCTTGCCTAAAATACAAATATTCCAAAAATTATAATAAGTGTCATTAATTATCAAATTTGAATTTTTAAAGAAAGAAGGAAAGAAAACAAGTAAATCTTACCACTTATTATTTCTAGATAAAAGAGGCCAAATTTTGGTTACTCCTTTCATTGGAACCGCAAATTCCTTTGAGAATCCAATGCCACCTCGGACCATTCTTAAACTACCATCATTTTCTACACCAGAGCAACAAACCATGGTTTTCTACACATTTTGTTTTGTTGGTTTTGTTTTGTTGGTTTTGTACTGTAAGCCTATGTATATATCCGTTTGTGTATGTTCTCTCTCTCTCTCTCTCTCTTATATATATATATATATGTATTTATATTTATATTCACAAATGATAGACATACCATGCCTTGTTTATCAAGGTCAAACAAACAAAAGTCCGTTATCGGTGCAAGACTTGGATATTCTTCAATAACATCGAAACTAGACACGTTGTATGCATTCTTTGAAAGTTTTATCAAGCACGAATCTCCTTCTGGGGATCCCAGATACACAATCCCGCCTCCCAAACTGACGATTGATGATGGGACATGCGTCTACATAAACATTTTTTATTTATTTATTTATATTTATATTTTTTTTATCTATACATATATGTATATATGTATATATATATGTATATGTATATGTCTATGTATATGTATATGTATATGTATATGTATATGTATATGTATATGTATATGTATATGTATATGTATATGTATATGTATATGTATATGTGTATGTGTATGTGTATGTGTATTTGTATGTGTATGTGTATGTGTATGTATCAATTTATGTAAATGTATTTAAACATATATGTATCTATGTATCTGGGTATGTATGTACCGATATACCTATATGCCTATATACGTATGTACGTATGTACCTGCGTAACTATGTAACTATGAATCTATAGATCTACGGATCTATTTGATTATAAATCTATGTAGCTATGGCTCTATGTATTGACTTATTTACTTATTCAAAATTGGTATTTACCTGCCCAATATTCTCAAATATCAATTCTGGGATCACTTTTGACACGGGTACCAGAGTAAGCATATGTAACATTCCCGTAGAGTCTCCAATCAAGAACTGCACATTAGGTCCATGTGTGTTAACCATCCCGTACCCTTTGACATCCATTGCCGGAACGCTAATGGTTTTAGAGCTTCCCTCGAGATCATAATATGATATTGTCAATTCACCGATAACCAAAACACCTTTGTATGGTTCCGGGACTGAAACAACAATCTGATCGTGATCTTCTACGCTTGCATGAAACTGGCTCTTCGTTACCAAAGCCTTTGTTGCTATGTTTATATCGTATGTCTTAATGTGTCGTCTTTCGTTTTCATCAGAGTACAAAACCACAAATCTTAGGGCGTCGTTGGCGCACACGGTGGTAAGTGAGATAATTTCATTTTCTGGAATACTATATACAGAATGTCAAAAATAAATCGCTAGTTGGATTCATTTCTAAAATATAATAATAAAATCTTTCCATCCTCTAATATATGATATATGCTATACGTGCCCTTTCTTTAATACTTTACCGTAAATTGAAGAATACGGGGGTATTGGGTCTCCCGGTGTCTTTCGCCTTTCCTTTTACGGAATTTAACACAGAGATTCTTGCATCCATTAACGACAGAACACTTATGACTCCTCCAAAAATACTAGTAATAACAATCTTTCCACTCTGGTCGATACTAGTCATTGGCCCAAAGTTCGTTTTACGGACGAATTTATGTTGTATCACTCCTTTGGCGTATGTATCTACAGAGTTATGTTCGGCATCGTAATACAGGATCACGTACTCATGTGATTCAGTCAGCACAAAAAGAATACCCTGAGGTTTTTCCTGTATTGTGTCGTGTCGTGTAGTATAGTGCAGTGAAATTTAGTGAGATTGCACGTCTTTTTTTTTGGAATTCAATAAAAGTCATACCGGAAGACTACATATCTCCATGGCTCTAATGCGACCGTACAAGCTGAAATCGTGCTTGTGTTTCAAGTGTAAACCGTCTAAGCTGTATATCTCAATGCATGTTCCCTTGCTTCAATTAAAAATAAATAATTAAAAGGTTGTGGAATCAAGTATGTATACATAAAGGACGATCAGACAAGCTTCTTTGTTTTTTGTTTTTTGGTTTCAAGAAGAAGAGAAAAAGTCATTACCTTATAATAAGATTTTGTACGTATGAGCTAAGGAAGTAACCTTTGACTGCATCATGTACAGCTGTAGCAGGCTTTGCTGTTATTACGTAATTGTAAGCGCTCATTGTGAATGAAAGCTTGAGTTTCTCTTTCTTTTTCCTTCTCTCCTAAAAAAAAAATAGGCAAATCACTTCAAAACGCCTTTTATCTTTCTCTCGACAGTCACGGGTGTCAGAAAAAATAAGACTTTGGAAAAGAAGGTTTCATGTTATGATAAAAAGCACAATAATAATAAACCTCCATTATTTTTAGGAACGAGATTTGAAACAAGAGCACATTTTTGACATTGCTTTTTATTTTATCTTTATTGGCTAATTAATTGGTTAATTAATTAATTGAAATGATAATACTAATAGTAAGTCAAGTTCATTGCCGCTATTATTACTGTCCTTACTGCTGTGTGTAAACAACGCCTTGAATATAACAAACTAAACGCGTTTTTAGAAAAAAGTATATATAAGCACATATATTATGTTTCTTGAGGAGTGCTCTATATGACGTTTATAAATTTAGAAAGCCTGAGGAAAAGTCAAAGTTTGTAATAATCTTAAGTAAGAATGTAAACATATTATCAGGTAACTCATTTTTAGGCTTTTCTTCAAATTTTACTTGTGCCTTGATTTCGCTTTTCTTCTTCTTATTCTTTCTCAGCATAATTAAGTAAAAAAAAATACCTGGGACTATCATTACTACTTACAAAAAGGAGCAGGAATAAAGGGGAAGTACATACCAGAATATCGATGCATTAGCCATTAAGTTATAGAAATAGAAACAGTGAAAACAATAGTCGTAATTCTTGGGCAATAATATATATATGTAAAAGTACCGACGTAATTACAAGTAGACTACTAAAATAGAGGTAGGTGGAACAGAAGTAGAAATTAAAAGCTCTCAGACACAATAGATATGTAATAGTAGGTGTAATCGACACAGTATAAGTACTGAAGACAATGTAAAAGTGAAAAAAACGGAAATTCAACGAAGAAGAGGGAACAAATGAGTGAGATATTATCCAGAATAAATATAAATATATCGTCAGAGAGAGAGGGTGGGGAGACTATTGCTGTATGTGGCTATTTTGTGGAACTATTTCATTTTAAAAAAAATATGTATAATCGAAAGAGCCACTATAGGAAAAAAAGGGATATATCAGAGGGGAATTTTGAAAAAATATCATAAGAATTTTTCAAAATCGCTCTCTGAATCGACATTACCTTTGTCAATCAATTAGCTAAGTTCATAAACAAGTCAATATTGGTATTTAGTACGCTAAAGGTGTTGTTAGACTCTTTTCCGATCAAATATTTTAACGGGACCCCTCATTAGATTATTATTTTTCTCTCCATTGAATATATCAAGCCTCCCTCTATATAGCTAAGTCTTGCTTTTGTTCTCTGTGATTTAAAGAATAAAACGAATTCAAATATCAGCTATTGGCAGTTGCTCATGTATATTCAAAAGTGTTATACCTTTGATAATCTTCGTTACAATAATCATGTTTCAAAATTATTCTAAAGAAAAATAGTAGACCTAAAAGGCTTGCACTTTATGAATATCTTTGGTATATATTTCTTCTTTTCTGAGAGATTTACTTTATACTACATAGTCTGGAACGGCTGGTCTGTCAGTGCTAAATACACCTCTTAACAAAAGGATAAAATTCGATCTCTCGAGTAGTATTCATTTGCTAATTTCTTTCATATTTATTGGTATATGACCACCATTAGTATTTAGAGCTCTTATTAAACTCGAGTTGAGAGCGTCTGTTATGTTCTGCACCATAATCCTTAAACATCTTATGGCAAACGCTTATTCCCTTGGGAAATCATCTCGGCACTTTCAACCATCGCATAACCCCATTTCAATGAAACTCAATCTTGAATTCAAAATCCCGCCGTCTATCGTATTGTGGAGATCCAAGTAATATACATATGTATTATGCTTTTTATTCATTGCTAAATATCACTTTGAGATATATATAGGTTTATCTCCTAGTAGCTGTCGGGTCCCTTTTTGTGTCTAATTGTTTGATCAAAAGAAAGAATAACTTTTCTTGTGTCCTTGAGCAAAAAATGCACAGACCAGTTTAGAGTAACTTGCAAATCGCCGTTATAGAAACCTGTACTCAACTTTTAAAGTTATTGCCACACCGATCAATACCAAACCTTTCCTTAATTCTTTGCTTCTTTGCTTTACTTTGCTTCTCTTTGAAAAGTCATATTTGGTAGTAGTTTGATTGAATACTATTATCTGTCTCTTATGTTGTAGAACAGTTACACAGGTCTGGTAAAAAAGTATACAGCTATGTCACGTTTGCTCTGACGTGGGTATCTAAGACTGACAGAAAGCGCAGTCCTAATCATAAATCTCAGATGCAAATTTTTTTGTTACATATAGACCCCCTCCAACGCGTGTCGTTTGTTTTCTCCTTGAGCAACAACAGTCCCGGTTTCATAGTGAGGCGTCTCTTGCGACCGTTGCAGGGAGATTCTTCCATGCTACAAGCATCGGAAAGTGAAAGTTGTTACTCGCCAGCTCAGTTAATTCTGAGAAGTCGTGGGGCATGGTCTCTTTTCTTTTGGAAAGACTACTGTGTACATCGCATCGCCAATGTGGAATCATGATGCTGGGGGGAGGGAGGTCTAACCTGTGGTGAGATGTGCTGGCTCTTCACTGCTAACCTGACTGAACTCTTTAACGGCTGACGGTGAAGCTACTGGTAGTCGAATGAGCTGGACCTTATCACCTAGTGGTAAGTTCTCTGGCGAGTTCGCACCCACATTACTCGGTGACGAGATGTGGGACTGGATGAACGGGTGCTTTCCGTTGGTTTGCCACCATTCCAGCACCTCCTTCGCTACCAAGTCAGGTTTACGTCCTGAAGGAGATTGAGCCGCGTAATGCGGGGACAAAGAACTTGGTGTTATGCTTTTTATTAGAGGAGGTGTTATCTAATGGAAAAAGTGTGACTGTTAAAAAATAAAGATTGGACAAACCCAGTAAAAAACAAAGCACTCCGGCAGCAGTTGTGGAAACTTATCAATTGATGAGAACATCATACTGTGTCAAATATAAGAAAATAAATCCTCATAAATTTCAATCTTTTTTTTTTTTAAATAAATTCGACCTTTAAAGATCGAATAAATTAATTACATATACAATAGACACTCCTGGCTACCCTATACCTTAATTTGAGAGTGAGATAATAAGCTCGATTTTGAGGAAATAATTAATGGAAAATGTTAGTGGAAAATTAGAAAATTCGTAATTTTCCACATACATTTTCCACTAAATCGCGTCAACCGAGAAAAACGTATAACAATCATTGGAAATTACATCGCCGTTTCAATTGAAAATGGATAAAATATTCAATTTTCCACTAGATAACACCTTCTCTATTCTTTTACTCATGTAAAAGAACATTAAGTGAAATTAAATCAAATAGGATAGTTTCTTTATATATATATGTATATTTTTAAATAAATAAAGTCTTTTTTTAACTAGTATCGTCTCCAATAAAAAAAACACGCCTTTAAACTTTTTTTTTACATGCTTGAAGAGGTTAACGTTGTAATCAGAAAGTCCCATCTGTAAGAAAAATTAATCTAGTTGAATAACTGAAAATAAATGAAATACGATTTGTATATTTTAACATTGCAGCGATAGCCGTGCTTAATCATAGATGTTGTTCTTGGCTATAAAGTATATAGTGATTAAAGCTAGAATAGTTTTTGAGAATACAGATGCCGTGAAATGTATGTTATTGAATTTGGCTAATGTGATTGAAATTTGTAATGAGGATGTATTGAAATGAGAGAAAGGAAAAAAGAGAAAAGTTTTTTTTTTAAAAAAAAGAAGAGAAATGAGATATGAGAATGAATGAAAAAATGCGTGTTTGAAAGAGAGGCAGAAAAGGCATGGTGAATTGAATACGCAAGTAATGTCCTCATTGTATTTATATAGAATGTGCACAGAAAGTTCAGTTTGAATGTATTTATAAGGCAATAATCATTATCTGCAAACCTTTTTGTACTTTGAATATCAATGATTGCTGGGTATCCTATATTTGTTATTGTATACACACATGGACAAGTATATTTACAGTGCGAAGGATGATCTAAATTCAAATAATAAGAATAGAAAGGTATTGGCAGTTAAAAGACGCATCATTCAATATTGTGTATAGACAAATTATCAGACATTATGGTATATTGAGTACCAAAACATGGGTATCATAAAAGAGGTAAATTCTCACATAAGATTGCATGGAGTGGAATAGGATTTTGATACATGCTGGTTTTTTTTGTTTTGTTTCTTTTGATGCAATTGCTCAAAAAATGTTATGACTTTGCCATTTCAATATTGTCAATTTGCTTTAAGCTACTGCCAGTTCTTTTTTTTACCTAATTTTGAAGAGATTGAGAAAGTTATGCTATATCAAGAAAAGACAAAGTATTAATTCATATTAATAAAAAAAAATTTGGGCATCTTGTCATATTTGAATTATTGGGTTAAAGTGTTTCTTTAATCAAAAAGTAATAACATTGGAAATGAATCAAAGAAAAATCGAGAATTTTTCACTGAAAAATCCCTTTAACAAAAAGGTCAACAAAATCTAGCAGTGAAAAACATTTGATAGAGCAAGTGCTTTTCAACTTTATGTCATGATATCGAATCGTTTTTGGTTTATTTATTTGACAATACAAGAATATGATATTTATACAATAATATTTATAAACATCATTTTAGTTTCAATATGTATATCATTGACTCGTAGAAGGTTGCTGAGAGTTTGATGCCAGTGATATTCTTGGGGAAGGAGTAGGATTTTCTGAAGATTGTCTCTGCTGGTGTGTAGGCGCTACTTGTTGCTTAATTTGAAACAGCTTAACTTGTGTTCCATTCCAGGCTCCATATTCTGAAAGAGATGATACATAGGCCTGTCCCCAAAGCATACTTCTAAACCAGATAAACAGTGCCTCTCCCCATTGAAATTTGCGAATGAAAATTGGTTGAGGATGGGGTAGTATCCCTACAAGTGTGATCTGGCGAAGGAACTCCAGAACTTGAGCATCCGTGGTAAGTGATTCAGCCGCACATTTTGCTTCCACCTGGGGTACAAGGTGTTCAAGTAATAAAAGAATCGGCTGTAGAGGCAGCTGTGAATGCCATCTAGACCACTTTGGCATTGAAAAACAAAGTGATCAGTATTAATAGGCCGACACACTAATTTACAAACACACACACACTCATATACATATACATATACATATACATATACATATACATATATAAGTGTGTATATATGTGAAAAGTAAATAATTCCTCTGGTTCTTACCCATTCTTCAGTGGGAACAAACCCGTGCTTTGCTCCTGGAAGGACACTTGGAGTGGAGATTGTAGAGGATATACTGCCTTGTCTCTGGGGAGTTCTTGAGAAGTCCTGACCCTCTGGCGATTCACTTAATCCTTGTGCAAAAAGCTTTGTGTTCTGTATTGCTTGCGATTCTTCTGAGTTTCCTTCCGAGTTACTTCCAGTATTTCTGGGTGAACTTGGATTCTCAGCTAAGCTTTCCTGGCTCTTGTTAACATCGGGTCCATTATTTGTCTCTACCACAGACTTGTTTTCTTCTGGTCCCTGATCGGTTTGTATTTTACTTTCTTTTAGTTGACGTAACCGTTCAATCTCTGCTAAAGCGTTCGTAAAGCTCAAGTCACGCAGTCTCTCAAACTTGGCATGGTTTCGTACAATTGCATATACAAAATTTGGGTTATCTATAGTGTAGAGGAGTTTTAAAAAAGGTAAATATATAAAGAAAGTATAAGTATAACTTAACGTAAATGCTGCACATCAATTGAATATACCTGTAAACTGATATTGTATAATGTTGTTAAAGGCTTCAATGAGGTAACTCAATAATCTGTAGTTTGATTCATCTGCCAACAAAAATCCAGGTGCCGATATCGAACTGAACAGCCCAACCAACTTGCTTGAAGAGGTAACCGACAAGTTTTTCAGATAAGGAGATACATTAGAGATGGTAAGAACAAGGGCAGGATAGAGTGTGGATAGTGTCCCACGTGTAGTTGCAATAAGCGAAAAGATTGACTAAACCACACACACATGTAATTAATTCATTGAATATAAACCATAGCTATATACATATATATTTGATAAACTCTCCAACTTACAATTATGAGAAAATCACCATATGTGCCATGGGAAGCAGGTATACGGATTAAAGCCGGAAGGTATGATTGACTGACAAACTGTTTATTAAGCTTGACACCGAATGTCCTGTCGGAGGATAGTGTTTGTAGAATGAATGTGCACATTCTTACCAAACCCACCTGAGCTGTTGATAAAAGATACTGTAAATCAATTACCAAGACCTGAGACTCACCTACTCACACACCCACACACCTGTGGTTACTTACCAACATTTGATCTGTTTTCCATGGTGTAGTATATCAGTACAACCATAAGATCAAGTGCCCGCTCTGTCTCCATGAGATATGTTCTGAATTTCTATTTAACATAGAGTATATTAGAGTCACCATATTTAGATATTTTTTATAAACTTACCAGATTGATTTCCATTACTCTCCAACAAAGCATCATAACCTCAATGTTGCACTCGACACGCTTGGTAGACCCTGGCAAGTAGGTATTGCTAGCCTATCAACACACGCTATAAACACAAATAATATCCGAGTGTGTTTGCATATTATTCAACATACTTGTAAAGGATTAAGCAAAATACGATACATGCCATCCATCAAAAACTCAAAGTCTTGAGAGCGATGTAGTTTTGACAGGTAATGTCTAAAGACGTTCCCTTCACTTTCATTGATACTCTCAATTGGAGCCGTGATTGTTGAAGTCTCGACAGGGAAATGCTCCGAGTCATTCATTTCTGGGGTACCAGCATTTAATTTACCAGCACTTTGATCAGGTGCATTTTGTATATCATTTTCTTCTACATCAGCTGTACTACCATTTAAAGAGTTCTTGGTTTGTTGTTGGTCTATGTGCCGCATCCAATGAGATATTCTTGGTGATCGATAATCAAGCAAAATTAACAGAACACGTAAACACATTGTAACAAGCTTCTCTCGAGGATTGGCAATCAAGACATGATTATAAGGAACTCCCCATCCGATTGGATCATACTTGCAAGCCGTGTTCATGAGACTGCAAAGAACAACCAAAACAATCTTGCGCTCTGTTTTAGCAGCAACAAAACGAAGCCACAGATCTTCCTTTGATAATAGCTGAGATGACGATATGTACATTGATTTGGATAGGAGGACAGTGAGAAGTCGCAAAACCTCAGTACGATTCATTTCATTGTCTTTGTAGGTTCCGATCTCCTTTGATGAACCAACACCTGCCTCCCATATGGCGTAAACAACACGCGAGTCCTTTGTTGTCATTGAAATAGGCAAAGTGAAACCCGCCAAAAACAAGCACCTAATAACCACTATGTACCACATAACGTATCTTAGCGATTATGTACCCTCCAACGCTGTTAATCCTCATTTACATGATAAAAACACCTCTCCACGTGGAGGAAGTGTGTCGTATTGTGGTTGGGGTTTGGTATCGATAACGGGCTCCTTTATATGGATAAGAAACTCTGCATCTTCAATTTATTTTTTATTTTGCATATATTTATATTTCTCACCTGTTGTTGCTGGTGCTGGTGCTGTTGTTGTTGCTCATCAAAAGTACCCTTTATAGTCTCGTCTTCCGAGTTTTCAGGTGCTTTTTTCTCAACTAAACGCGGGGTCCAAAAAAATGAATCTTCCCACTCTGAACATTCGGGACTCTCATATATATATGGCATAATGCGGGTCATTATACGACAGCAATTCAAAAGGTGATTGATAGAGTATTGTGCCGAGGGGAAATTAGGTGCATTTGTAATTGCTTCCATACGATCTATTGTCTACGGATGAATGTTCCCTTTATGGTGAGATTCGAGACACTTTTGGAATGTGTAGTCCTGACCTTGTCTATGAGAGTTTCCAGATTCTCGCGTGCATTATCTCGAGCACGTCGAACATCGCTTGCACCAATGAGGGAAAATACATCGTCTGCCGTTTCTGGTATTGTCCAGAACTAATATTGGTGTTGGCGTTAATTCAGTAACTAAAATTCGGATCAGCTAAATCACATACAAGCGACCAATAGTCATCTGAGGGGGGAATATGCTAATTAGAAAAGAAAAGAAAAGAAAAAAAAATTAGCCAACCACCAATTTATACTATATTTGTATTACTCTTTCTTCGAATAATCGAAACACTCCTTTACGGAATGCAAGTTTGCTATCTGTTGCACCCATAGAGAACTATAAAAAAAAAAGAGGCTCTTACTATCGGAGATGCTAGGCTGCTTTTGATCCCACTAAGAGGCTCCACACGTCTTTAGCCAGTAGGCTCAGCTTTGTACGACGTCACAAGCCGTGACGTATCATTGTAAAGTGCAAATATCCCTGAAGGGTTCGGAAGGTTAAGGTTATGTAGTGACGGCGAGCGTCACAGAACCAACAAGCTTCACAAGCGAGTCCTTGCCATTTACCCTTTTGTCAACAATCCCCCCACTCTTTAATTTTAACATGGCCTCCGCAGATTGGGAATACCCCGAGCATAGAAAATTTGAGCGGTAATAAAAAAAAGGATTTAATTTGTAAATCCCTCTCCACGTCCCATCAAGACTCATGTCAATTCTAGCGTGCCTAACTTGGAACAAGTAGACAAGTCTGACCGCAAGGGTAAAAATGCCTAGCTAATTCCATTCAGTATTAACTCCTCTCGAACAGCCGTCTACGCTGCACGCAATCAGAAAATTAGAGATGATTGGGTCAAGGCCATGGAAGCCCGTATCATCAAAGAGAAATTGGATGAATGCTACCGCACTGAGGGTGTCAACCACTGTAAGTTTTTCTTTACTTTATCTCTCTATTTTTTTTTCTTTTTAGGGAAATGCACATACCCTGTCTCATTAATTAATTAGACCAAAACTGCCGCGAACTTGCCAACATGTATTTCACTGCCCTGAAAGAGAACAAGGTCGAGGGTTTCCGCAAGAAACCATCAAGCGCATAGATACCGCGTTCAACCTCTTTTTTTTGCACTACAAGTCAATAAAAAAGACACTGGATTCTAAATCATTTTATATATATATATATACATATTATAATGCGTCCTTTGTACACATTACATTCGGTCGTTCTTTCTAAGCTTCCACAACCTTGTAATGCTCCAGAGAACATACAGCTTTGCCACTCTTTTTGGCAACATACTTCTTCAAGTTTTTACAACCCTCTACTTGACAAACAACTGCTGCCTTTTTACAAGACCTAGAGCTGAAATGGGATAAGTATATGCAATTGATTTCATTTCAACTTACCCTTGAGAAAACACCTGGTCAACAGTAAACTTGGCTGGAATGGACAATTTGCTTCCATGTTGGTTGCTAACATAGTGTAATCGATTTGGATCTTCTTTACGTCTCAGACGCTCAGCTGGACTCTGTCCGTTCTCGTCATTTGCGTCGTCGTTAATAATACGTTTGCTCTTTGATGCTTGCTTCTTCAAAAGACGGTTGATTGTATCATCCTACAACGATTATGTATTCATGCGTTAATTATCATTGTTATTATATATATATCAACCGAGGTTTCCCAAATATTACTTTATCCTTTTCAGCTCGTTGGATGCTTTGGTTCTTTCTTCGTCTAGCAACCTCTGACTTCCGCAATGCTTCTTCTTCTTCTGTTAATGTCTTCTTCTTTCCATTATCTAACACACCAACAATTTAGAGTTATTCTTCGGAGATAGCAATTTAAAAATATTATTATTCTTACCCATAGGAAGTTCCATAAAATATTCTTCCGTATCATCCTCATTCAATTTTGCACGTTGACGCTTCGTCAAAGGTCTATTCTCTACAATCTCTGTGTCCGATTCATCGTCGAATATATCATACTCCTCTTCATATATCTAAGATTTAGTATATAAAGTACTGCGATTTCATGTTTATTACCTTCTTTCTTGCGTTTATTTTGAGAAGTATTGGTAGGTTTTGGAGCCTCTTCCTCTTCCTCTTCCTCCTCCTCTTCCTCCTTCATCCTTCCTCTGTTTTCTTCTTCTTCGTCCTCGTCTTCTTCTTCTTCTTCAGAATCATGAATATCTGATCCAGACTCCAAGAGATCCAGATCGTCATTGTCTTCTTGATCTACGTCATTCGCAGGTTCTTCATCGAATTCGTCTTCGGTAAACACTCCTTGACCGTCTTCTTCGTTAATTGGTTCCATATCTTCATTTTCAAGTTCATCATCTAAATCCTCATCCGAACTGAGCTCAGGAGATGGTGAAATTGCTGGTCGGCTGCGTCTTCGTGCACTCATGAGGGATAAGTCGATCTATATTCTTGTCACTTTGAAGGGTCTGTCACTTTTATTAATTGGTGACTGTGCCTTGGTCTACTCAAATCGCTTAAATTCAATCCCGCCACAGTGGCATACGCATACGCTTCTTTGCAATACTCATGAATTTCAATTTCGAAGGCAATTACAGAGCTAAGCGCACCATTAATCTCGGTGGTGTCAAACCAAATGACGACAAAAGAAGCCTCATGGCAAAAACACAGTCGGAGCGGAGGGCGAGAGAGTTTGAACGCAAGAAGCTTAGGAGTGCAGGCTTGATTCAAGTAAGCTTAACACAACTCATTATATATACACATTTCCTCTTCTTCCATGTTATGTATTCATTAATTAATGTTTTATTAAAAGGCTTTCTATCGAGGGCGAAAAGAAGCGGCCCGCAATTCAAGATACCAGAAAGCGTCTTTCCAGAACATTCTTACCTCATTGTCAGCCTTGTTGCAGGAACAGGACCCAAAAGATGCTGAAATAGTAGATAAGATTGAGAAAGCTATACGGAACTTATTAGTATTCTATCGTAATCACAAGCAAGAGGATCGCTTAATGGCAGCAGATTTTTGTCGTCTACTTCTTCGTCCCACACAACCTTCAAGACGCATATCTGTCTTTCAACTTCAGTTCATGCATCGAGATATAGAACGAGTAGACCAATGTGTGTGGCAGACTATCTTATTGATGAAAAAAGTTCTGTTCCCTCTATTAGAGTCTGCAGAAAGGTTTGTCAAGAAAATGTTGCAGGATTACCAAACATTCTGTTAACAAGTGTTATTATATACTTGTATATCTGTACAGAGACAGTGACGTTACTCTTTTACCCGTTCTTCAGTTGATAGCATTACATCTCACCCCACATACGTACACAGAGCTTGAGCATATTGAATCACCTTTTACCCCATCTGTTATCCACACGCGTATGTTGACATATGACCTTCTGAGTGGCCATCTTTTACGTGCGTTAAGATCCTTTTATAAATACACATCTACGCGACAGCCTGATATTTGGAATCAGGCTTCTGAAATCCTCATATGCGTGGCAGAGGCTCGACCTCCATTTGAACTCGGTAGTAGTATTATTGGTAAATGGAAGCCCCAGACACGGCCACTCTTTGGCTTATTCAGCGGCTCTAGTTCAACAATAACCCCAAAAAAAACATCAGAGCCAGAATTATCACGCCAGTTGATTCTTGAGATGTTTACCGTCGATATCCTTACTTTGCCATTTATATTTGACCTTATTACCACGGATGCCGCTGTCAAACTTTTACGTCAGCTTTCCTTAAATGATGTCTTAGAAATGATTATTGGGTTTTATGAAAAATCCTGGCCAAGGATGGTTAATCCAGAACAAATCGCTAGTTTGCTTATTAATATTACTAAAATGGGAAATCTCCAATCAGGAGCTTATTTAGACCAAGGACTGGTAAGAGAGAAATGGAGAAAGATTTTGAAAAATTTACACAAAAGAACACAATTAATAATAATAATAATGATTACACCAGAAATATTATGTGAGAGTTGTCCAATATTTGTTCGCAGAAATATCGCCTATCTACTTTATTAGGAAAAATAAAAGTTCTACAGAGCTAAAAGCTACCGGTAAGTTCTGTTTTAAGGTGTATTAAGTGGTATTTTTTTTTTAAAAAAAAAGATAATAACAGTTGGAGAGTTATTAGATAGTGATTCAGACGATTCTGATGAAGAACAGGAGGATACAGTAATGTCAGAGGTGCTTGAACCAAGTGCACGCCTAGACCCAATGATACAAGCAAGACTAGAATCCCTTTATACCACAGAGAAGATTAATACACTTGTACAAAGGTGTATTAATTTGTCTGTTACGGAAAACAATGGATCAAAAATAAATCAGTTTATAGGACCAATGGCGACCCTGTTCACCTCTCTTATGATCAGTTGGCCATCTAAAAAAGACGATCTTTTGGGTACATTTCTCTATAATCGATGGGGGCCTGAAGTAAACAAGCCAGGATCTATCCATCTTACACAGCTACTGTGGCAGGCATGGTCAAACACGGAATGTGTGACCATGTTTGATGGACACCAGAGCGTGAACGACATTAGCAAGAAGATTCCTGCATTATCTGGTGAGTGGATCATAAAAGACGCAATGTATTGAACTAATATTGTTCCGGCTGTAGATCCCAAATACGCTGACAGTTGGTCTATTCTCTACCTTCTATGCGAGATTTACACTCGTATCTTATTTACAATTGGAGATGATGAATTCTTTGATAAATCCCTATTGAATAACCAGCTTCGAATTGATCAAGTAATTCAACTGAGTGGTCAATTAAAGGTATTTATTATATATATATAAACGAAGAAACAAGTATTCAAAATACCCGGTACATTTATTACGATCTAGGCAATAGCCTTTTTGTTATTCTGGAAATCTGGAAGCATCGATATGGAACAATATATAGATCTGACAAGTATTCAGTTGGGTCAATTGGGGATCACGGTTGTCAATCTACTACAACAAATACATATCCGAGAGTAAGTCATGTGTGGTCTTGGAAAACTAGACAAAGACTCATTTATATTTTGATCTTAGTTCTCGTCGACCTTTTTGCCCCAAAGATCACTGGTTTCTCAATGGTCTCGATACCGAGAGTTTTGCAAACGATACTCTCGCAGAAGAATATTCATTGGAAGACGAACCTAGACAACCGGGTTTGAGACAGTCCATCCCTAAAGGAAAACTCTCTATTGTCAGCCCGCGTATTGGTCTGTTAAATAATATGCCTTTTGTGATCCCATTTGAGGATCGCGTTAAGATTTTCAAGGCTTTTGTGGATAATGATCGCAAGCGAAATTCGATTGATGATTTTATGGGTCGAGCACCTTCTGTAACCATTCATCGTAACAATGTACTAGAGGATGGTTTTACTCAGCTTTATCCTTTGGGTAAGAAAATAACATATATATATATATATATATATATATATATTGTGTATCATAAATATAATAATAACTAACTCTCTATTATTTTTGGTAGGTGCTAATCTCAAGAAGCGTATAGCTATCTCGTTTGTTGATGAATTCGGACTTCTAGAGGCAGGAATTGATGGTGGCGGTGTGTTTAAAGAATTTTTGACATGGTAAGTTTTTTTTTCAGGGGGTGGTACAATGTAATAAAATAAAAGTGGCCAACTTATCATATAAATATAGTCTTGGGCATGAAGCTTTTGATACAAATTATGGTCTATTCCTGGCTACTCCTGACCAGCTTCTTTACCCTAATCCTTCAGCTCTTATATCTAATGGTAATTTTCAGGATAAAGCTAAAAAAGATTAATTTGGTGGTTATATATATATATATATATATATATATATATATATCTTACTAATACAATCCGTAGAGTCTTTGGCGGAAAAGCTAGTATTCTATGAGTTCCTCGGACTGATTATCGGAAAGGCTTTGTATGAAGGCATTTTATTGGACGTGGCGTTTGCAGAATTCTTTTTGAAGAGATGTCTTGGAAAAGTCAATTACTGTAGGTTTGAGCTATTTGTTGTAGATCGGAATAATTACCGGAATATCTTATATCTTGTATTCACTTTGTAGTGGACGATCTTCCGTCTTTGGACCCCGAACTTTACAAAGGGCTTATTGAAGTAAAAAACTTCCAGGGAAATGTAGAAGACCTTTGTCTTGACTTTAGCTTGGCAGAGACTGGTATATAATAATATCACATATGATTTCTGTGAATATCCTAACTAAACTATTCTGCTTTAATAGCTGATGGAAAATCCAAGGTAATCGAGCTTATTCCAGGGGGAAGTGATATTGCAGTGACCGAAAAGAACCGCATTCGTTACGTGCATCTGGTGGCAAACTACAGACTTAATGTTCAGATTGCTAAACAATGTAAAGCTTTCTTTCGTGGACTTTCAACTATTGTTGATATCAAATGGTTGCGCATGTTTAACGAGGTATCTACTTAATGTACAATAAGGGTCAACTTGGTTTATTGACTTGATACACTTTTCTTCTATAGAGAGAATTGCAGATTCTCTTAGGCGGTGCTTCTGTTCCTATTGACATAGAAGATCTCCGCCGACACACTGTTTACGCAGGTTACCGTGAAAATGATCCAACAGTAAAGGATCTTTGGAAAGCCCTTGAGAGCTTTGATAATACACAACGTATGAAGTTCGTCAAGTTCGTTACATCTTGTTCTCGACCACCACTCTTGGGTTTCAAAGAACTGCGACCACAACTATGTATCCGTGAAGCAGGGTCGGATAGCGGGCGCTTACCTACCAGCTCTACATGCGTAAACTTATTAAAACTACCCAAGTTTGCAAGTTACAATATATTACGACAGTAAGTTTGGTATAATTTTTTTTTCAAAGAGTATATGATATTCAATATTTTTATTTTTATTTTAGAAAACTACTTTATGCGATCAATGCCGATGCTGGATTTGATCTATCTTAAAGGATCTATACATTCAACCATAGCTTATATTATAACTGGTAGATAGCCGGTATAAATAAGTAGTCGCTTTTATATTACATTTACATATCATAAACAAGAGCAGATTAATACAAAAAAAACAAGGTTGTTTCTCTTTTTATTATTATTATAAGTTCCAGGAAAATGTGTACAAAAGGTATATTTGATGCTTTAAGCCTTATATACATGATCCTCCCCCGTTGCTTTTTTTTGCGCTATAAGTTCTATATATGCTTAATTATAAAAATCTGATTAAAAAGAAGGGTAAAGGGAAGGAGGAAAATATTATTTGGGATTTGTGCGGGAATAAAATGCGCAGCATATCATTTAGAACTCGTAACCGGTCTGTTGAGTGTAAAGCTTTTCAGCATCTTCCTTGGCAGCACTGGAGAATTCGTTTAGATTAAGTTTACAAGACAATATATTTAAACTTACTGTTTAGCCTTTTGACGGTCAACCCAGTCAATACCCTTAGTCTCAGCGAAATGGTCCACCGAGGCACCAGCAAGACCAGCGATGATTTCTTTGGCCAAATGGTGGTCATCGATTGGACCTTCCTCGGCCTGCTTCTTGTTATAAAGGCGCATGGCTTCAAAGGCAGCTGCACCGGCGATGATCTGGTGTGTCCACTCGGCCTTGTGCTTTTCTTCTGGGACATCAACGGAGGTGATTTCTCTGTAGGCTTGTTCTTGATAGTTCATGATGAGTATATAGGTTTATTTATTGATGGAATAATGAAATTTACTACTGAATTTGCTCCATCCTTTTATACCATTGAGAGTCTTTCTTTTTTCAATGATGTTATCTAAACATCATCGTTCGCAAGAAGCCTAGTTTGCTTATATAGCGTATATGGTAAACCTAAACGATGCTTGACGTCGGGGAATGTATTTAACCAGTTAACCAGGTTTGTCTTTTGTTCAAGGTTACCAAAGAACAGAACCCCGGCAGTTTGTACGAGGTGTGTGTTCCAAAGATATGTACTTGTATTACTATTGTAGTTTTTTTTTTTTTCATTTCTCCCCACGTCAGCCCAATACTTGTGCCTTTTCCTGCCCAAAATCCGTTTATTGGATACCTAGAGTTCCCTTTGTACACAAGGAGAACAGATTCTCCATTGAGATGTAAGAATATTATAGATTGGTATTTTATAAGCATATTTAAAATAGAAATTTCAGTCAAAAAAAAACGAAACCAAAGCAGAAGATATAATAACAATAAGTCCGAATTTATACACCTATAGAAATATGCAAAGAATACACGTAAATAGCAATATACGTCTACTGTAGTGTTCCAAGCCTAAACGTCATGTTTTTATATTCACAGCCAAAACTTTAACAGGAAAGACTAGAGTGTATCGGTCTTTGAGGTGTTTTTAGGTACAAATGTTAAAATAGGATGCTATAAATGGAAATATAATATCAAATGGCTGCTTAAGCTAAAAAGATAAACAAAAATGCATGTCTATGCATCGCCCCAATAGACCAAGTATTAAATCTTACTACAGTAATCCTGGTTTAATTTTATGTAGATTACAATATCTTTTAGGATAAGATAAATTATATTTGATTGCCGTTGATTTGATAATAGTGTACTTGTGTGTTTATGCATATTGTCTTTTTATTAATCATATGTCTCTTTATCAGCTTTTTTCCCGCTAAACGAAAGATAGCAATTTAATATAACAGTTTAGTGCTCGCAGCAAATTTCGTACTATTGTCTGAAACAGATGGTTATTCTTTAACTTATTCGACATCAAAAGTTACCAACTCACGCTTCAGTGCACTCCGCATACCTTGTAAAAATTATTCTCTCAATTATGATTCACTCTTCTGGTTTTTATTGCAAAACAAAGTATGTCTCACTATAAAATGCAAAGAGCATATTTCAAAATGTTAAGCAAGAAAATCAAGAGGTAGGTGAAATTAAGTACAAAATAAATAAATATTTTATACTGAGTAATGAACAAAACTGCATTGTAAAGATATCTAAAGCGTGTATTCTCAAATAAGTCAGCAATAGAATGCATTGTCCATACATGTAAATACATAATTATCAAATTAATATTGTCTAACTATACCATGGTTTACCTTGAAAGATAGTGTAATCTAGCTTAAAAACAACCAAAAAAAAATAGTGATATCCTATTGTTTTATTCCATAAAAACACCACTTGCTCTATATTAATATAAGCAACTTATAGAGTCATATTTATTGTACTTGGTAATTATGAGATACATTGATACCCTTACCATACATTTCATACCTTGACAGAGAAAGAAAAAGGCACCTGTGATTATATATATACATATATGTGTGTGTTTGTCAAAGTACGTTCATAAATGTTGTTGCACTGAAAGAATAAGTAACGGGGACTGATCGACCGCAAAATTTTGTATAACAGAAAACTGTTTTTGGGTGACAATCTTCTGTCTCTACATCAAACAAGTCTGGGTCTCGACTTTTGGATCAAAAGCTTTATATTATAAAACTGGGGCCTGACATATAAAGTTGATATGGACTATATATATCTGTATTTAATAATAAGAATAAGAATAAGAATAAGAATAAGAAAGTAAGCAAAGATGAGTTAAAATATATAAACTTCGATCCAACTTGTTTTCAAGATAGTCAAAATTTCATGCTGCTTTTTTTTATATATCATACATTTTGCTTTAATACATTCATTTTAAGCCATTTTTCTTCTTCTTCGATTCTTTTGCTAGCAAGCAATGTTTGCTGGAAAGAATTTCTTTTCTTTTCTTAAAATAAAATAAAACATAAAAAAAGCAATAAAAACAGTGTATATATAGTGTATGAATAGAATTCGATGATTTTGAAAAAAAAAAATAAGCTTTAAAATGTAAACTTTTGCACAAGACGAGGATAACTCTCGAGCCCTTTGTTGACAAGTCGAGTAACTGATGCTGTAAGTACATGCCCACCATCTTCGACTAACATAGATGTGGGCTGTATTCCATTACTCCTATAGTCAAACAATAGTCGTTCAGATAAGAATTGCCGAATTTCCCCCCGACGTTGGTGAACGTATTCAAGTGTGTGCAAGCTAAAAGGAACGTCTGCTGAAAGTTTTTCGAGTCGACGATAGACCATATAGGCATTTGGGCGTTTTGAAGGATCGGTGTTGAGACAGTCGGTGTAAAGGTCTTCCCATTCTTTCATTACGCCTGGAATTGGTTCAATACGATACACAAAAGGGTCGACGAGTGTATTATCAGGGAAGGTGACCCGGGAAACCAGTTGCCAAAGAATAATGCCCAATGCATAAATGTCAGCTGCAGTCGTGAGTCGACTGGAAGGCATAGCCATTTCAGGTGCGACGTAGGGCCACCGGCCACCTACACCAACTGAGCTAGTACGATCGGTCTGGGCCTCGTTGGCGTTTGCACTGTGGCGTCGTTGAAGAGAACGCGATCTTTGCATAAAAGTTATATCAATTAATTCTCCCACATAATCAGCAAAGTTGAGCAATATATTTCGTGGGTGGACGTTGCCATGTACGTATTCCCAATGCAAATCCTTGAGAGCTTTCGTAACACTGAGGGCAAGCATACGGGGTTTGTTATAGTCGACCGGAATTTCCTTTTCCAAACTGGTTTCCAGGTTACCATAGGTCGCTTTTTTCATTACCATCATCAGTCGGCTGTAACCTAGCCTACTGTCGTAATGGACCGTCAGACCGTAGATAGACAGTGTGTTTGTGATAAGTTCGGGGTCCATGTCTAGCTAAGAGAATCAATAGATATAGGTATTTGCAAGTGTATGAAGCAGATCTTGCTGTGTCGTTGGACTGAATTCCTCACCTGATGGTCAGGGTCAACTGTCAAGCCTTTGAGAAAAACCTCGTCCCAACGTTCTGGAACAGAAGCTAGTCTATAAGGTGGGACAAACCGCGCAATGTAAGACGGGGCGAGACCTTGATAATCGCCGTGATTTTGCCGCTGTTTGTCCACAAACCACGATGGCGGGAAGAACGGGATAGTGGTGAGTTTACAGGCACCTATAAGGGCAAGCGAACGATTTGTCTGATGCCAATCTACAAGATAGTCGCAGATGTTTTCTAGTAATATCTGGTGTCTTTCGTGAATTTTGTGCCGGCAGTTGTTGTGGTTAAGCCAGGGTTGAAGACCTTTTGTGGTAAATGGTCGTTCCGATGTTGCCAAAGTGGCTTCTTCGTGTTCCGCTTTTTGCAATGTCCAGTTCCACATGTGTTCGAGCGAGAATACCACACTCCATTTTTGATACCACTGGTCGGCAATATCCCAGACCTGAAAATAAAATCAAAGAATATGAGTTGTTGCAATACACGACAGCACTTCAAAATGACTTGCATAGCGCCCGTATTTAGGATGAAGTTCGTATTGGGCATCCAGATCTCGCTCAAACTCTTCAAATGCACTGTTTATTTCCTTTGAGCAAGAGTCCCCACTCATTGCTTCCTGGTGGATACTAGATTCAAAGCCATCGAGGTCAAACAGACACGGCTGAGCAGCGATAAGAGGTAATGCATAGCGACAATAAAAATTCGCATCGCATTCCATAAGATAATTCAAAAGCGACATTGAGGATATAAAAATCGATCAAACGTTTCAATTCTCTCTTATTTAACTCTCTTTTTTTTGATTTTTGATTTTTGATTTTTGAATAATATTTTTTTAAAAAAAAAAAAAATGAAAATAAAATTTAAATAAAAAATAGAAGCAAAGCAAAGCTAAGTAAAGAGACGCTACAACAGGGCACAGGGTTTCAAGATAATCGTGAGCGTGCTAAAAAGGACAAGAATTACACGTCTTAATAAACGAAAGAGGGAAGAAGGGGAAGAAAGAGAAAAAGAGAAAGAAAGAGAAAATGAAAGGGATGTGTAGTGGCTGATAATGGGAACCCAATAACCTTGTTTTGTCCCAAAATATCAACCGCCTTTTGATTCTAGACCTTACCATTCGTTCGGTTGATTTCTTTCTTTCTCTCTCCCTCTCTCTCTCTCTCTCTCTCTCTCTCACTCACACACACTTTCGTGTGAGCAAGTCAAAAAAAAAAGATTCTTTTATAAATATATGTATATTGAACAATTTTTATTTTTAGTCCTTTTTGGACACGCCTTTTTATGATAAATAACAAAGATTAATTAAAAACTGATAAAAAAAAAACCTTCATATGTAATTTTTTTTTACCTTCTGCGCCATCACGGAGCTGACTAAGTAATTGTCTTAACTTCAGCCTGAGCTTGGTTACTAAGGGGTCTTCATCTTTATCCGGGGGAGGGACTTGGTCCAATAGGAATTCAGCCTCATCTATGGTCCTACCGCACATGCATGGCAACAGCAGTTCATTAAGGTTTATTTATTGTCATGGGTACAAAAATATAAAAAGGTAAAAAAGAAAACGAAAAAGAAAAAGAAAAAGGAACCTACAGAACGATGGGTCCACGATTCATTTAGAGATTATGTTGAACGATAAGTTACAGAAATAAAGAGATGCCAGGAATGTTGAAATACTTGCCTTTTATCTTGTTTAAACCTTGGACGTCATTACTTTAACAAAAAGTCACATTACAAATATTTACAGTTATAGAATGGTATTCTAAGCAAGTTGAATCCTCTTGGTTAACATACCTTTTCTTTCAAAACAGAATATGTTTCTGGAACTAGTACTCGCTTTGAAAACCAAAAAAAAAAACAGAAGACATTGAAAATGACGGGTGATCACAATCACCTCAAAGCTTCTGCATTGTAGCATATCTATTTGATGAAAAATGAGCTACAGACAGAGCTGTTTCTTTTACAGCCTATATTTCAACTACTTTTGTGTCTATTATATTAACCTATAGCTGCTTAGATGCTTTAATATATATCTCTACAAAAACCAATATAGATTCTGTGAAGCTTATTAAGAAGAATATTAATATAAAAAATGTAGACAGAATTATGATTTATGTGCATGGAATTGATAGATTCATATTGAATTATGAAATACATGATTATGAAAGAATCCAACTTGATCAATCACATGTGATTAAATAGGAGCTTCAAAAGAAACTACTTTCAGAAGCCACAATCCCAACCAAATTGTAACTTATCATTTTAAGATTTGATTAATTTACTTAAAATTTATATAAGGAATCGGATCCCTTTGTTAAATCTCATATCCAACCTAAAATTTACTGAATGATCAAAAGGCAATCAACTAAAATCAAAGAGAGGTAGTTTATCAATAATAATATAGATTAGATAAAATATATGTGCGTGTGCGTGTGCGTGTGATTATATTGATCTTATGAAACACACCAGTCCAATCAAACCAATATTTGATACTGGATATCTATTTTATATATTAAGTACATCATAGTAGAAACACTTGGTTGCAGTTAAAGATTACTATCAAAGCCAGAATTTTTTGTGTTCAAATACCACAAAAATAGCTCATTATTACATTTGCAATGTGTGCGTGTGCGTGTGAGTGCTTTGTGCTGGCTCAGGGGACATACAATTCTTCTTGAATGTTCTGACATTTAATAATTTTTAATTCAAACACTTTATTACTAAAATTGTGCTTTCTGTGTCTTAAATCCGTACTTTCTTTTTTTCTTTTTTCTTTTTTTTAACTTTCCAAATTTAGATTTTGATATCATTCAACCAATAATATTTAAGCTTTATCGAGTTATTTTTTGAAAGCAAAAGAGAAATCAATTGTATTGAATAAGAAACAGGTTGTGTCTGGCTGTAGATTATAATTTAACTGCCAGAATGCTTGATTTGACCAAAAAACGTGTTGATAAAACTGTCCAAAATTGAACAAGGCATCAACCATTTGTATTGTCTTTTTTTTTTTGATAAATGGTTTTGCCCTTGGCCTAATACACTATGTATATAAGAAAAACAATATTTTTTCAATTTAATTTGATTTATGCCACTTTAAACCAAGAAAATAAAATAAAAAAAAATTCACTGTTCCAACTCCACTTTTCTCCCCTTTTCTTTGTCTTTAATTTTTTTCTCAGGAACAGTAATGTATTACTAAATAAATCTTAGAAGTATGGTGTAGTAATAGGTTTTTCTTATAAAGGCTTTAAAGCAGAGAGAACGTATCCATTTTAAAAGATTTCTAATAAAGAAGAGGAGCCAAAAAGAATAAAATAAATGTGGTTATCAAAGTTGGTGACAGGCAAATGTATAAAAACCCATTTCTCAATAAATACATGTTTATCTGAACTCCGAATCTCCCTCTTCCGCCTAAAGATGACGTATCAAACTTTACCATCCAATGGAAATGTGACAAGGAAACACAGAAGTTGGATTCTTTTCTGGAAGCCAAGGTCGAAGAAGAAGGTCGACATAACTTGTTAAACTATGGCTCAGTATACCTACGACGAGGAGGGATTTAATTTCTATTATTTCCTTCTTTCCGTCATCTCACTGTGCCTAGTACCAGCTACAGCAACATCTATTTACAGTGCATACAAAGCAACACGTAAGCCGGAACCGCGTTACATCTCCACACATAAACTAATCTTTCAATTGTATACGCATTCAGAACAAAAACGCAAGACAGACACTTGCAAATGTTCATCTTGTGAAGACCAACGAACGAAACTCAAAGCTACCAACACTACATCCACTCTTAAGCTTGTCAATCCAAAGTAAACCAAACAAAAAAAACAAGGCATATAACAATATCTGTCAACTAATCCTCGATACAGATTAATCTTTATTATTCTGGGATGGGCAGCATTTGCTCTCCTTGCCTACCAAGTATCTTATGCTGAGGCACCAAAAGCTACCTGGGATCCTTATGAAATCCTTGGTATCAAAGAGGTAAAACAAAGACAAACATATACATATGATCTCGTCTTTTTGCTTAATTAAAGATATTATTTATTTATTAAATGATTTTTTTTCTTTGGTTGTTGGGAATAGGGAATAACCTTGCCAGAAATCAAGAAGATTTACAAGAGACTCTCTTTGATTTATCACCCTGATAAAGCAGAGATCGGTACTGAGAAAGAGTCTGAGGAGCGATTCATCCAGATTAGCAAGGCCTATCAAGTGTAATTAAAATCAATTTACTGTTGGAGTGGTGCTTTGATTAACACGTGGTTGTATATAGTCTGACAGACGAGGAAGTACGCAAAAACTACGAGCAATACGGTCACCCGGACGGAAAGCAGTCTTTCTCCATGGGCGTTGCTCTTCCATCCAAGTTGATTGAAGGTGGAAATAGCCGTTTTGTTCTGTTGTTCTATGGACTTGCATTTGGCCTCGGACTTCCGTATTACATTGTAAGTTATCAATACGTGGTATATTAAAGTGTAAAAAAAAGAGAGATAATAATGCTAGATTTGTACATGTTTATGTAGGCAACTTGGTGGTACAATTCTCGTAGACACACCAAGGATAAGATTCTTAACACCACCATGGCAGTCTTCTTCAAAGGACTCAAAGAAAATGCTGATTTTAAAAGTAGGATCTGGAAATAAGACGATATTGACTGATTATAGAAATATGATATTGATAAAAAAATCAATTTGCTATATGTAGATCTCATCAAGGTTCTGGCTGGTGCTCATGAATTTAAGGAGAACTCCGATGTTCGCGAGGGAGAAGAAAGTATATTAAAGAAGCTTGATGAAACTATTGCAAACGAATTGGAGAAGCGTTTTACTGAAAAGTATGAGCCTCTTCCTAATGTAAGTATATATAAAATAAGCCCACAAAAACAAGACATTAAAAAAAATTGTATACATTTTCTGGCTGTAGGCTGCTCCTTCGTACCAGAGAAAGGCCCGCACACTTTTGTACGCCTATTTCCTCCGTATTGATATAAACACAATTGCTTCTGCAGCCCAGACTATTATTATTTTGAAAGGTAAAGCGATACAGAAGTAGACAATACTATATTTATAGTTTACTTACACACAACAACAACAACAACAACAACAGATCAGCGTTTTATTGTTGAAAAGGCTATCCATCTTCTCCAAGGATTGCTCCAAATCGCTATCGTAAAGAACTGGTTAAATGTTGCTACAACAATTATGGACTTGCAACAGCATTTGATGCAGGCTAGCTATCCTGGTGAGCCTACTATCAAGCAATTGCCTCACGTCGATACTGCACTCTTGCGTAAATACTATCACAATAAGAAGAAGAACGTCGGCTCTATTCAGCAGTTTATCTCCCTTCCTGAAGCTGAGCGCAAGTCTCTTTTGAAGCCTTTGTCAGATGAGCAATATTTGGATGTTGTTGAAGTTGCCAACCGAATTCCTCGTTTGAATGTTCGCAAGGCTGCCTTTAAGGGTAAGTTCAATATGGTAACATTTTTAATGGTAATTACAGAATGATTGACACTATATATGTGTGTTTGCAGTGGTTGGAGATAAGATTGTTACTACAGGAGCTATCATCACGTTTGTTCTTAAACTGAAGAATGGTCAAATCGAAAGCGTAGAACAAGAAGTTGAAGATGAGGAAGAGATTGATGATGAGGAAGAACAAACTGAAAATGATGATTCTGAAGGACTTGGACTTGCACACATCCCTTATTACCCTGGAGTAAGTACTATTTGTGTTTTGTTTTGGGAAAAGAAGAATACTTAATTTGTTGTATAGGAAAAGAAGCCTTACTGGTGGATCTTCTTGGGTGATCCCAAGGTTAACCGTATCCTCGTTCCTCCTCGCAAAGTAACTGACATTGTTGACGAGCAAACTATCCGCATTCCATTTGCCGGCCCACCCAAGGCTGGAACCTACACTTTCTCTCTCTTTGTCAAGTCTGACACTTACACTGGTACAGATATCCTTCAGGACATCCAATTGACTGTACAGGAACCCGGAGATCTTCCTGAAGAGGAGGAGGTCGACGATTCAATCTCAGAGCCTGAGGATGATTCCATTGCTGGTCAGATGAAGCTGATGCGCGAACAGGGTCTTGCTTCTGCTTTGGCTGGAGGCAGTCAGCAGCCTGCTAAGAAGGCCAATGCAGGCGAAGACAGTGATTCTGACAGTGATTCTGACAGTGACGAAGAGTAAAAAAACATATATATTCCAAAATAACATAACATAAATCCATCTTTTCTTTTTCTCTCTCCTCCAATCCCTCCAACTCCACCCATATTCTCTCTCTCTCTCTCTCTCTCTCTCTCTCTTTTTTTCGAAACAATAAAACCAGAACAGAACTTATATATAAACATAAGAAGAAGAAGAAGAAATATACGTATCCAATAAAACAATTTTATAAAAATGGTTAAAAACCCCCAGGATTTAAGATTTCTTGACAGGCGTGTCGCCAAAGGGTGTCTTGAAAGTAGCCGTTCCTGGTGTAGCACCTGCTCTGAATAGAGGAGTTGGGGTTGCTCCAGGTCGCCTGTCTGCCATGGCACTCCATGAGTTGGTTCGTGTCTTCCTGTCGAAAGCGAGACTAACTTACTAGGAGTAGCAGACGGAGAACCGTAAGATGACCGGAGTGCAGCATCGAATCCGCCCAAAGAATATGGAGTGTGTGTTCGCATCAAATGTTGAGCAGCCGGAGACATAAGACCAGCTCTACAAAAATATATATATAAGTCGTTGTTTTCTATTATACCCCCCCTTTTTTTTTGGTTGTATATCCTTGCCCCGATCGAGGTGTTCCTCTGACAGCATTAGCTCTCTCCTTTGTTTTCTTTCGGTAGGCACGAGAAGCTCTTTCAGACAGTCTCATGCCCAGCGCCTCTCTACGAGATGCCTTTGGAAGTGAAAATTGAGGACCTGACCAAAAGAACAAACAAGAAGATTAATATTATTATTTTATGATATTGAAGCCTTTGAATATATATATGATATATTAAATATACCTGGTGTCTCTGATCCTTTAATAAGAACAGGAGTTCCCTCAATGGAACCCCATGTCATAATCGGAGTACCCATACGTGAAGGCGTAGGTGAAGGTGTTGCATCAACAAGACTGAAACCTCTGAATTCTGGTGTATGGGAGTTGTCCAGACCTATTTAATCAAACTCTTTAGAATCATGCTACTCTTTCTCTCTTGAAGAATAAGAAAAGAAATTGTGAATTATACCATTGATTTCCTTCCAAGGTGTCATTTTTCCTTGTTGTGCTGCAATATCAGATGGTTTAAGTGAAGTTTCCGACTTTTCCTAAGCAAAACAGTTAATCTCTCCAAGACTGATATTTATCATACCCAGTCTTCTATGAAGAAGACCAAACATGTATATATCTTTTTTTTTTTTACTTTTTCTTCTTCTATTTCCAACTGAGTGTTTCCATGAGCAATGGCTCGTGGAGGTGCTCTAGAGTCTGCTTCGTTCAAAAGTGTTCCGCCCGTGCCGTCTGCGAAGTACATTAAAGCATTTCTTGGCATGTATTTCCATGTTCCTGGGGGTGCTTCATCTGCTTTTACTCGCTTTAACGAAGCTCCATTGTTTGGCACACCTTCAATTAAAAGTCGATTGGCTGTTTCGTCGAATATAAGCTTATATTTATCTTTGCGTTTTGCATTGGCTTTTTCGAGTAGATCGGTAAATGAGGCATTGTCTTCGCTAATTTACATTTTAATCATTATTATTATTTAAAAAAAAGAATATAATATAATATATAGATGCAGGTTAATAATGTCCGGTCAATTTGAAACTTTCTTTATATTTTCATCTTGTTTCTTGTTTCTTCTTCTTATTATTTTTAATATATATATGTATATATATATTTGTATCTAACCTGGTGTAAAGCGTTTGGAATTGGTCTAGGGACAGATTGAGGTTGACTCGTGTAGCAAGTTCTGGTTCGTCTTGGTTGTAGAAGTTTTGTGGAAGTGATTCGGGTGCTCCAGCTGTGAGAGAAAATAAGAGATTTAAACGATTGATTATTGTTGTTCTTCTCCATATTCTTGTCCGATAGGTGACTGACCTGTACGCTGAAGTGGTGTTTGAGAGAGATCTGAAAGTGCTTTTCCTGCTTGTTGGAGACTGACAAGACTGCCACTCTCTTGAGCTTGAAAGTAGTTTTGGCGTGCTTTGAGTTTTGCTAAATTAGGGAAGAAATCGCGTTCTATAATGTAGCTGATGGCTTCTGTGTAAGTATCTTCGTCAAGGACGACGGGATTGGTCGACATTATCGCTTGTTTTAAAGAAGACAAAATAAGAAGAAAAGAAAAAAAAGAAAAAAAAAATAACCCCTATTAAAATCAAAGCATTGATGTGGCACCTTAATATGCTATGAACACCACTTTTGAAGTTATTTTAAGGACGTCATATTTTTATAGGTTTTGATTGGCTATTGTTAAAGTGCAACTAAGAGAGAGGGAGAGAATTATTTTATATTATATTATTTTCTATTATAATATTAGATTTTATATATATAATATAATTAAAATAAAATTAGCAGTTAAACAATATATGTGATTATCTGGTGAGTGAGTGTAAGTGAGTGTAAGTGAGTGTAAGTGAAAGTATGAGAGAGTGAAATTAAAATAAAGTAAAATAAAAAAAAGAGAGAGAAATGTCGGGGTTTGATTTGGTTTTGGAGAGGTTTTTTTTTTTTTGGATGATTTGATCTATGGTCCGAGGTGATAGTGATTGTCACCCTGGTCTCCATTGTTATTGGACAACATTTCCCCTTTCCCCTTTGGATGGGGGCAGATGACGTCCCTGGAAGAAGACGCCTTGTGGCCAAAGAAGATGGGTAAAGATAATTCTGTTGACGTCAAATTGTATGAATCAAGATACTTTGAAAGACGACAATAACAGCAACAACTTGCCTGCCTGTGGTTGGTTTCTTCGTATTTCTTATTCATTTTTAACCTTTTTACTTTATTTTAATTATATAGATTATTATATATTTCTTTATGAATAAATAAATAAGAATAAGAATAAGAACAAGGATATATATATAGATAGATAGATAGATAGATAGATAGATATAGATATAGATATAGATATAGGTAACAGTATTGAAATCAAATAAGAAACCAGAGCTTTTATTTATTTATTTATTTGCCATATCAGAACCCGTTGACTCTGTGTACTGTAATCGTGTCACACAACGCACGATCCTATATTCTACACCAGAAACAGCTCCTTGCCAAAATATTGATATTATATTATATTGGATTTTCAAACTAAATTTACGTATCAATATTATTATTATTATTATTTTTAATTTTACGCACTTTAAAGTACTATTTATTTATTTATTTTTTGTAGGGAAACAATAGAGCTCAGATAATGGAATCTCTCTATGTTTTGTGTAGCAAAAGAGAAAAATCATAATTTATTTTTTAAAGATCTTAATATTTTCTCAAGTGAGTAATAGGCTGAGCCCAAGGAAGTACATCCTTTTAGCCATTTGTCTTTACAAGAAGGCGGGCCATAGTGAATGGTTCTTTTCTCTAACAGGAAGTGTTAGATAGAGATGACGACCGACTCTTTATATAATATAATGTAATGTAATGAGATCAATACACATTAATATCTAGAAACACCTTTAGACGAAATAACCCTTTACCTTTTGTTTTTTTTTAAGAAAAAAATACGAGTAAATGAATACTAACTTTCAGGTACGACAAGACTCACTGTTTGTTCTTTGGTTGTTTCATCTTCCCAATAAAACAAAACAAACAAAAGAACCATTTTTTATTTGATTTTTGTCTAAACAAGATAATCAATATCAGGCTGCCAAACATTCCATTCAAGGGCAGTTAGCCTTCTATATAAACCTAATTGTTAGGACTCTTTGACGTTACTTTGATCAGGAGCAAGGGACCAATACGTGGTATTGGCGCAATGCATACCTTAAGAGACGTACATCAATTGAAGACATATTGAATTAAGGCAAAGGGGGGTGAGGGGGGGGGGGGGGGGTGAGAATAGTGAACATAAAATAAGATATACATACATACGTATTTATATTTGTATAATAAATAGAGCGTATCACCCACTGGTCTTTCCAATTTTATTTTGTTCGTCTTCAACCATCTCTTTACCTCTGCTCTGAACTTATACTTGACTCATATTTATAACACCCATAGTCATCAAACAGACAATACAACTTCTTCCTTTTCGTAAATAATAAAAATCTGCGCTCACAACAAATTCCATACAAACCAATAGATATATCTATATATATTTCATCTATATCTATATACTGAGAAGATGTAGAGAGATACCTGTTATAAAGTTTTTATTACGCAAATTGTGCGCGCAAAAGTTAAAAAAAAAATACTCACACGCAAAAAAATAATATTGAAGTACGCAAATTTAGTTTGAAAATCCAATTTATTTTCTTGTATATAAATAAATTACTATTATTTTCTTTGACTCACAGGTCAATAGTAAAAATAAATAAATAAATAAATAAATAAATATACATTTATATAAAATAAAATAAAATAAAATAAAAAATTAAAAAAAAAATAGAAAAATTGACACAGCTTTTGTGCGGTTGCGCCCTTTTCCCTTTTCCTACTCCTCTTCCCTCATGTCTGTGTCCTACTGTCAGCCACTCGACAAGACCTCTGGTCGTCATTCGTCCTCAACCTTTATTGCTCATTTGATGCATCAGGAATACCCTCCAAAGGTCCAGCCTCGCTCTTCCGCCGCAAGAGACAATGGTCTCATTCTCGACATGGCCTCACAGCCGTCCAAAAACCACAAGGCACCAGCCATAGACTACTCCTTATTGGATAAGGTAGATGCCGAGGCTGGATGCATCCTCATCGCCCTCGCAAACCACGACCCAACAAAGGCACCCTTCAGTATCCCAGTTGCAGACGCCGCTGCAGCTCTATTACAGTCAGCAAAGGTACGCTACTTTTACCAACGAACGTCGTCTAAAATGTAGTCAACCGGAGACAGGACCCAGCCAAAAGGGTCGGCAGTTCCTCGCAACACAACCGATAGTATTATCAGTACCTCTTCATCTTCGTCCTCAAGCACAAGTGGAAGCACCAACTCTATGTCTATCAGTAGTCTCCTAAGTAAGTCTAATCTATGGCTGATTCTGTCTAAACATCTTCATATATTTCTTTCTCGCTCTCTTTTTATCTTTATCTCTATCTCTTTACAGGCAACGATGCTCCCCCTTCTCCTGCATTGACATCTGTGAGTCTGCTGACCAAGTGGTTGTGTTGTGTTTGGATGTCATAAGGGGCTGTAAAATACTTTACATGAAGAACTCATTCCATATTAATTATTTCTTTCTTTCTTTCTCTCTCTCTCTCTTTATTATGATTGTTATCTGCAGCAACAAGAAGAACCTCTTGAACAAAAAACTATCGAACCATTATCGACTGACAAGGGTAAAAAAAATTCTGTAACCAAAATCCTAAACAATTCTTTTATTATTGTAAAAAAAAAAAGGTTTGCTCACATTGACCTTGTGGTTAAACAAACAAATTAGTCCCTCGATCTCTGTTCCACAACACTCAAAGTGGAGACGAGCCTTGGAACTCCCATGTGCAATCCGATCCTATCATGTTGTTGGTTGCAGCAGCTGAAGCTGTCACTAGCAATGACAAGGCATTGGCCGAGAAAGACCGGCGCCGCTCCGGGGGAAAGCTTTACGGTAACGGAGTGTGGCGTCATTGAGTCACCATCCCTAGCCTGCAATTCCTCACTCATCCCAAACAGGCGATTTTTTCAATCTTTCTCGAGAACGAGACGAAGACGGCGATCACCATGTGGGCCAACCCAAACGAAAATGGCACGACCACTCCATGTCAGATACCCAAGATATTAATGACTCTAGGCAGCGTCTCAGTCCCGAGAAGAGGGCACGGCAGACAAACGATGCCTGGCAAGATGAATTTTATGAAGAGGTGTGTTGCCGTAATTCCATTGGCTGAGATATATATCATTTATTTACTTTGACTATATTTTATATTAGAAAAATCCTAGATCCTCAGATAGCAGCAACTCATTTTCTTGGCAATACCAGTCCATGGTGAGCAAAAACGAGTGTAACCTGCACTGCACTGTAGTGTCATGTAGTGCACTGTGATGTACTGTGCTGTAATGTACTGTACTGTACTGTACTGTGCTGCACTATAATTTTATAACATAATACATAAAAAATTATATGTATATATACTATACAAATCCATTAGAAATTAATCTGAATATGTTTGCTTAGAAACACGACCCAAAAATCAAACGAAATGCAATGCACGCCTACATCACTTACATGATCTATACTGACATGGTTAATGAACAATCGGTAAGCTTATTACTCACATGTGAATAAAATGGAAACACATAATAGCACTATCAATAGTCACACCAACCCTGCAATTTCTTTTCTTGTCAAAAAAAAGCACTCTGGCACTAAACCAGGTAGAGACAACTTCAAAGAACCCTCTCAAAGACAGGATCAAATAGATTTACATCGCACGCGTGGACAATCTATCGAAGATGAATATGGATCCTCATTACGGCCACGAAACGATTATAATGATCACAAGGGATTACCTATCGATACCAGCCAAAACTCTCCAAGCAGTGCATCTCTTTATACAACCAACCAACGCTCAACAGACGTCCCACGAACACAGCATCTATCAGCACCGCAGTCTAATGAATCATTATGGTACTCTTCCTCGTATCATTCACCATTACAGGAAAGTCAGCAACAGCAACAGCAACAGCAACAGCAACAGCAACAGCAACAGCAACAGCAACAGCAACAGCAACAGCAACAGCAACAGCAACAGCAACAGCAACAGCAACAGCAACAGCAACAGCAACAGCAACAGCAACAGCAACAGCAACAGCAACAGCAACAGCAACAGCAACAGCAACAGCAACAGCAACAGCAACAGCAACAACAGCAACAGCAACAGCAACATCAACAACAACATCAACAACAACATCAACAACAACATCAACAACAACATCAACAACACCAACACCAACATCAACAACACCAGCAACACCAACAACATCAGCATCATCATCAACACCAACACCAACACCAACACCAACATCAGCAGCATCAACACCAACACCAACAGCAACAACTTCATCAGCAACAGCAACAACAACAACTTCACCACCAGCAGCAACAACAGCAGCAACTTCAACTTCAACTTCAACAACAACAGCAGTCATTACCGCAACAGCAGCCGCAACCACAACCACAACCACAACCACAACCACAACCACAACCACAACCACAACCACAACAGCAGCCGCAACCACAATCCCAACCACAGCCACAATCACAACAGCAGCAGCAACCGATGATGTGTTATGGAAGTACAAATCTCCCTACTCAACCTTCTACAGGTCCAATCCTTGCACGCCCATTGACCGCCTTTCTTTGGGATGATGTTTCTGTAAAGACGACTGAAAGGAAACATGAAAACGTTATGCTACCTCCTCTGACTTCACGCCCTATGACACATCCTTCCTCACCCGCAAATGGCAGTTTCCAATAGTAGTCCTTCATTGACTGAAGAAAGGAAAAAAAAATAAGGCAACACAACGACAAATATTTCATTATTGCTGTTTTGCTTCTGTAAAAGAATTCCCTCGAAAAAATAGTTCACACATCTCCTTTACCCATCGTTCGCCTTTGTCCTTTGTTTTGTGCTATAATATATCAAAGAATTATAGTAACTAACTTACAGACACACAACGACATACATATACAAATACATAAAATAAAATAAAAGCAATTAATACAGTAAATCTGTAAATGATCACCATCGATGCAGGGCTCAAGTTGAATGTATGGTGTAATGAAAGGGGGCGCGGGGAAGCAAGCGGGGCAGACGAATCAAATAAATATGACATATATATATATATATATAACAGTATGAGTATCATCTCTCGGGTACAAAGAAATTGAATTATAAAGCCAAATATAAGAGCATTTTTAGAAGATAAGTACTTCTTCCGTGTCTTTGTGGCTCTTAAAAAAAGATACATACTTGAGTCTAGGTATTAAATATCCAAAAAATAATAATAATTCTCTAGCGTCATTGTTTTGACTATTGTCTTTAAGAAAGGGAGTAGCGTTGTAATAATCCTATATATTAATATACGCATTGTTGAAGCCTAACAACGAGTGTTGCCTTGGCATTTAAAGAATACATTGTTTTACTTTTATTACTATTGAATGTCTTACATTTTTCTCCAAGAACCTTTCTGGATCGGCTTTGTCAAAAAGATTCTTATACTTCTTTTTTTTTTAATTAAGTTTCATTGTGAAATATATTTTATATTTTACTACATATACCTCATCTATCATCTTCGGCTGAATATTACTTTGTTTTTTTTTACTACATCTAATTATTGCAATCTTTAAGGCTTACCTACTACACTTTATTTATTATCTTTACATAATGTCTATCAACACCCATAAAGGTTCAACATTCTATCAGTCTCAAGATGTACACGATATTGCGAGTCTTTTTGTTGATTCTAGAATTAATTCTGAAGACATTCACGCAACTGGTACCGACGACAACCGGATTTCATTTAATTCTCAAAGCAAACCCAATCTACAGCATCTTATTCGCCCTAGTTCTGATGATGTTAATTCACGAACGCCCAGGGAAGAGTATTTGTCTATTCATCGTGCGCAAATGAGAGCTCCTGAATCATATTCTCATGATTCCAAGTCCTCTCAATTTTACGGCGATATTAATGACCATTCAGTGCAAAGAAATCCTAATCTTACTACCGTTTCCCGAGCCCCTGTCGATATTCCTCCCTTGGCTCAAAGCCATAGAACATCTTCCAAGCTTCTAGTCACTACTACTCTTCCTCCGCCGGTCCGCATTTTCAGAGGAACCCAGCAACTAAGTGCTCCTGGGCCAATGCGGGTTTTTGGAGGCCCTATTAATAAAATTCCCCAAACTCCGTACCTTCATAGTACCTTTGCTTATCAAAATCCTAGTGCTTCAGGAAGTGTAACTTCTCGACATATATCGGAAGGTATACAATCTTTCTATTTACATCCGGAAGATCCGGGAAACGAGCAAGTTTATCCAAAACCTCAGATTTCCAATTTCGCGGACAATATTATACATCATTCTACTGGACTGAAGTCTTCCGCTACACCCCTAATCCTCCGCACAGACCACTCACATCCTCCTAGATATGCACCTCCAGTTTTACCACTTCCACCAGAAAATCTATACAGAAAGGCACCTCGAAGAGCTACACGTACCCCAAAAAAACAAACATGCTTCAAGGATAATTCAAGAAATATTCATTTGGCTCGGCAGCCTGCTTATACAAACCCCTTTAAAAATCCTTCTTACCTTGATGATCAGGATAGAGTACCTCCGATTGAAAATGTAAATTCCTTTAATGATAATAATATCTATCTCAGAGCACCGATGCTAGACGGGGAATCTTTGTACGATGGGCTATACGACAATTTCGATCCGGTCCCCAACCAGGCTTCAAAGGACATGCTTTTGCGTATCACCGAAAATTGTCGAATTGAACAATCTAATACTTTACACAAAATCGATACACCTGCTGTATTTAATCCTGAGCTTCCTCCGTTGCATCCGCACGACCATCTTACTCAAGCAAATTTAGATTATCCACCTCATGGGTTAAATCTGCCACTTGTAAGAAATAATCTCACTATTCAGGAGCTGCATAAGCGGCTATTTGAAACATCCGTTAATAACACCCAAGCTAGATATGATCTTCAAAGAGCTATTGAAAATCATCAAGATTATCGCCAGACTCTAGAGAGGGTTTCTTCGCAATTTCACGCATATAATCCCAGAGGCTCTGTCTTATCAAATCGTGGCATATACTCTCTCGATCCCAACCAACTTATAGCTCCAACAGTCCCGTCTGCACACACTGAAGAAGTCTATGACGCTAATCATCAATATTGGGAGTGTAGATTCGCCAACATTTGTCCAATAGAGAACCCTGGCCGAAAGCCACGAGTTGTGGATTTGGGTGACGGTAACTTCCAACTGCCTAGATCCTCGGCAGGAAGCCTAGGTGGTGGGGACAATAATGCTGGCGACTCATTTCCAACCAATAGCTTCTTACAGGAAATTCAAAGAGCACAGGCTTTGCTTCCATTTAAGCCTCGCAATCAAACAATTAGCAATGCCAATATGACCCAGGAAAGCCAGAATACTAACAATAGAGAGTGTTTAAATGTCTCTGGATTTGGTGCCAATACACTTCCACCACCGATCCCCGATAAGACGCAAATAGGAACACTACCTCCAGTACACTGTACGCGCACAATGTTGGAGAATTTTAATCGCTCTATCCCAAATGCGCATACAGTTATAGATCCTAATGAGCACCGTATCTCAAATGCGCACAACGAAGTCGACGACTATCTGAATTTTCTTATACCATTAGAGCGCCCAAAAAAAGAAATAAGCTGCGTTCCTGAAAAAAAAACCAGACACAAGCCAAGCTTAAGAATAGATCCGTTGCATAAGGCAAAAATAGCGTTTGGCGGGAAAGAAGTCAGTCCAGGTGCCAAGCGTATTGAGAATTTTATCGACCCACCAAAACCACAAAAATATGTCTTGAGCAAAAATCCTGTGATTTATTTAAAGTACAAAAACCGATACAACCATTGCTATCATGAGGTGAGGGCCAAGAAGGAGAAGAAATAAAGAAAGGGAGGAAGGGCGAGGATGGGGAAATATTTAGCCTAGATGGATGAGTGAAACTTAAAGAAACTGATGATTAACTATTTTTTCCTTATTTTTACCTTTTACTTTTATTATTGACCATTGGTTTCTGCGGGCAATTAGAATCCATGGGTTAATGCCGGGCTTAGTCCTAGTATTACCGAGTCAGGAACCGAAAACCAACCTAGGACAGCTCTTGAGGAATTGAAAAAAGTTATGCCTTTAGGTAAAGTGCAAGGCAAACAAAGATTCGATACGTATATGATGCAACGAGATTTAGGATTTGGGTAAGTAGTGTCTAGATGAATAAGTATATATATATATATCTAATTGTCTATTTCATTTTTAATTCAAAGTGCCAATGGTGTTGTAAAAGAAAGTTTGATTCCTCTCAAGAAGCCAGGAACATATCTCGCAGTAGCCATCAAAACCTGCAGTTTCGATACAGCTTACACAGATGAGAACGAATACATCCTGCGTGAAATCGCTATAATGAATAGAATGAGACACAAACGAATTATCCAAATTTACGAAGTGTGTCTGCTTGGTAAAGTAGCAAAACTGGCAATTGAATTAATGGCTTGCTCTATTGGAAGACTGGCCAGTGCAATGGAAGAACCAATGCAGGAAAATATGGCAATGCGTATTACGAGAGATGTAAGTTTGGCAAACAAATGGCCATGTTCGACTGTTGATTTGATTTATTAACGAATCATTCAGGCTCTCGAAGGACTTGCTTATCTTCACTCCAGAAAATACATACATAGAGATATAAAGTGTGATAATATGATGATCGACTGGGGAGGTGTCGTCAAGATTGGTATGTGCAAAATAAAAACAAAAATAAAAAATAAGTATAGCTTAACAAGAATTAATGGGAACCATTTTCTTAGGTGATTTCGGTCTTGCGATTCCATTCAATAAAATCAAGCGTGGTGTGGCTGGGACTTTTAGAGTAAGTACATAGTTAAGAACACTGTGAGGGTTCATTATATCTTATATACATATCCCTTTTATTAACTTGACAATTTTTATAGTGGATGGCACCGGAAGTAATTAGTAAAGAAAGATATGATTCTCGGGCTGATATTTGGTCTCTTGGAATATCCTTAATTGAGATGATGGACCGTTTACCACCATATGGAAACAGTTTTGAAAACGCCAAGGAGCTTGAAAACCATATTATCTGTGGACCAACTCCATTTTATATGACGTTTGATCCCACTATACATATGAGAAATATTACAAAGTCTATGCTCACCCGAGATCCTCATAAAAGACCAAGAGCAAAGGACTTACTTAGTGTAAGTGCAATAGGATGATAATAGTAATTTTTATGTTGTCTTTATTCATATGTGCGATTTAGATAATCAATGGCATGTTCGATCGAGGGGATTATGCTTATGTAACCTCACAGGTTCTAGCTGACACAGTGAAGACATATATCCTCCCAAGCCAAACATATCTAGCTAAGAAAGCACCAGTTCAGCAAGGCTAGCTTTGTGGTATAGAAAGTAAAAAAATAAAATAAAATAAAAAAAACAAAAAAAAATATCTCTCTTGAAATAAAATTTTGTATTCAACCTCAAAAACAAAATAATTTTTAAAAATAATATAAAGTAAAATATTTATATATTATTATTATTTTAAAAAAAATATATAAAATAAAAGAAACAATAATAATAACAGAAAGAAAGAAAAAAAAAACTTTCACTTGCTCAGTTATTGGTCTCAAAAAATACAATCCAAATTTCCTTGTCTTTGAAATATTTTATCTTTAAAGAATATTCCCTAACCCCACTACCCCCTTTTTTTAAAAAAAATAATCTCCCTCTGGATTCCGCACACATTTTTTCACAAGCCACCCTTTTCTACAGCCTACACTGTATGCAGATGTAAAATATGTATATAGTGAAATAAGATGTCAAAGCAATGCTTTTATTGGGGTTGTGTAAATAACAAAGGTTTACTCGTCATCCTCCTCGGAAGCGACAAGGGTCATGGCAATACGATCCAAATCTCTCTGACCATCCTGGGTGATGCGACGGCCACTAATTGAGAAAGAAATAAAAATAAGATATGGTTAATTATTGTAATTATAGTATGTGTTGTTGTTGTTTTGTTTTTAAAAAAAGTATAATACATACCCCTTCTTGTCCTGCTCCAAGACACCGATCTTCTCGAGGGACTGGAGAACCTTACGGTTGACGGAACCAGAGGCCTCGACGTGGTGGGAGGGACGGAAACCGCGGTTGATGCGACCACCGTGAACCTTGTTCAAGGCACCGACACCGACGCTCTTGCGGATGTAGATGTGGCGAGCAACGGAAGCGGCACGGACGTAGTACCAGTCGGGGTCATAAGGAGCCAACTCCTTGTAGGATCCAGTCTTGACAATGTCGACGAACTTGGGGACCTCGAGCTTACCGGTACGCTTGAGGTAGGCAGAGTAGGCCTTGATGAACTCTGGATTATTATAGGTTAAGATTAGAAAATTTAATTTTTTCAGAAGGCCAAGCCACCCAAACTTGTCCACAATTCTCTCCCTCTCTCAGTTTATTTGGTGAAATAAAAATTGTTGCAAATGCTGTTCGCAGTTCGTTTAAGCTGTCCTCCGTTACTTATGTCGCCGTGACCATAAATTTGGGATTTTACTGTACGTATTGGCAGATAAAGAGAGAGGGAGAAGAAATGTGGATCGCAAAGTGATGAAGCCAAGCCATCAAGTTGATCGAACAATGAAACCACCAGTATGTGACTCTGGCTTTGCTTCAAGGCTCACACTCTGTAGAGTGTAATATAATAGAAGTAATAGGAGTGCGTACCGTGAGCGTTGACGTCCTTAACAGTGATACCAGTCATCGTGTGAGTGCACTGAAAGCGAGAAGCAAAAAAAGAGAGAGCGATTCGTTGCACGGCCCTGCCCACAATAATAAAAAAAAAATTTGATCCCGAACAAATGAAAATATCGACGTCACGCTCGTCAAGTGCCGCACGTGACGTAGTAATCGAGTGCACTCAGCCATCTATTTTATTCGTGACTGTTTATTCGCATCGATCTTAGTCTCCTTTGCTAAGTTATTTCGATCCTTTACACCTGCACACCTTCCACTAGTATTTGACTAACAATAGTCGTCTACCTAGTTGCGGCCGACCAGTAGAAACTGGTTGGCCGCCCAATTATTTATTTACCATTTATAGCAATGTGTGACAGTCCACTGCAAACCTATCGCTGGTGTTAGTATTGCCCTTTAATGTGTTGCCCTTTTATGGAATTAAGCTACTCTCTATAAATGGAAATGAAAACCGGTCGACCACAACCATTGTGGGAACTATCGGAGAGTAAATCTCCGGACTCCTAATACTGCCACAGCAGTACTTCCCCAAATAAAAAGGTAAGTCACGGTGCTCAGGGTCACTCGTATTATATACGCAAACTTTTAGCAGAGGTACTGTCGAGCGAGAATTCCGAACGTTTGCAAATATTTATTTCAAGCTTCGAATTAATTTCCAAAGATTTTTTTTTACTAACTTTAGCGTGGAGGCTATTTTGTGATGATTTGAAGCGAGAAGTTATGGATTCCTTAAATTTTCGCTCCAAATGCTTACTTAATTTCTAGTAAAAATTAAGCTTATTTCTCTCCCCTAAAAAAAGATCATATTGACTGAAGTTTCTTATGTATTTTTACTTGACCGAGTAAGACGAGGTTATTAAAGTTTATTTTCTTTATGTTATTCAATATCGATGTTTCCAACTTATAAATCTTCACAACTGTGGCTGACTTTTATTATATTTTTGATTGGGGTTTATTAATAATTATTTGGTGTGGACAGATCAAAGCTCAAAAAAAGGAAATAAAACGGCAAATCTTTTAGACAGCTCTGATTGGTTAGTCTTCTTCCATTGCCACCGGGATTGAGAAGAAGAGCATCTTTTTATGAAAACAATAGAGAACCCGTTGTCGAGTGAAAATTCTAAATTTTCACACTTTTGCTTTACGCGGCGATTTAAATTCCAATGAAAAGATGTAAAATTTTACTGAGGGAGGCCATTTAGTGATGAAATGGAGTGAAAAATTGGGAGTTTTCTAGTTTTTCAATCCATTTCATCACCAAGTTTTTATTAAGAATTGAGTTTATTTTTCCACCTTCTAACATAAATCTAATATAGTCAAGAGTCTTCTCTATCTATCTACTTAAGAGAATAAGTCATGGAAAGCCAAGTTTATTAAGATGTATCTCTCTTATGTTTGTCACAGTACTTATGTTTTCATCAACTGTGGTTGAGTTTTTTCTTTTTTTTTACTGGGTTTCACTAAGAATTCTTTTTTAGCAGTCTAGCAAAATATCACATCCCAACGGGTTCTCTAATGTGTTATAGTGTGCAGGGCCTTGAGAAAACCACAATAAAAGACTCTCGCTTTACTACAGGCAAGGTGTTTTTGACACAATTTTACCTAATATGTATTTGAACTAATTTTGAAAAAAAAATTAAAAAAAAGGTGCGGTCAGTCATAAGTTCGTCTTGTTGATTAAATTCTAAAAAAAAACTCGTTTTACTCTTTTTTGCCCTCTTTTTAAACTTTTAGTCTGTCCGCACCTTATATTTGTATTTTTGTACGCTTTCAAAAATAGAAACTTTAAGTTCAATCGATCAGAAATTTCTAATCGATCATTCACTTTGTGAGCAACTAATATTTCAATTTACTGTATTTTAAGCGGCAACTTAAATAAGCCAAAAATTTCCCAGAAAACAAAGCGGATAGCGAACTCCAATTTTTACTTAAAAAGCTCGTTTTTAATTGAATTGAACTTTTTTTTTTTTAAAAAAAACTTATACCTGCAGAGCTTAATTCTCTCCTTTTGCATTTGCTTTATTTGTAAATATATATATATTACTCAGGCTTTGTAACCTGCCAGAGACGGAGTGCTGCGTCTTGTCCAACACTTGCAACACCAAGTCCCTCAGAATTGTGCAGGAAACGGACGCTATTAACGGCATCAACATGTGCGTTCTTGATAGCGACCTTCTTAAAAGGCTTCTCACGGTTCCATATATAGACATGGGTATCCAAACCGCCGCTCACCAAGAACAATCCACAGGAAGACCAGTCGAGAGAAGTAATGCGGGCAGTGTGGAATACCCAACTCTGAACAACAGGCTTTCCAGTTTCAAGGTCATACAAAAAGATCTTACCCACGCTATCACCCACAGCTACCAAGGGCAATGTGGGATGAGCAGCTAAAGCGCTGATATTACCAAGATTGTTGGAAAGTTCCTTATTCAAGCTCAAATCACTCAACTCATATACACGAGCTTTGTTATCCTATATATGTATGTATGTATGTATGTATATTTAGTACTGTATATCCTATTGGTATTTCCAAGATATTATGTTTATTATTTACCTTGCCACCAACGATGAGATACTTGCCACTGGCATCGATGGCTGCAGCAGTAGGGGAATATCCAAGATCATCCTTTTGGTTAATCTTCTTTAGGTCACCGTCATAGATTTGGATGTTTTCGGAAGTAGTAACAACAGTGGTCTTGTCATTAGAGACAGCAATAGATCCAGGAAGGGCACCAGTGGAAATTGCCTTGTCACTTTTAGACATATGCGAGTTTTGTTATGCGACATGTTTTTTCTTTTAAAAAAAAGGAACTATGCTATCTTTGCTTCTATAGTGTCGATTTATATACCTGAATGATTTACTTTCGGTGCTTCCTGCTCTGATAATATCGTCCATACCAACAGAGAGTAAGGTGGTGTCCTTGACAACCAGAGCTGTTACCTGATTGGCATGACCTTGGCCCAAGAAAGGTGCAGCCAAAGTAGATCCACCTTCTGTTCCATAATCCCATGAATAAACACGACCATCATAAGATCCAGTGAATAGTGTATCGTCCTTGGAAACACTCAAGGCGGTAATTGCCTTGCTGTGACCATCCACAGTACGAGAAATCTTGCCACTGCTTTTGTCTAGATAATTGATCTCTCCAGAAAGCGAGGTACTCAAGAGCCAATCATTTTGCCACAAGTTACCCACTTGCTGGTTGTCGACTGCATTAGAGGCAGTGTTGATATCAAAAGTGCTATTTATATAATATCAAGTATTAAAGTTCAAGTCCACAAGTCCACAAGTCCACAAGTCCACTAGAAAGACAAAGCCATCTTACCTGACCACCTTGTTGCTTGAAATATCCCATAGCTTCACAGTTGAGTCAGCAGAAGAAGAAATAAGCTGTTTGCTATCAGGAGACCACGAAACAGAGAAAATACCACCTGTGTGGCTATTCTCTTCTGTGAACTCATGGACAAGATCTCCATTTTGACCTTCATACAAAAAGATCTAAATGATATAAATGCATTTTAGACCAAATGATTGATATGTGTAATCATAAATAACTAAATTACCTTGCCGTCGGCTCCAGCACTGACAAAATGAGAGCCATCTGGCGAGAACTGAACAGCATGTACAAAGCGAGTGTGTGCCTTGATTGACTTGGAATATTTGAATGGTACACCGGTATAGAATGTTACAGTCAAATCATCCGATGCAGTGACTGCACGGAAGGGGCGTTGCTGGCGGATGCTGACGCTGTTGATCACCTTGGAGTGCCCAGTAATTTCACCAGTAGAAGAAAGGGTGTCAAATGAAAATGCGTGTCCAAATCTACCAGGTTCATATATTGTGTATGATTTAGCTTTCAATGATTTGCTTTGAATACATGCATCTTGTAATTTCCCTACCTTTCCTTTCCTTCACCGACAGCAATGAGACGCTTGCTTTCAGAATCCCAGGCAATGTCACTAATCTTGCCAGATATGGGCTTTATTTCGTTCTTCAAAAGGTGGTCCTCATTTACAGTGTCCCAGATACGGACATTTCCATTAATATCTATACTTGAAATATTTAGTATACACGTATTTACACTTCTCAGAGCCTTATACCTCCAGATGCAATATAGTATCCGCTGGGGCTATAACGAGCCACAGTAGTTTGAGCGGAATGTCCGACATATTCAGTTGCGAGAGTAGGGTTCTATCGTTGGTAGGTTCGCGTTTTAGACACACGATGAATTCTGGACTTTGTTTGACTGCACATTTAACATTATTACCTCAATGTCTCTGATGAACACCGACTTGCCATTAGTATACAAAAAGGTTTTTCCTTTTGGATCGCTTCCGAGTTTGATCGCCTCGCCGCGATTAGTCTGAGGGAGGGGTGCAAAGGTATATTCTATTATGAAATTTGTTTGAAGTGAGCAAGTCAAGGAGAAACGTAAACCGAAAAAATACTGCTTTTTTTTTACAAAACATACTCTTGATGTAAGCCATTCTGATGTGTCAGTAAGATGAAGAAGAGAGACGTGTGCTCAGCCAAAGCTTATGGCCAAGTAAGACTACTTCTACAGGAATATGAGGTCATTTCGGTGATTAAAAGGTATGCTTAGTATTTATTCTCAGGTACTTCGAGATCGGGAGTAAGACAAGGTAAACCGCACACGAAAAAGGTGAAATGTATTATCATTATTTATATGATTCAATAAAGACATATGTTATATTTTCTATAATATTTTACTTGAGCCACGCATTGAGTAAAACGGGAAGCTTATAGCTCCCCCCTAAAGAAACCATTATGTACAATATAAAGAGATTAAGCCAAAACATGTTTAAATCCAAAGTTACTGCTTTTACTACGACTAATAATTACTGTTTTAATCCTATAATGCATATTTTAAATAAGCTTTGGTTCTAATTCTAGGTTTAAATGCCCCCATTCCTTGCAAACACAAGCCTCGAAATCCTTATTGGCACAAAGTAGATAATTCTCTAAGAACTTATTTAGTCGTATTTATTGAGAATACTTGACTGGTTCCAAATAAAGTATCACTAATAGCTTTAAGTCAGAATGTCTAATCTGACATTAGTTGTTTCATTGTGTTGTATAATGTTCAATGCGGAGCTTTCCATCATATTTTTCGTATATATATACCTGCATAATATTACGCCGCAAGCTTAAAGTTTGCCATTATTATTCTTTCGTTGTTTTTCTATTAATGACACAAAGTATGTCTTAATGTAAATTTAGTGTCAAATGAAAAATAAAGAAATGTCAAGAACAGTATTAGAGCTTTCAGTACAGTATAAGTATCTGGAATATTACCGGACCAAACTGGTGTGTCATCATGGACATACTGATAGCAATATGACTGAACTATTTTTGCTATAAGTCTCTTTTCTGGATACACATATAAGATGTATAGTTAGATTCTTTTAGACCGAAGTCTATATGTATGAAAGATTGTGATTACCTTTTCAAAAAGTTCTTTGATGCTGCTAAATAGATATGTCAATATTCGTTCCTCAAAGCACTCTACAACCGAGTTGGTGTAGGCGGCAGCCATTTAAATATAACCAGCCGACACACAATGACTGTACCCGTTTAAAGTCTCTTTCATGTCACATGTTACTTCATATCTTGAGGAAAAGCTGCTCTAAGAATCTAAAATATCGTTTTGCATAGTCTTTGTGTTTTTTGGGTGACTTTTTCAAGACCAATTGAGTAATGTAATATCAAAAGTTTTTTGTAAAGTCTCGTTTATCGACAGTTTCATTGGCATGTGCCATAATGTAATAGTTAAAAAAAAAGCTGTGAGCGTATCATTATATTTCAAACAACTTACATATACTTTTAACACTTTAGCCGTAAGTAATGCCTTGTATTCTTGCTTAAGAGCTGTGTCCAATTTGATTTTTTTTTGCAAATTACAGGGTTATCTCCCTCCAAAAAGACTATTTACTTGCTCTTGTTTGATCAGTCTATGGTTCGGGCAGCCTTTCAATCTTGAACTCTTATGTCCCTCTTGGTGTCAACTAGAGCATGTCGATGTACTCTCGCTTTGATCAGTTGTGTAGCTTCTAACATTATGTTCTTGTCTTTTTTCTTGAATGATTTACGTAAGTATGAGGGACCTTGGACAGCATCATTTTTTTTTGAAACATTCAACTAAATATATCATTTTATATGGACTCATGTTTTAGTTCCAACACGTCTATTATCTCTTTAAATCTCACAACTAATTGTCTATCACTCCAAGGAGTTCAAACAATTTCCATTCTTTTCTGTCTAGATTTTATTTTCCCTTTGTCTAAAAATTAATTTTGATTTGCCCAGAAAAAAACCAACATCGTCTAAATTCAAAGTAGATAAACTTACTGATTTGCAAATGCGACTGAGTTTAAAATTGAAGACATCTTCAGGTACCGTTAAAAAGGAAGACTTGGATAGGAACATCAATAGCAGTATTTTGTATTAAATGGACGATTTGTTTCTCTTTTTAGAGTAACTATTTTATGATAGTAATACAAAAACCTTTTAAAGACTCCTTTTTTAAATTAACTGTCTTGCATACACTAAAGAAGTACTGTAGGACAAATTCAATGTCATTTAGCCTACCTTTGATACTTATAAATATCGCCAATAAAACTTGCTTATGCCTACATCAACTAATTTACCACTCGAATTCTGCATATGCGTTATTCTTAATAGTGTATATATGGTAGCCACATATACTACTAAGCTGCTTGTGATAATTATAAGTCGTACAATCCCTTTACGCGATTCAAAAACGCGTTTGCCAATAGGTGTGTGACGTCGAAATATTAAGTCTATTTTGAACAGCGCATATGTTGAGAATAGGTGTCTTTCACACAATTGAAACTTGGACCTGACCATGTATCTCGAAGAACTCATAATTGAAGGGTTCAAATCATATGTGTCAAGAACACATATTACTGGATGGGATCCTGAATTCAATGCAATTACTGGCCTTAACGGATCGGGCAAATCAAACATTCTCGATGCGATTTGTTTTGTCCTAGGAATTACTAACCTATCGCAGGTAGATCTTTATTTTGGAAGAATTCCTTGTAAATCCTTCAAGGATTCTCACAATTTACCGATTAGGTGCGAGCCAGCAATCTTCAAGATCTTATTTATAAAAGAGGACAGGCAGGCGTCACTAAAGCCTCTGTCACTATTGTGTTCAACAATGAGAAACGAGAAAGCAGCCCAGTTGGTTTTGAGACCTGTAAACAGATCACCGTGACAAGACAGGCATGTCTAGAATAGTACATGTACTTGTAATTCATACAAGGATATCTTACTGTCCTTGCAGGTCTTAATGGGAGGAAGAACAAAATACATTGTGAATGGTCACAATGCACAGCAACAAACAGTTCAGAACCTCTTCCAGTCTGTTTCACTTAATATCAACAACCCCCATTTTTTGATCATGCAAGGTAGAATTACAAAAGTACTCAATATGAAGCCTATGGAAATCTTGAGTATGGTCGAAGAAGCGGCTGGAACAAGAATGTTTGAGGATCGTAAAAATAAAGCTTTTCAGACTATGGCAAAGAAAGAGAGAACTGTAGAAGAGATCAATAAGGTAATAGCTAATGAAATTATTTATCATAACACTCACATGTGTCTACAAGCTTATCCTGGAAGAAATCACACCTCGTCTTGAGCGTTTAAGAGCTGAAAAAAGAGTCTACTTGGATTTTCAAAAAACCGAATCTGAAATGGAACGATTGAATCGTTTGCTGACAGCCTATGAATACAATCGTCATGATGTACGTTATTATCTACTCATTTTTAAATGGAGAGAAAGAGAGAGAGCATTTGAGACTTACACCGGAAAATCCATTAGGAAAAATTGAACCAGTCAGGTGCTGAAAACACAGCTAGACAGAATAAGGTCAACGAACTAAAAGCTGCTATTGACGTCCTCAAGGCTGAAATGGGAACCATTGAGAAAGAAAGAAAAGCAATAGCAGAATCGAGAAAGCACGATTCGGAAAATGGAGGAAAATTGCGTCAAATTGAGAAGAAACTCAAAGATTATTCGACTCAACTTGTCAGATTAAAAACCAAGCACAAACTTCAGGAAACATCCATTTCTGATGAACAGAGAACCATGTCAAATATGATTACTTCAAAAGGAGAGGTAGGTAAAATAGCTGCGACTCGTTCCCGTTAAAAAAAAGGGCATTTTACAAATTGTGGACATCAGATGGAACTAGCTCTTGGGGAGAAAAAAGAAAGTTACGCTAGAATATATCAAGAGTACGAAAATTACAAGAAGCTTCATGATGATAAAACGCATGAAATGCAAAAAACTTCGGAGTTAATTCAAACATTGACAACTGGTATTTCTGCGGAGGAAGGCCATGAGAACGGTTATCTGGAACAACTTCAAGGTGATAAAGATAAAGATAAAAGTGACATGAGTCTCATTATAGTTGAAAATAGAATGCAAGAATGCCGAAAGAAATGCATCTACAGCTGAAGATACAGCCAAGTTGAGAATATCCCACTTCCGCAAAGAGTTGTCCGAAAAAGAGCCTCAGGCTATATATGCAGAAAGGCAAAATCATGGCTTGGTACGAGAGATTGCTGTAAAGAAGCTCGAATTGCCTGAATTAGAGGTAAATAAACTTACTATACATAATATAATCACTCTGACAAAGGTTTGTAGAAACAATTAAATGCTTTAAGCTGGAACCCAAAACATGGAGAGGAACTATTTAAAAAACGAGGAGAGGAAGAAGAAATACTCCGCGAATTGAAAGAGGTAGGTTACTGCTGAATATGTGCTCATTTGGAGAGAGAAAATCCTCAGAATTTGGATCTCATTATTTATTATAATCAGAGAAAAGATACTCTTTCAAGGCAACTATCCAAGCTTGATTTTGTTTACAGCAATCCCACTCACGATTTTGATCGCTCAAAAGTAAAAGGTTTAGTTGCCGAGTTGATATCACTTAACAAGGATAGCATCCAAGCTTCTACTGCCCTTGAGATATGTGCCGGTGGACGACTATACAACGTATGGTAGTATACAATTGATGAATAACTCTGAGGCTGATATCATATTTGCTTGACTTCCATCAGGTAGTAGTAGAAAACGAGGTTGTGGGTGCTCAACTTCTAGAGAGAGGAAGACTCAGACAAAGAGTTTCCTTCATTCCGCTCAACAAAATCCAAGGAGTCAGAGCCCCAGCTGATGTAAGTTTTCATATTCAAGGAAATATTATGATGTTTAAACTAATAAAAATATACATAAATATATTATTATGAAAAATAGAAAATTTCCGCAGCTAAGAAGTTAGCACCTGGAAAGGTGGATCTTGCTCTTACCCTGGTTGGATACAATGAAGAGATAGAAGCAGCCATGGAATGGATTTTTGGAAATACTCTTATTTGTAAAGATGCCAACACAGCCAAGCGAGTTACATTTGATGATGACGTTCGTATGAAATCTGTTACATATGATGGTGATGTGTATGATCCATTTGGAACCCTTTCAGGTGGATCCAAGCCAGACTATGCTGGTGTTCTTGTTAAAGTCCAGGAAATGAATGAAATATGCAATGAAGTTAAAAATCACGAAATTTTCTACAGCCAACTTCAAAAAGAGATAGTTGCTTCTCAAAAATCAGCTGACCAATATAGGCAATGCAAGCAACGTCTAGATCTAGAAACCCACGAGCTTTCTCTTCTTGAAGATCGATTGAGTAAGAGTACTCACGCGCAGGTACGAAATGCCTTGTGTATATATTCTTTTAAGCAATGAGCTAAGTTATTATAACAACCCTTGTGGCTATAACTATTTCCAGCTGGTCCAAGTAGTAGATAATATTAAGCAGCAAATTGAAAATTACAAAGAAACTGCATTGGAAGCAAACAAGGAACGTCAGAAGGCAATTGCCGATTATAAGCGTATCGAAGCAGAGATGGCTGAATTTAATAGCAATAAGGATTCAAAACTGAATGAAATGAAAGTAAGTCCTGGATTACTGATATAGTAAAAACGTTGATAGGATTCTTATTTAAATTATAATAGGCAAAGGTGAATAATCTTAAAGCCCTCGTTGCTCACGGTAGCAAAAAGTTACAAGCCATGCAGCGTGCGGTACAAACACTTGAACTTGAGAAAGGTATTTATTCTTCGATGTTTTACTGCCTTGCATGATGACTGATTATCATATATATATATGCGTGTGTGTATTATAGAGCAATTGGAGACTGACCTCAATACATTCGAAGAAGACATAAAAAAAGTGCGCGAGACGATTAATGAATACACCCAAAATGCCCAAAACTTAGTCACAGAAATGAATATTATTCAGGTAAACCTTTACGAGTTGTATTTAATCACAAGAATTAAAACAAAACGTATTTTATTTTATTTTCTCTAGTCGAATATCGAAGAAGCACAAAATGATCTTGAGCAAGAGACTGCAGCGCTGAATGCACACAATGAAGAGTTAAAAGAACTTGATTCAATGCATAAAATCAAATCATCCGAGGTTATAGAATACGGTCTTGAAGCTCAAAAGATCACACATGAAATCGAACGCTATCAAAAGGAACAACAGGGTGCTCAGCAAATGGTGGCTGATCTCGAGAATCAGCATGACTGGATTCTTGATCAAAAACAGTAAGCAGCGGCGACTTATTTTAACTAACAAGACATTTAACATGTTTTCCATAGATTCTTTGGTCAGCCAAATACACCCTATGATTATAAAAGTATCAGTATAAGTGATACAAAACGTACACTATCTCAATTGGCATTAAAATATGATGCAATGCGCAAGAAAATCAATGTTCGAGTAATGAGCATGATTGATAAGTACGTTTTTGATAAGAGTTTAAATCAAGAGCCTAACATGTATGATATATAGTGATGAAAAGAAAGAGACTACATTAAACTTAAGACTTGCCACAGTCCAGAGAGACAAACAGAAGATTGAGGATACAGTCATGACAGTGGAACAACATAAGAAAGAAACCTTGGAAAGAACATGGCGCAAAGTTAACAAGTCAGTACTATATAAGAAAATCAGTTTGGTTTCTACAATACTCATTAATTCTACTTTAGGGATTTTGCTGATATTTTTGCCGACCTATTACCAGGAAACACATGCAAGCTTCAGGCGCCAGAAGGAAAGACGGTTTCTGATGGATTGGAAGTCAAAGTCTGTATCGGTGGCGTGTGGAAACAAAGCTTAACTGAGCTGAGTGGTGGTCAAAAGTAAGAAAGGCATAGAAAGTCTCGGAAATAAGAATGTACTAGATTTTGACATACACACTCTAGATCACTTGTGGCACTGTCCCTGATTCTTTCTCTGTTGCAATACAAGCCTGCGCCAATGTATATTCTAGACGAAGTAGATGCTGCTCTAGATCTTTCGCATACCCAAAACATCGGTCAGCTTCTAAAAACTAGATTCAAAGGATCTCAGTTTATTGTTGTTTCTCTCAAAGAAGGCATGTTTAACAATGCAAATGTTGTATTTAAGACACACTTTAAGGATGGTACATCAGTTGTGGAGGTAAGAAAAGTAATTTATGCTGTGATTTCGCTTTTATGTTTAACAATTTAAATCATTACAGAGGGTTGCTGGCGAAAACACTAAGCGAAAAGAAAGTTCATCAAATAACTTGAATGACAATCGAAAACGTAACAGAGAGAGAGAACGAGAGAGAAGACCTGCATAATTATTATTTTTCATGTCGCATTGTAAACTATATAAAATACATATAAACAAAGATTAGTACTCAACAAGGGATATTCGCACCTTATTAAATATATTTTCTAGATTGAACATTAATGCAATTCAGTCTTATTTATGCTTCATATTTCTCATTTCGAAATATAGAACACCTTTCTTAATATAGACCTTTATCTAAACCGAGATAGGGGGTTTTTTTAAGGACTGCATTTGTGTTAATATGACAGTCATTCAACTTGTTCCAATATCCAAAGATGTGAATTCCATTGTAAATCTATCCAAAATCAATTCCGTGAATTTGGACTTTTATATATATAAGTCTTACTAAGCTGTTGATAACCTTGCTGTGATATTAATCTTTCTCTGTAGCAACAATTAATGCGCCTCTTTATCTATTGATTTCTATTAATGGCTTTTCATTTTCGAAAAAGACGTAAATCAAAAACATTGATAAATATCTCTAATGACATTATGGATTAATTAATTGTTGATTCTCAAAATTATTCTTTAAAAAAGCAAAAAGTTTTTATGTTGCCACCCTCAAAAGAATATATATATATATATAAATATTTAATAGCAATATATGGAAAGGTATTAATGTCTCATCGATTATGTTAGACGCGATACGAAGACTATTGAGAAACAACCATTGCTCAAAATTTCGTCGAGTGCGACTCCATGTCATTCGGCAACAGGAACTCGAAAATATGCACTCACACTATATATAAGTTTATCTGTATGTGGGCAGAATAATACGTGTGTGTTTGTGAGTTTGTATTTAAAATTGTTGGTGGCTTTATTCAATATTTACATTTAGAAAACTCGAGATTTTGCCGCACACACAAAAACTATAGATTCATATCCAGAAAAGTTCAATTAGTTTGACACTTCTTCTTTTTCTTACTTTCGCCAATAAAATGGAACTCAAAAAGCGCCCTGCATCGTCCTCAGTCGACTCTAACAAAGGCACCAAAAAGGCTTGCACTACTCCTACACATCAAACTACATTATTTGCAATGTTCAAACCAGTTACACCTACTGCCACTCCAAAATCAGCAGAAAAGACAGTTCTACCCATTACCAAATCCAATTCTAAAGAATCCAAAAATGACTTTGACGCAGAGACAAGTGAATTACTGAATCTTGAAATCAGTAACATGGAAGACGGGTGGTTTAAGGCTTTGAAGCCTGAAATGACAAAACCGTCATTCCTGGCGGTAATAAAACTAATAGCTGTCAGGAATAGTGTTGATTTTTCTAACTTTTTATTACACCAATCAAATAGTTAAAAAAATTCTTGAAGGCCGAGAAAGAGGCAAAAAAAACTGTCTATCCAGCAGGTAAATCACGCGTTCTTTTGCAAACTACAGATACTAACTTGGATATAAAACAGACGATCAGATTTATAGCTGGTCCAACTTCACCCCTTTATCGAACGTCAAAGTGGTAATCGTAGGTCAAGGTAAAGATAAGACCGAGTTTGTGTGTGTGTGTGTGTGTGCGTATGTGCGCGCACGTGTGTATTTTATTAAAAGACAAAGCAAAAATCTCTTTTAGATCCTTATCACAACGTCAACCAAGCCCATGGACTTTGTTTCTCGGTACTCAAGGGCATAACGCCTCCCCCTTCTCTTGTCAATATCTACAAGGCAATTTCTATTGATTATCCTGATTTCAAAAAACCTAACCATGGGTAATATTTATTATTAAGAAATTATTTTTTTTAAAAAAAAAAAACTAAAAACTAAACTGTATTTAAAAGTTATCTTGAAGAATGGGCTAAACAAGGTGTTCTTATGCTTAACACATCTCTCACTGTTCGCGCACATGAACCTGCAAGCCACTCTAACAAAGGATGGGAACAATTTACTGGTAAGATAATATAAGAATATAACATCATAGCATTAATTTTATCCTGTTATTGCTGTTACAGAGGCCATAATCAACCATTTGAACGAGAAAAAGAAGGGTATCGTGTTTCTTCTCTGGGGTGCACATGCCCAAAAAAAGGGCTCCAAGATCGACAATAAGGTAAATATATTTCTAGTGAGGAAAAATAGGCACAGTAAACTAATATAAACCATTTTTTTTGACAGAAACATTTGGTTCTTAAAGCAGTTCATCCATCACCTTTGTCCGCACACAGAGGATTCTTTGAATGTCACCATTTCAAGCAAACCAATGAGTATCTTTCGCAACATGGAAAGGAACCTATTAATTGGAACTGTTTAGCTGACGCATAAACTTATATCTGGTGTATAATTTTTATCATGATATTTGATCATCTTTAAAAAAAAAGCTATGATTTTAATCCTGCATCTGAATTTCGTCTATAGACGTGTGTTTATATCATTTCTAACGTAAATCTAAAATAAAAAAATATATATTCTATTGAGTTTATTTAACAGTGTATGTACACATGTCAGTATGGTATTGAAAACAACGAGGGCTCAAATGAGCCAAGTAGCTTACAAGTGTTTTACTCTGTAAGCCTATACAATCAATATTCATTTTACTCTCCTTTTTTTGTGTAAAAGGCTCAATAATATTAACAGTGATAGAGTTCCTTTTCTTTAATTTATAAAATACCCTAGAATGTCCGCCACTTCAACTTGATCCTGTATACAAATACAAAGTGCTACGTTGAAGCGATCACTGGTTACAGTGCATATACCGTGGTTGATCATTCATCTCGTGGGGCTCACGAGTATTAGAGAAATGTAATTGAGAATGAGTAATTCAATTAAAGACTCGTTGTTTATTCAGTACCAAAGTTAGGATATGTCGCATTGATAATAACAGCATTAACCAGAAACCTATAGTGGGAATCAGCTCATTCTTTCACTTGTTAAGCGGAACTTTAACCTGTTTTTCTTTTGTTCTCCTTGGGGTCTTTTACACCATTTATTCCTCCTGAAATGGTAAGTGTGACTTTATACATCAGAATAAAAGGTGGTTGTATGCACATGTGGCAAAAAAAAAGAAGGGCCCAAGAAGCAAACCCATTCAACCCAACACAGTATACACATCTCTTCTAAACATATGACAGCGATTCATTTCCGCCTTCCATATGGCTACCAAGAAGCACCAGCATGGCCTGCGCTTTATTGGCCATTTGGCGAAGGCTTCGATCCTCTCAATCTCGTAGCTGACATTCCTCATTCACTTTATTATCTTAATGGTCAGTTCTCTTTATTTGTTTGCCAATGACTTTAAGATTCCAGGAGGTTTGTGTATATTAAACTAGATAATTAACTCTAGATATTTGGCGCTTTACAATGTTGTGGTCAATTATCTTCTCACTCGTCGTATATCTTCCTGCAGGTACGAAATATGACTTTTGTGAATTTAATAGCTGGTTAACTTTTGTATTAGGTATTTGGGCATTTACCACGTTTGCTAAATCTCGGACATTCAAGTGGAATACATTGATTACTATCCCACTAATCTTTGTATTTGCCGGTTCATTATCTTCCTTTGTGATCGGGAGTATTATGGGTATTGTTCTCTAGAAAGTCTCTCGAATATACGCTTATATTTTATTAATAGGGGTCGCACTTGCGTTTGTATACAATTCAGGATTTTTTGTCATGTCATCATGGATCCCTTTTCTATGGGGTCTTATTCATGTCTTGGTAGTCCTGGTCGGCAGTTACTCGACAATTACAGCAATTCTTTAGATTTAACCATAGCGAGCTGGTCTTGCCTAATTTTATATTGTACTTTTGTTTCTTTTAAGCATATTTGCTAAAAGTAAACTCCTTTAATGATAATTCCCAATTACAATCTTTATACAAAATTGGAAAGGCTTTCTTTTTAGAGCCAATTTGATAACCATTCTTCCTCTTCTTCCTCTTCTTCCTCTTCTTCCTTTTTAACAATTGAGACCTTGCGAGATAAACCAAAAACCGTGTGACCAGAGAACACATGATATATACTTTACTATTTTAACTGTTTCTTTCTCTTTCTCTGCCAACTTTTATCCACTTATATAGAGCCTTCAAGCTTGTATTTTATTGAAAAATGATATCGGCCACTGTGAGTCAAAGCGTAGAACCGAGGCTCAATACCTGACACATAACATCTTACGCATCTATGTAGAGAATATTTGGTATAGGTCATGCTCCTGACATCAAGGTCAAAATCACGGATATTCCTGGGCGTAAAAGGGAACAAGGAACTATAACTAAACTAGAAACTTTACCTGTCTTTCTTGACAGAGAGTCAGTGAAAGGAAAAGTAAATAATATGCGTCAAAAAGTTATTTAAGAGCCATACTTAATATATAATATACAGATTTCTATAGACCTGTCTAAAGGTCGATTTCTGGAACACTAGGGTATCAAGGTTGAATGTATTGGACATATAAGTACGTGTTAGGTCTTCAAACAAGAGTTTCTCAGGTTTTAAACATAAGTAAAAAATTGCGTGATAGCAGCCACAAAATCCCAAGACCTTGATTTTCTCCATTTATCACAAGAGCTGGCTGTACCAGGAGAACTTGAAAAGAATATATCCTTCGAGTTTGCATTCATAAATGTTGCCAAGTCTTTTGAGTCTTATTACGGGAACCAGGTGACGTTGAGGTAGGGTTTTATGATCATTAATAAAATGTCAAAATAATGTAATTCACGCTCTGCATAAACGGCAGATATTTAATTCGTGTGGCATTGGCCAGAAAACATTTGTCAAACATAACACAAGAAGCAGATATATTAGTTTATCATTATGCACAGTCAAAAGAAGATCTCATTAAAAAACTAAAGATGGAGGTCGGTCTCGAAGACAGCTTGCATATTGAATTTGAATACAACAAATCAAAGTAAGTATGGTCATGAAAGAGAATAATAACTAACCTTCCGTAGATATGATTTGCGGGATGTGGTTGTAGGAAAGATTTTCTTCCGGTTGGTGCGTATAAAGATTAAGTTAATGGAACTATGGATTGTGAAACGAGAAACAATTGAATCTAGTAAGTGTTACTTTGAGATGATTAAACTGATATTCATTACTGGGCTCAGCCCCAAATGCTTTCAATGAAAGTGAGGCATTGATAAAGTATGAAATAATGGATGGTGAGCCATTTCGTGGTATGATTCCGCCTTTTAATAGAACATTTTATTATTGTTGCTACTATTACTATTACTATTACTATTACTATTATAATTATAATTGTTTTCATAATCGTAATCATTTAGGGGAATTTATTCCTATCAGACTGTTCTTGGGTGGATTAAGGCTGACACCTACATTTAGAGGTACATTAGAATTAAATACAGCAAAGTAAAGCTTATTTAAGAATCTAAAAAAAAAAACGTATAGATATCAACAAAAAGTTCTCTGTTATCTATTACCTTAGTCTTGTTCTATATGATGAGAGAAATATGGGGTATTATAAACAGCAAGAAATTGTGTTGTATCGGCGCCAAGGTACAATTTACATATTTTTACCCAATGAATGGATACTTATCAATCCTAATTTTCTAGTGGATGATGAACTTGTTGATACCATTTATTAGTGCTCCGATCAAAGATGATTCATATTTACATTTGCAAGTCACACCTATATTTTTCTTGATAGTACCTTTGGAGTAGCATTTTTATTACTTTATTCGATAAACCATGTTTTTACCTTCACTTGATGCGACTGATGTCGCTCAGGCATCACTCAAGAACTCACTCACCTACCTTGGCTCTGTGCTTCTTAAGAATACAACTGTTGACTCTGTTAAAGAATTGATTCAGCAAACTGGTTCAACTTTGTTTTGGACTCATGCTTCAACCGTAGAGGAGGCTGTTAAATTGTGGGACGTGGGTGTGTGGAAGGTTGTTTTTGACATTAGCGTGTATGCAAATGTCGTGCAGGAATTGGCTGGAATTCCTGAAGAACGTATTGCTGTCACTTCTGCTCTCGAGAACCCTTTGTTGGAGTCTCTCCTGAACTCTCCCGCAGGCGTTTCTGCCTTTATTGTCCAGGCAACCCGAAAAGAGGCCTCTTCCAACAAAGCATTGGCTCAACAGGCAAATGCTTTTAAAAGTGCTGTTTTACTCGAAGGTGGTCTCCGCCGCATTGTTGTCGAAGTGAGCGATTTCGCCGCATTGACCATCGATGGCATCCGTAGCTTCAACGCCGTCAATTTGGATACCCTTGTTCCTGCATCAATCCTCACCACTGATCCCAGTGTTAAGAATAAGCTTAATGTCGGAGAGGCGTTCTTGGCTGCTGCTACTACTGACCGTGCCGATGGGCTCTATACAACAATGGTAGTAGATGAACGCAACACTGCCCTTGGACTTGTTTATTCTAGCCAAGAAAGTGTGAAGGAGTCGATCCGTTTGGGCCAAGGTGTCTACCAGAGCAGACGCCATGGACTTTGGCACAAGGGTCTGACTTCAGGTGCTACCCAAACCCTAGTCCGTATCGACTACGATTGTGATGGCGACGCCCTTCGCTTCATTGTTAAACAGCACGGAGCAGGTATAAACATAGAAGAATGATTGAAAAAGAAAATAGCAAGGAACTTATACATTATTTTTAAGGATTCTGTCACCTCAATACTCGTACTTGTTTTGGTGCTGAGACTGGTCTCGCATCTCTCCAACAGACTCTTCAGAGCAGAAAGAACAGCGCACCCGTTGGATCTTACACAGCACGTCTTTTCAACGATGCTAAGCTTCTCAAGTCTAAGATTATGGAGGAAGCCGAGGAGTTGTGTGATGCCACCGAAAAGGATGACATCGCGTGGGAGGCTGCAGACCTGATATACTTTGCCCTTACCAAGTGTGTCAGTGCCGGTGTATCTATTGAGGATATCGAGAAGAACCTTGACAAGAAGGCCCGCAAGGTCACCCGTCGTCCTGGTAACGCCAAGCCCAAGTGGATCGAACCAACTGTTGCCGCTCCTAAGCCTGCTCCCACTCCTGCTCCCAAGCCTGCCCCCAAGAAGGATGGCAGAATCGAGATGGTGACCTACTCCTCAAACGATATCTCTGCCGAGAAGAGAGCAAAGCTTTTGCTGCGTCCCATCATTGACTCCTCCGAGATCTCTGCCAGAGTTGCTCCTATTATGAAGGATGTCCGTGAGCGTGGTGATGCTGCTTTGAAGGACCTTACTGCCAAGTTTGATCGCGTCAACTTAGAACATGCTACCATCAAAGCACCTTTCAACCCCAAGGATATGGAATTGGACCCTCTCACCAAGGCAGCCATCGACCAAGCTTATGACAACATTTACAAGTTCCACGACGCACAAATGGACCGCGAGACTCTTGTTGTTGAGACAATGCCTGGCGTTGTATGCTCTCGATTTGCTCGCCCAATTGAAAAGGTTGGCTTGTATGTCCCTGGTGGAACCGCCATTCTTCCTTCAACTACTCTTATGCTGGGTATCCCTGCAAAGGTTGCCGGCTGTTCCGAAATTGTGATTGCCACCCCTCCTCGCGCCGATGGTACTGTTGTTCCTGAGGTATTGTATGTTGCTCACAAGGTTGGGGCTTCGCACGTTGTTCTTGCTGGTGGTGCACAAGCTGTTGCCGCTATGGCTTATGGTACCCAGACAGTTCCCAAGGTAGACAAGATCTGTGGACCTGGTAACCAGTACGTAACTGCTGCCAAAATGGTTGCCCAGAATGATACCTCTTGCCTTGTCTCCATTGATATGCCTGCCGGTCCCTCTGAAGTATTGGTTATTGCTGACCGCACTTGCAAGCCCTCCTACGTTGCCGCTGATCTGTTGTCCCAGGCTGAACACGGCGTCGATTCCCAGGTTGTCTTGGTTGCTGTTGATCTTGAGGATTCTATTCTCGCTGCTATTGAAGATGCTATCCACGAGCAGGCTATTCGTCTCCCCCGTGTGGATATCATCCGTGAAAGTATTCCCAAGTCTTACACTCTCCGTGTAAACACCATCGATGAGGCTGTTCGTTTCTCCAATGAATATGCACCTGAGCATCTTATTCTTCACATTGACAATGCCGCCAGACTCATTCCTGATATCCAACATGCTGGAAGTGTCTTTGTTGGTCACTACTCTCCAGAAAGGTAAGGACAATAGCGTTTATTTATTTTTTTGGTGTAATACTTGATATTAAAACAAGCATTTTATTTTAAAGTATGGGTGACTATGCTTCCGGTACCAACCACACTTTGCCTACCTATGGTTATTCTCGCATGTACTCTGGTGTGAACACCCTCACATTTGTCAAGCACATTACTTCACAAGAACTTACCGCAGAAGGACTCGACAGACTTGGTGACACCGTTATGAGATTGGCAGAAATTGAAGGCCTGGATGCCCACCGTAATGCCGTTGCTATCCGTGTAGCTGATATCAGAAAATAAATACTTTTCTTCTTTTTCCCTCTCTATATATTCAAAAACAATAACAACCATACAATATAAAAAAAACAACTGAGCAAATAAAATTTGTCGTTATTTTTATCATTTCAATAAAAACAGCTCAACATCGCATAGTTTAATACCATTTTTATGAAGCATATAAAAATACTAGTTCATTTGTTTTCGGATAATCTCTTTTAAGGTGTGACATTTTAGCTTATCTATTAGTCAGTACCATTCCTTTTAATAATCTGTTTTAGTAACTGGAAACTGTTCCTGGATTAAAGGTTTGAGCAAGAACTTTTGTTCCAGAACATCGTTGCACTTGGCTGAGTTCATATTCTTTACCTACCACAATATATGATCTTCAATTTCTGCATTACTAAGACACCTTTAATATAATTGAATATCTAGAACAGACTATGCATGTACTAGTAGGAAGATATAATGCTTAAAGATGATCTGGGCTTTTCAATATTATCCAAAATTAATGTACATGGTTAATTATCTGAAAAATAAGTGTCAAAAGTGTATTTACTAATCTAATTTCTATTTTTAGCCACTACAAAATATTGTTTTCTCAGGACACATAGTTCATTGCAAGACCCACTCAATTCATAAACAAGATATAAATAAGTAGAGCTATATGTCAAGAACAGGAACGCTTGAGAAGACATCTTCTTAAACCTGGGATTACAATATACGTCACAGACCAATTATGTGCCCAGATTTGATACGGAGGTAATTTATGCATGTACCCAGGCACAAATCTCACACCCAACCTCTTTACCCTTTTTTCTAGCTCTTATATTTGAGGTTAACATACATTCTTTTCATGTGAATACACTGCAAACATGTTCTCCTTTGTCGGTACTCCAATGGACGTTCACGTCACTCAAAATTACGTGTGGTGTCCTACTGGTGCACATAGCGACTTTAAACGTTTTCTTTTGTGTATCCCCTCTTACAGGTATCTTCCTTGAGCTTTGAAAGTCACACGTTTACGATCGAACAGGCAGCCATCAGAGTAGCCATCTTCACAAGACTTTTTTCCACGCATGCCATAATGCTCTGTGGCTATAAATATGAGCAGTGAACCAGAAATTTCCAACTCCATACCGAGCCCAAGATCGTCGCCCATCTCTAATCGTTCAGCGACAAAGTCCCAGAAAACCAGCCTCGTTCGCATCGTAAAGGCACAGGTCATCATCTTACTCTCTAGTCTAACCAAAGAAAACTATTCAAGAAAAGCTTCTGAGATCAAGTCCGTAAGTAAACCCATCAAAAGGAAGAAAGGGCGCGCGAGTCGTGACTTGGCTTGGGCAACTCTCCGGTGACACAGTTCCCGTTTGATGATTTCTTAGCCTAACTTCCTTTTCTTAACTTCTTTCCCTTTTTATCCTCTTTTTTTTCTTTCCCAGATCATTGAGACTCACGGAGAGAGTATTCGTCAACATCTCTTGCGATTCATCCTTTCAGAACGTTATAAACGCGGTCCAACAGAAGATTACGCCGCGCCGGAATTCCAACTCTTGAAAGAAAACGTCATCTTGGACGACAAAACTAGGTCTGATTCTGTCGTCACCTTCAGTGAAGCACTCGAAGCATTCTGTAAAACAGAGTCATCTATTTATCTTGATCTTGAGACCGTTCTCCGCGAACTTAAACTAAACGCGTTTGATATATTCGTCTGTGCATCTCTTTTAATCTCATCTGCTCGACACGAGGTCGTCATCCAAGGTAATATTACATCTCGCAAACTTTACCATAGCTCATTCGATTCGCGTAACTCAACGTCCTGACTTGCTCTTTTGTTTTCTTAGCTATTACAGTCGTTACAAAAAATATTCAGCCTGCTACACGCGTTTTAAGTGAACTCGACTCAGTACCAGAAATTACTTTATCTTGGGCTTTACAAGCGATACAAAAAAGCCTAGACTCACATTCAAATTTATTCAAAGACGAAGATATCCAGGCATTTGTCTCCCTCGCGGCTAAACATCTTTCAGACAAAACGATACCTCAAAAAATACAATTATCTCTCGCACGAAAAATGGCAGAGTGAGTACAGTGGTGTAAGAAAAGCTGAACGGAGTATTCATTAATGTAAAACATTGTATCAGAAACGGAGAGGCCGAGCAAGGGGCTCTCAGCAAAATGGTGCTAGAGGCTGGATATGAGTGCTGTTCCTCACCAGCGTCTGTGCGTGATCTACTTTCAAAAACAAACCCGAAAATAGACGAGAAAGAAGTAGCAGAGACCTTGGGTTTTATAGCCAGAGCTTGCATCAACATGAATGGTGTTGGAAATGGTTCTTCCCCGGAATCATCCAGCTGGAATGTCGAGAACTTTGTGCTCGTTGTAAAAGAGCTGGTCTGTAGACTTTTCTCCAATTTTTTATGTAGAATATTGAACTCACAATAATTCTGAACCTATTTAGGCACCAGACTTGGACTGGGAAAAAGTAATTGAAAATCTAGATTATGAACACTTCTTACTTCGTGATAAAAGAGGTCTCGATATAATCATCCGTGCATGGAAGGAAAGCCCAAAGGTAAGACAATGACAGTTCTTAACTTATTATTGTTATTATTGTTTTTAGCCCAAGAGATAAACACCGCTCTGCCCCTGTTATTATGATATATCATATATGTGTATATACTGATCCTACACCTTCTGAATTCTCAGGGGTCTGAACTCTTCCCAGCGAATAAGTTCTTTGGAAAATGGCGTAACCTAAAAGGTCAAATAAGTGCACTGTACCAAATGGTCACATCATCTCCGGATGTCATAAGCTTGGTCGCTTTATCTAAACGAAAGGTTATCGAACTGGAGGATTTCAGTGCATCGAGTACACATGTGCGAGCTGCGGCAGCACAATTGGTAAATGATCAACTCAATTCTTTGGATTTGATTGAACGTGTATTGGATTTGGTGGATACTCCTGTGAATGAAGATGCAAACAAGCTGTTGGAAGCGATGGCGAGAAATTCTCCAGAGCTTATATTCCTTGGTCTTGTACAAGTACAGGTAAAAATAATAAAATTTATAACAGTAGTAATAGATGTATAGAATAAGGAAATAGAGAACGAGGAAGGTTTATATCGTTCATTGAAGTATCCTAACAGCCATATTCTGTATTGGTCCACACTTAGCCCATGAAGTCCCTCATTCACAAAGATATGTTACAGCAATTACTTGCTATTCACTTGAAAGGACATCCTGGAAGTACACTTGCGTTGACAAAACTTTGGCAGCTCAATCCGTCGTTTTTTATAAAGAGCGTTCTTGAATTCTACGCAGAAGATTCCACTTCTTTAATGCGTATTCTTGATTTTACCCATGAACTCAAGGTTAGAAACGGGGAGACAAGGAAAGAAAAAGGATAAAAACAACTAAATATTCTTTGTTTTGTACTCAGATCATTCCACAAATGCTCGAAGTCCAACCATTTTTCTTTGCGATCGACCTTGCTGCGCTGGCGTCTCGTAGAGAATATTTAAACCTTGAGAAATGGCTCCAAGACAAAATCTCAGAGCATAAGGATGCATTTGTGCGTGTCTGCTTGGACTTTTTGAGCCAGAAGATTTCGGCTGAGTTATCTCGAAAAGATGTTAATCAAGTGCCTTCAACTGTTCCCCTTCAAGTGGATGTTCTTGGCCTCTTTCTCAAGGTTCTTTCGGAGAGGTAAGTCAGGCCCTTCTTTTTATTATTTATATATATTTAAACACGATGGGGATTATCTAATAGATTTTACATTCTTCATTTAGTCCGATGACTCCCGATAATGCAGAACTACTTAAGGAAGTTCAGAGTGTTTGCTTACAAACTTATCCCAAACTTATGAACATTCGCACTCAAGCAGAACCAGGATCCACTGGAGCTGAAGTTTCCTTCAAACCAGAAGTAGAAAAAGAATCCAACTCAAACTACGAACGAATTTATAGTGGAGAACTATCGCTTGAAGAATTTATCGGGCGACTAAAAAGCTACAGTACATCAAAAGACTCACACGAGCAGGACCTATATGCGTGTATGATCCACAATCTGTTTGATGAGTACAGCTTTTTCCCAAAATATCCTGACAAAGAACTAGCTATCACAAGTGTCTTGTTCGGTTCATTGATTCAACATCATCTTGTGTCTTACGCACCTCTAAGATCTGCTCTACGTTGCGTACTTGATTCTTTGCGTAAGCCACTCGGCTCAAAGATGTTCAACTTTGGACTTCAGGCTCTGACTCAATTCCAGTCACGTCTACCCGAATTTCCCCAATTTTGTGCTTGTTTGTTGCAAATTCAGCAACTCCAACAAGCCAACCCTGAGCTCATACGCTTTATCAATGCATCATTACAGACAGCGCAGTTACAGGAGCAACAACAACAACAAGAGGAGTTATTAATGCCTGAAATGACAGCCCAAGCTGATATGATGCCTCCTCCTGAAACAAAGGCACCCAACCAAGCAGTTTTCTTCACGACATTAAGGGTTCCATCTGTGCCAATAAGTGACGAGAATATCAATTACGAAATACCACCAGAGTTGACCCAGGACAAGATCCTGTTTATTATAAACAATCTTGCACTCAACAACTTGGAAACCAAGACATCAGATTTGCTTAATCTACTCGATCAGTCGGCCTATCAATGGTTCAGTAATTATCTCGTCGTAAAACGTGCTAGTATTGAGCCAAATTATCACGAATTGTATCTCCTACTTCTTGATGCTGTGGAGAGTAGATTGTTGTATCAACATGTACTTCGTGAGACTTATGCAAATATTCAAATCCTGTTAAATTCGGAAAATACCGTGTCTTCTTCTTCAGAGCGAGGCCTATTGAAAAACTTGGGTGCTTGGTTAGGAGGAATGACATTGGCTAGAAATAAACCTATCAAACACAAAAATATTGCATTCAAGGTAATTATCAATATCACAAATATACCCTTGTGTAAATGACACCAAGGAAAATATTGTAGGGAAGAGCGCTGATGATTATGTGTAGGAACTTTTACTAGAGGGCTATGATAATAATCGCCTGATTGTGGTCATTCCTTTTGTTTGCAAAGTACTGGAGCAATGCAACAAGAGTAGAGTGTTCAAGCCGCCGAACCCATGGCTTATGGCCATCTTAAAATTACTGGTAGAACTTTACCAGTTTGCAGAATTGAAGTTGAATCTCAAGTTTGAGATTGAGGTTCTTTGCAAGAGTTTATCATTGGGATTAAATGGTAATGTATTTTTTATAAAAAAAAGCTGATATAAATCAGAATATACGAATTATAATCTCATATATAAAATCATTATAGATATTGAGGCAACTTCTGTTTTAAAAAACAGGCAGCCCAAAGACAACAGAACGGTCTTAGCCGAAATGTTAGCTAGAGGAGATGATTCTTCATTAGTAAACAATGGAAGACCTATGCCTGGAGGAAACCCAATGCTTCAGTCTGCTGTGCCAGACGGAGGATTCATTCCTGAGATGGAAGAGTCGCTGATGATTACATTGCCAAACCTTGCACCATATATCACATTCAATCCTCAGATTGTTATGTATGCTACGCAACCAGGCGCAAAACGTTTAGTTTTACAAGCAATTAACCAGTCTATCCGTGAGGTTTGTCAATATTTATATACATATATAATCACTGGATTTGTGAGTAGGCTAAACATTATTTTGTATAACCTTATCAATACAGATCATTGATGCTGTGGTGGAGCGTTCAGTGTCTATTGCTACCGTATCTACACGTGAACTTGTCACTAAAGACTTTGCAATGGAGTCTGATGAGATAAAGATGCGCAAAGCAGCCCATCTTATGGCCCAAAACCTTGCAGGAAGCCTTGCTATGGTGACATGTAGAGAGCCTCTACGTCTAAGCCTTATTTCTAACCTACGCAACATCTTCCTGGCCAGTGGGCTTACTGAGGTAATATTAGGCTTTTACCTAAAAATGACAAAGAAAGTCGCATTTGATGGTGAATTTCATTATTGATCTACGAAAATGAAATTATAGGCTGTAGCAGAGCAGACTGCACATATAACCGTATTTGATAATCTAGAATTAGTCTGTACTGTAATTGAAAAGGCTGCAATGGAAAAGGCTACTATCGATGTGGATGAGGCTATGATGAATGCTTACACCGCTCGTAAAAAGCATCGCGAGCAAAGACCTGGCCAACCTTACTTTGATATGGAGATTTTCTCTGTTTCAAGATACCCCGCAACGTTGCCAGAACCCCTCCGCTCAAAACCCAATGGCCTTCAGTCTAGTCAGCTTCGCGTGTACGAGGATTTTGCTAGGATTTCCAGATCGGCACCTTCGGGTAATCCATCATTTGAGGCTGAAAGAGGTTCTCGCCTGAGCCGCCCAGAAAGTGGTCCTTTCGGCTATGGCTACGGTAATAATGGTCACCCAATGCCCTCGGCTGGAGGTGGCAATGTCGGATTTGATGGTCCTCCTGGACAACTTAGTGCTCATCAGACCCTCGAAAGATTTAGCCAGTACATGACTGAACTTGAGAAGCTAGCAAACCAGACCAATGTATCGAGCTTTGGTGCTTTACCCAATCACCATGATATCCGCGCGATCATCCACCAGATTCCTATATTAGCACTCTCAAGCTTTGATAAAGAAGAAGCCGCGCGTACCTTTGCTCAAAAGGTAGTCCAGCTACTTTACAAGAGCGAAACCCAGCTCTCAAGAGAAACATTTGTCGTCCTTCTCGAGAATTTGTGCGAAGTTGCACCCAATGTCGGTACCCTAGTCACATCATGGCTGACCCATGCAGACGATGAGCGCAAGTATAATGTTCCTGTGACCGTTGCGTTGATTAAGTCCGGCTTGATCCATCTTCCCGAACAAGACCTAGAGCTTGGGCATTTGATTGATATTGGACGAACGACTGCGATTGACTTTACTGCTAGACTTATTCGGGCTTGTGTATTTGGAGAGACTCCTTTGGCCACTCGCCAAGAGTTTATGTCTTCCCTTGAAGCACTCGGTAGACTGCGTGGAAATGTTCCTGAAAGTGTATTAATGTTGATGGAAGATATCCGTCGCTATTCTCAAAGCCAGGTTAAGGATGCACAGGACATTCGCAGACTGGCTCAGAATCAAGTTAAAGACGCTCAAGAAGACGAAGCCACTTTGCGTGGTCAACTCGAGTACCTGTTTACCGAGTGGGTTCACCTTTACCAGCATCCCGCAACTACCGAGAAAGCTCACAATGCATTTATTGCACAATTTGCTCAACAAAGCATATTCAAGGTTGAGGATGTATCAATGCTATTTTATCGTGTCTGTATCGAGGCTTCGGTAGAGCATGCCATTAAGTTTAAAGAAATCCCTGGCCAATCTCCTAGCCTTGCATATCAGCCTATTGACGCCTTTTCAAAACTGGCTATTGGAATTGTCAAGCTCCAGACAGATCCTACTAACTGCAATCATAATACAGCCAAGGTGAACGAGTTTAACAAGGTTACTTCTGTGATTCTACTTATACTTGCTCAGCACCATGAGCAACGCCAACAGCAATTCAACCAACGTCCATTTATGCGCCTCTTTACTTGCTTGTTGAGCGATCTTCATGCAGCAGAACATCAGCTTCAGTCGGTCTATATCCCTCTCCTCACTGCACTGAGCAACTCCTTCCACATGCTTCAACCTTCATACTTCCCAGGATTCACATTTGCTTGGCTCCAGTTGATCTCTCATCGATTGTTCATGCCAAAGTTGCTGTTGACGGAGAATCAAAAGGGATGGCCAACTTTCCAGAGGCTTCTCATCTGTCTATTCCAGTTTCTCGTTCCTTTTCTTCGTAATGTTGAACTAAGAGATACGACCCGTATGCTGTACAGAGGTACACTTCGTGTCTTGCTTGTGCTGTTGCATGATTTCCCTGAGTTCCTTTGCGACTATCACTACAGTTTCTGTGACGTGATTCCATCTTCCTGTATCCAACTCAGAAACCTTATTCTAAGCGCGTTCCCTCGTAATATGCGTCTTCCAGATCCATTTACTCCCAATCTCAAGGTGGATCTGTTGCCTGAAATCAACCAATCTCCACGTATATTATCTGATTACATTGAACCTCTCAAGGCAAACGACTTTAAGCAACAAGTGGATGAGTTTATTGTGTCCGAGACTCCTGAAGATTTCTTGTCTGGGCTTCAGAACAAGCTTCTTTTGAGTCCGGAGCAGAAAGAAGCTTCTAATGTGGTAACAAAATATAACCTTCCAGTAATCAATGCACTTGTGTTCTATGTTGGCGTGACTGGTATTACCCAAGGAATTCCTGTTAATCAGGGTGCTCCTATGGAAATTTTCCAACATCTCTTGAATGAAGTTGACTCAGAAGGTAATATTACACGATAGAATGTTTTTGGATATGTGTAAATCAAAGTCTAAATATACAATTGTTAGGTCGCTATTTGTTCTTGAGTGCAATTGCAAACCAGCTGCGTTATCCTAACAGCCACACACACTACTTTAGCTGTGTCCTTCTTTATCTATTTGCTGAAAGCAATAAGGAGATTGTCAAGGAGCAGATTACGCGAGTACTGTTGGAGCGTCTGATTGTAAACCGTCCTCATCCTTGGGGCTTACTTATTACATTTATCGAGCTTATAAAGAACCCTCGCTATAACTTCTGGAATCATTCATTCACGAAATGTGCCACTGATATTGAACGTCTGTTTGAAAGTGTCTCTAGGTAAGCTTTCACGTAGACGCACAGGAAAAATTAACAAAATAGCTTAAAAATGAAGAAAAAGAAGAAAAGATAACTAATCTAATAATTAACTAGATCTATCAACCAAATTTAAACAAATATATATATGAATATGTGTATATATCATATTTCTTGTCCAGGGTTGTATAATCACTTCATGAACATAATTTCGATTTCAAAATACCTACCTTGTACAAGTGACTCAACTCTTTCTTACTTTCAACAGAGCAAGTCTCTATCCCTTTATATCTTTATCAGTCATCTTCCCCTTTCTATCACTCGATTCACTTTCCCCCTCTTCCCCTCTTCTTCTCTCAACTTCCCTCTTTCTAACTTCATTTTATATTTGCTCAATAACATGTAAACTCTGATTTCGTTTTTTTTTCAACAGCAGAAAAAAAAAGTCATACATACTTGAGCATAAGTTGTTAGCATGGATTTGACGAAAGAAGAAAATGTATTATTTTGTTTTTCCCTTTTTTTTTTATGTAAAAATATACGCTGGCTCAATGGATTTTTTTTTATTATTATTATCATTCTCCTTGTTGTCGTTGTTGTTATTATTGTTATTGTTATAGTTTTATTGATACTTTATTGAAAATAACGCTTAATTTTTAACATTGTGAGTGTGTAGGAGTATATTTGATAATTGGAAATTGTGTATCTTGTTAATCTCTCTGGCACAATTTTCGTACCAGATTTTTCCAATTAGTTTGCAGTTAAAAAAAACAGGTTTTATAGCATTTATATACTTGTATATATACTTTTTTGTACGAACTTTTAGTTCCGGGAGGCCTTGGGCTGGCCAGTGGCATTAGTCAACAAGACATTTACTACAGAGGTGTGTGGTATCTACACTACTACTAAACTGGAGCTAAATTACTCGGTAGGATTATCAAAAGGGTGATTATGACGATAAATATCAAGTAGCCAAAGAAATAAAATAAAGGATCGTATTTATCGTGGATTACTTTGAGAAAATTAAGAACTGCAGAGGTGGTCCAGGTGCCACTGCCAAATCTAAAATGCCAGTGATGCTGCCGTAGTGCCAGGAGTAGAAGGAGATCCAGTATCCAGTGTTTTACAATTACTGGTGTCCCAGCTCAGATCGGGGCTTATCAGCGTAATACTGTATACGACCTGATATCTATCTTGGCTACGAGCTAGTTGTGGGAACTTATATCTTACCAGTGTACTTGTATATACATTGATACACATAAACGTTTCGACCCCAACTAAAAACTACTAAAATAAATCAAGAAAAAAAATGAAATTAAGGATATTATATTACTCTCATTTTTTAATCGAATCCAACATGCAAGACACATTTTTTTAAACCGACTAGCGATCCATATTAAAAAGTGAATCCCTACAAATAATGATGCTCATTTACATGCATTTAGCTGATTTTTGTGCAGAAAAGATTGCAACCGTAGATAGCATTAATCTATTAACCATCAAATACATTTTTAAAAGAGTAGGAGCAGGATTTCTAAAGCGAAAGAAAAGGATCCAGAAGATCTGGAAGGAATGGCGTAAGTACAGAAAGGCGCCTTGGGTGAGTAGTTCAAAATATCTAGTTTTCCTCATATCCCAGGCTGAAAAACTTCTTAAAGAACTTGAAAGTATTCATCTATAAAAAAGACAATACTCAGTTATCTTACGCGTTTGGGGTTTAGTCCGTATATCACAGTCGATAAGTTAACTTTAACACAAAACTACAAGAGAATATGGCTAAAATGAATTCATGAGTAATGAAAAAAGTATTGCATGTTTTGATGAGCCCAAGTTCACGGCTGGGGTTCACGATAGAGGAAGTAGAGCAATAATAAGGGCTGAGAAAATGTATAAGAAAAAAATACCAAATCGATAAAGTGGGAGAAGGGAAGTATGATGATTTGGAGCTGTTTTCAGGCCGGTAGATTTAGATCTTAATATTTCTGTATGGAAACGTAAACCAAAACCAACATGCAAATATTTTTACTCAAAACTTCCTCTCTTAGTTCTAAACTTTTTCACTGAAATAGAACAAGATCTTCCTATTCCAAGAAGACAATTCTAGCTGGTATGCTAAGTCTTATTTAAGGTGGTGAAAAAACAATTATGAGATCCAGGGTTTTTACTAACGGTAAACTCAAAGCCCGGATCTTAACCTCGTTGAGTATCTCTGGTGGGCTCTCGAGAAAAATGAATTACGAGAGGGCTTGAATTCATTACGGTGATAATTTGAAGGTTTTAAAGTAGCGAGAGGGGAAGAGAATGAATAGGAATTGAGCTTGTATTATGCTTGGTAAACAGTATATAATATCAATGTCAAGCTGCAATTGATGACAAGGGAGGTTATACCTTATCTTGATATTTTCTTTTTTATATTTAAATAATGAACATACATATGATCCTGTCACTAAAATTCGAGAACTTTAGCTATTACTGCTGATAAGTAGTTGTATGTTAAATTTATCACGACTTTTATAATGGTTTTTTGTTTTAGCCTTGGATAGTGAAACCTTTTTTTTTGGTATGATTATATATTAATCATCATTTTTTCTTTAAGTACATAAACTGAAAGGTAAAACCCCGTACACAAATAACTTAAAAAGATCTTAAGCATAAAATTCATGAGGCACAGATACCTGTATTAAAGTTTATTTAACCGAAAGTCTGCATTAGATGTCTGTGTACTCTTACAATCGAAAATACACAGATATATATATATATTAAAGTTGATTCAGAATTTTAAATGAATTGTTTTTGCTTTGTTTATGAATGTTTTCTGCTACTGTTAAAAAAACAGTAATAAAGGTGGAGAGCAAGGATTTGTATTTGAATACACCATCACACACTGTTTCGATCAGTAATACAAAGTGCCTAGAGTTATGCCGCTTATTCCATGCAGGCTGAGTATGCCATGCGCTATTGGCGAGTATTATTTATTATATTCATTAAAAAAGGAGGTTCTGAAGTCATCCAAGCATCTATTACGAACGTGTTTATCGTAGGAGATGTTTACTTTATATGTCTTTCTTTTGCTAAATCACTTTTATAGCCTTTAATCTTATTTTATTTTATTTTTCTGTAAGCCGTCATTTCGGCATTAGGCTAAATTTTACAATAAGAATACTGCTCACCACCATTAAATTGTCTTAACATATGTGTGTTTCGATGTACTTTGCATTCTATGTACTTATCTGTTTAATACTAATTATTTTAAGAGTAACTTGCTTTCTCCTTTTAAGGCTCCCTACAGGCCTTTTTGTTAAGCTGTCATTATGATACCAACCGCAAAGATACACTCTCTATCTAAAGGAAACAAGTAAAGGAAGTTCGGCTGTCAAGTCATCTGGTTCAGCTTGGATTTCCTTACTTTGGTTGGCTGTCTTGAGTGCGACAGATTTTCTAGCTAGATATTTAGATAGTTGAGTGTGTATAAATACCTGCTCCTTAGCTTCAGTCTGGTTTTCTTATACATGCCGCCAATATCAATGGCACCATCTGCGGCAGTGGTGATAACACAAGGTGATATTGTATTGTCTGATCCTGCATTGCCTGAGAATCAGGGCAGACTACTTCGTGATTCAACCGTATATAACTACTATGTTCCGGCTATCCTGACGTTCATTTCTATTGTCTACTTGAGTGTTTATATCTACAAAACAATCCACTGGTACCGTATGAAACGCCGGAAACGGAAGCAACGACTAAACCGCTATCGAATCCATCAATACTGGAAAAAACGCATGATAGCTCTCCAAATCAACCAGTCCAATCTTCCTCCTCCAATCAAGTCCTCATTTGCACTACCTAGATCCCAATCTTCACCTTGTAAATCATTTTATACCAGCGATCCCGTCTCATGTTCTACACTTGGAGGCTTACAAAGACCCCATTCAATGCTCGGGACGATTACATCTGCTAATTCACTGCCTTCGCATATGACATCCTACCAGTTGGTCACTAGAGCCGATTCGATTCATATTCCTGCCCCAAGTGCATGTTCATTTGACGAAAAGGGAACTACTGCTACTGAACTTTCGCCTACATTCACTGCCCACACCAATTTTGACTGTAAATCAAAAAAACTAGCTCACAATGATCGGTCACAGTATCGGCACACTCCAAAAATATTCAAAGGAAAAGACGAGCGACAGATGGAGCTATGGAAGTGGGGTGTTTCGATGGGCTATTGTCACTATGCTCATGGAAAGCTCTTGAATGATTTGATTGCTGAACTTCAAAAGCGTGACCAAGAGACTGTCCTGACAGGGTCTATCGACGAAATGACTCCGAAAAATGAAATGAAATAAAGCAAATATAAATGAATATAAATGAATATAGAGCGATTATTTTACGGGTACTCGGGTTAATTAAAAGAAGTGAATAATCTCTTATTGTCTAATACACTGTAATTTCTACGGATCAAGCTTAATCTACTTAAATAGAATTTATTATTAAGGGATAATTGAATAATAAGGAGCTTTTATTATATGTGCCGTATTCTTATTTAGGGATAATGAAGTATTAATTCAACAGGTTGTTCGATTTTATGTGTGATGAAAGAGCTTGATATTAAATAAGTAAGTGGTATTTTAAAGTGAACAAATGCATATGTACTGTTGTTTATTCGAGCAAAATAAACAGCAGCAGCAGCAGTGGTTGTGGTTGTGGATATTATGATATTGTTGATGATTTGTTTAAAATACCCATATTTTCTATTTCTTTTTTTTATTACTATTTTTTATAATTTTTTCATGTAATCACAAAATCTTGCTTACTATCTTTTTTTAGTATTGTTGTCATAGATCATTGTTTTGCGCGTTTAGGTTCTGACAATAGCCAAGACATATTTCATCATATTGAAGCATTGACCATCTGCAGATGATCGTGCATTAACTACGCTCTGTGTTGTATTATTCAACCCCATGCTTCTTTGTCTGTGTTTCTTTATCTCTCTTTCTCTCTTTCTCGCTTTTTCTCTTTCGATATAAATCTTCTTATTTTTAATATTTATGTATTTATGCATTTATATATATATATATGTGTGTGTGTGTGTGTGTGCGCTTTTGTAGCATTTTTTTTGGTTTAAAAATAATATAGAGAAATGAAGAAGAAGAAGAAGAAAAGGAGAGTAAGTGAATGAATAAACAAGAATATAATTATATATAATTATATAAATATAAAGGACGAATGTTACATGAGTAATAGGTAAAAAGAATAAACAAAGGTAAAGAGGCAAATGAAGGCTATCTACTTAATCTACACAGAAGGGTGTCATGCCAAGATCATCTTACCGAGAAAGATGCCGAAGATGACCCACAACTTTTTTTTTATTTTATTTATTTATTTTTTATTTTTTTCAGTTTGGTATGGTTACCAAACATGATATGATGAAATGGACATGCGATGCATTGTAGCAGCCTCTTCGTCACGCAAGAGCTCTCCGGGGGAAGGTGGAACAAATGAAGAAGTATTGCTGCTATTAGCACTGTTAATATATGGAGCCGTGAATCGGGAAGGACTTCGGTAATATCCGGCTCTGTCTTCTTCTCGCTGTCGAGCCAGCGACATGAGGATAGGATCTGTACTGTCGTAGGTAGCGACTGGTTTTCTGGAGTTGGATTGGTGACTAGAGTATGAATACCCATCTTCAAACATTGTAGTCTGGTCTGTACGGTTATATTTCTTGGTTGCAGTAGGAACAAACGGCTTTGGGGGATGCTGTAGTATAGATGAAAAAACAAGGTCGTGGCAGGTGGGTGATGGCGGAGAAGTAGAACGACGCTTGTGTTTGAAGTTTTGTCGGAGACAGAAGAGCCAGGCAAGTGCAAAGAGTGCAATGACAGCGAGAATGGCGAAGACGATGAGGACAATGACAATGGGAGACAAATCAGGGGTAGCCTTATGGCTTTCGGTGGTAGTAGCTGGTGTTGGGTTCATTGGGATGCCATCGGAAGACACCTCTTAGCTTGGGAGTGCTGGGAGATAGAAAGGAATGGAAAGGTTGTATGTCTGTCACTAGAATGGAAGGAATTTTGAAGGATCTGCAACGTAATCACAACCAATATACGCAGCCGACCAAAACTCCTGACTTGACTGGTAAAGAACAGATCCTTGTTCCGAATACGCAGAAGAAGAACAAGAAGAACAAGAAGAAGAAAGATAAGAAGAAGAAGAAGAAGAAGGGAAGAAGAAGAAAAATATAGTCCCCTTAATCTCCATTCGTTAGATCATGCCCAAGGTCCTTTTCTCTCTCTTTCTTTTCTGATATATATATATATATGACTATTGAACACTCCGAGAAAGGATAATGAGGGGTTTAGTGGAGTAAAATGGAGTATGGTTGGCTAGGGCTTTGGTTTTGGTTTTGGTTTTGGTTTCAGTTTGGGGGAGAAGATGGAAAGGGGGGTCTCTCTAATCTCTATCTCTTTATCTTTATCTCTCTTGATCTCTCTCTCTCTCTCTTTATCTTTTGTTCTCGTTGTCCTTGTCTTGCTTTAGAATCAGCCCGAGATTTTGCGACAAGTATAGTGAGTTGAATATGGAGGTTGTTTATTGTGTGTAGAGATTAGAGCCAGCGTCGAAAAAAGCTATTGAGGCCCGTCTCCCTAATGCGCCATCGTTCTGTCTGATTCGTCAACCTCTCCAAGTGCTCTTCCCCCTCTTGCCTCTGTTCCACCGCCTGCGATGGGACCGGCTAACGAGTGTTTTTTTTTAATCCATGAGAAGATGTGTCACAACGAAGAAGCTCGCTTCAGCGTGCTGTGACATCGTGTCTGTTTACCTTACCCACCGCCTCTTCTTCCAAAGAGTCATCGTCCGGGTTTTCTCGCTCTTCTTCCATGTCCTCACTGTCTTCATCATCCACATAATTACTTGGTCGCATTCGAAGCCATTGCATTCTCGGTCCTGCTTGTGACTTTTCGTTCACACGGAATCCAAAGATACGGGGCTGGTATATGTGTCGCTTGGGAGCAGGAACCAGCTCAGGGTAAGCAAGAAAGAGGAGATGGTGATAGGTCGATCCAAAGTGAGCACCTAAAAATAATGCAAGGAATATTATATTATATTATTTTTCTTTTTTTTTCTTTTTTATTTAATAATTTATTTATTTATTTAAAAACAACAATAATAAAATTGTCACGGTAACTAATTAGTAACTATGGTAAAAAAGAAAAAAAAAGAAAAAAAAAATATGGAAAGGGAACCCTTACCATCTATACACTGATGTACCGAGCTCGGGGCACTGTAAAGATCCATGCAACGGGGGCAGTACATTCTGATACTCTCCTGTCCAGCCTCTTCAAAACGGCCGCAGGGCAGGATTGGGCAGCGTCCGCAGTACACGCGCGGACAAAACCCAAACTGTCCCGAAGCATAACGTTCTGCCATCAACCGTTGGCCGTTACGTGTGAGCAAGTATCGCTGGTGGATGAGTCCATAAAGCATCACTGCATAAGGCTCCACTAGTCTGGGCTCTACGCGGCCTTTTTGGTTGGTTTTCAAGCTTCCTTCTTTCCAGAACCCATCATTCTCATCCTCATCGTCTTTTAGGGTGGCGTCGTCTTTGGATTGTCCGTCATCGTCTGTGTATTCTTCTGGCTCAACATCCAGGATCATTTCCAATGCTTCATTGTAGTATGGCACGAGTGCCGATAGTCCGGTAAGATTAAAGTCGTCTTCGATAAAGTCCTCTGGCACTTCCGCATAAAACTCATGGCCCGACAGCGAGCAGAACCAACTAATCCAACTCTGAAGCGAACTGCTTGAATTCGTTACAGAGTCATCTTCTGGTTCTGATGAATCATTAGTATTCCGTTTGTAATTTTCATCTAGCTTACCAAACTTGAAATCGGCTCCATCGCCTGTGGTTGCCGCTGTCGAGAAAAACCTGTCCATGCCAGGCAAACTATCGTGGGAGATGGCAAAATCAGGGAAAATCAAAGATCCAAAGTGTGACTGATAGAAATGTGAGGTAGGTAGGTTCCATGAGAATGAGCACCGAACGGAGATTAAAATGAAACAACCAGACCAGAAAATAGGGTCCCTTTTTTTTCTTTTTCTCTTTCTATTCGGCCTTCTTTACAAACATATAATTATTATCTGTGATAACATCTTAGTACCTCTAGTTACTTAAGATGAGACTTGCTATTTTCTAGTGAAATTCATATCACTCTTATTAGACAATGTAGTAAGCTACTCTTAAAGCTTACAAGTTTTTAATATTTTTTATTTTATCTTTTCTACGGTTTTATATATATATACTATTTTAACTCCCGATGATATTGTCCATATTTGTATTGTACATTGCCAATTGTCAACAATTTACTTCCTTAAATAGCGAGTAGACACTAAACGCAGGATATGCTTCTTGCTCTTGTTTTCTTTTTTTTTTAGACTTGGTCCAAGCGCTCTTTCTTATAAAAATAAAAAAGGGAAAAGGTACAAATACAACTATAGATATAAAGAATACAGTCATTAGTAGTATTAACATTATGAGTTTCTTCGTTGTTTTATCAATAAATTAGAAATGTGAATATAAAAGATGTTCATCATGTTGTTAAATTTAATGAGCTAATGAAAAAAAAAATGCTATTGTATCTGTCTCATAAGCACATTTTTTTATTGGTGGAAATTTATGTCTGTGTTTGTAATTCAGCCGTAAAAAATATACACCTTTTAGTGATGTACAAATAAAGCTTGTTCGTTACCTAGGGAACAGATGAGCGGACTGTTTAGCGCGTTTCTTTTTTATTTTGTTCTTTTATTTATGACATTCTTTACTTGATATTCACTCATTCACTCTCACTAGCACATATGTACATAAATATATGCGTACACACAAATAGAAGAAGAGAGGAAGAGAAAAAAAAAAGAAAAACACGCGTGCATATAAGAAGCAAAATAGACTTTTTTTTTAAAAAAAAAAAAAGTTCGGAGTTGCTTAGCAACCATTTTCTAAGCGAACATAAAAACGATATCACAAGCCACTCGTACTACTTTAACTTGAATATGCAACAGTAAATGTAAAGCGGTAAAGCAAAATCAAATAGGTTTGCACAAGATTGACAGGAAAAGAACATATTGATGTGGTTTGGATCTCAAGAAACTTAATTTTAATATAGATATATGTATATGTGGGCTTATTATTATTATTAATTGTTTAAACTTTTCTCTTTAATTAATTTTAATAAAAAATAAAATAGTTGAATAAATGAATGAAAGGATAATTGGCTTTTATCATATATATATATATATGATTTGAACAAGTATACAAGCCATATATTACACGATCCCTTATGAAGCTTTTATTTTTTCTTTGTAATGCATCGGTAATATATATATTATATTAAATATACACATATTTTTTTGACACTCTGGTTTTGAACTTGGTAAATACAAGTTTTACCCAAACCCACGTAATAATTCCAAGGTAAAACAAGCAGATCTTTCTTTCTTTTTTTTTGGCTGTCTAAAGATTCCTTAAGATCCTTTTTTAGGGCAGCTAAAAGGAAAGGCGAATTTATATTTATATATAATACAATACGCAATATATATATATATCATGGTAAATGATATATAGAATGTGCTGGTATTAAGGAATCACGTCACAAAAAGGAACCCTTGGGAATATGCATGAATGTTCCAGCATTCTCCTGTATATATAGTACTATAACTTAATATTCAATTGCCGCACTGCCTAGTTCTCCGTTTAACGCTCGTCATGCTAGATACTTGTAGCCAACCAAATTCAATGGATTTTTCTTAAAATTTCTTTTACGTTCTTCATCAATGCGTATAAAAGGTGATACTGTGGGTGACTTATGTTCTTTACTTTTGTTTTTCTATTCTTTAACTCTTTCAAAGAAAACCTATAAACAAGAACTCTAATATGCCTAAAGCCGTCGGAATTGATCTTGGAACCACTTACTCCTGTGTTGGTGTCTGGCAAAACGATCGTGTAGAGATCATTGCCAATGACCAGGGTAACCGTACCACTCCCTCCTATGTTGCCTTTACAGACACAGAACGTCTTATTGGTGATGCTGCAAAGAATCAAGTAGCTGTAAGTATTCATTACATAGCATGTTATATTCTTTTAAACAGGAAGAAACATAGAAGAAGTGTAGCTTTTTTTTATATATATATTTTTGATTGATTTTGATTGACTGTGATTGACTTGACTGACGCGTCTATTTTTTTTAAAAAAAATTAGATGAACCCTTACAACACTGTGTTCGATGCCAAGCGTCTCATCGGTCGTCGCTTCACCGATTCCGAGGTCCAGTCTGACATGAAGCACTTTTCATACAAGATCATCAACAAGGACGACAAGCCCGCAATCCAAGTTGAATTCAAGGGTGAAACCAAGATCTTCACTCCCGAAGAAATTTCCTCCATGGTCCTCATCAAGATGAGAGAAACCGCCGAAGGTTACCTTGGCACCAAGGTCGACAGTGCTGTCATCACCGTCCCAGCCTACTTCAATGACTCTCAGCGTCAGGCCACCAAGGATTCTGGTGCCATTGCCGGTCTCAATGTCCTTCGTATCATCAACGAGCCGACCGCAGCCGCAATTGCCTATGGACTTGACAAGCAAACCAAGGGCGAGCACAATGTTCTCATCTTCGATCTTGGAGGTGGAACCTTTGATGTATCTCTGTTGACCATCGAAGACGGTATCTTTGAGGTCAAGGCCACTGCTGGTGACACCCACTTGGGTGGTGAGGACTTTGACAACCGTCTCGTTAACCACTTTGTTCAGGAGTTCAAGCGCAAGTACAAGAAGGATATCTCCGAAAATGCCCGTGCTGTCCGCCGTCTCCGTACTGCATGCGAGAGAGCAAAGCGTACTCTTTCTTCGTCTGCCCAGACCACCATCGAAATCGACTCTCTCTTTGAGGGCGTTGACTTCTACACCTCTCTCACCCGTGCTCGTTTCGAGGAGCTCAACCAGGATCTCTTCCGCACAACCATGGAGCCTGTTGAGAAGGTTCTTCGCGATGCCAAGATTGACAAGGGTTCAGTGAACGAGATTGTCCTTGTCGGTGGCTCAACCCGTATCCCCAAGATCCAGAAGATGGTCTCTGACTTTTTCAACGGAAAGGAGCCCTGCAAGTCCATCAACCCCGATGAGGCCGTTGCCTACGGTGCCGCTGTTCAGGCTGCAATTCTTACTGGTGACACCTCTGAGAAGACTGACTCTCTCCTGTTGCTCGATGTCGCACCCTTGTCACTCGGTATTGAGACCGCTGGTGGTGTCATGACTCCTCTCATCAAGCGTAACACAACTGTACCCACCAAGAAGTCTGAGATCTTCTCCACCTACGCTGATAACCAGCCTGGTGTGCTTATCCAGGTTTATGAGGGTGAGCGTGCACGCACCAAGGACAACAACTTGCTTGGCAAGTTCGAGCTGACCGGTATTCCTCCCGCTCCCCGTGGTGTACCTCAGGTCGAGGTTACCTTTGATGTTGATGCCAACGGTATTCTCAATGTCACTGCTCTTGACAAGACCACCGGAAAGTCAAACAAGATTACCATTACCAACGACAAGGGTCGCCTAACCAAGGAGGACATTGAACGCATGGTCAACGATGCCGAGAAGTACAAGGCCGAAGATGAGGCAGCCGCAGCCCGTATCGCAGCCCGAAACGGCCTTGAGTCCTATGCTTACAACCTCCGCAACACACTTGCTGAAGAGAAGGTTTCTAGCAAGCTTGAGCCCGCTGACAAGGAGACTCTTACAAAGGCTATTGACGAAGCTATTTCCTGGATGGACAACAGTGCCGAGGCCAGCAAGGAAGAGTATGAGTCTCGCCAGAAGGAACTTGAAGAGGTTGCCAACCCCATCATGACCAAGTTGTACGCAAGCACAGGTGGTGCTCCTGGCGGTGGAATGCCCGGAGGTGCTCCTGGTGGATTCCCTGGTGGTGCTCCTGGTGGTGGCGCCCCTGGTGCTGATGGACCTACTGTTGAAGAGGTCGACTAATTTAATATATACATTTTTATATATTTTATTTTCTACTCTCTTACTTTACTCCTATTCTATTCTACTTTATATTCTATTCTATCATTTCCTTTGCTCTCTTGCACACACACAAACAAACAAACAAAAAAAAGCCACTTCTTTACTCCCCTCCTTACCTACCTAACTTTCACTCTATCTCCTTTCCTCTTTTTTTTGCTTATCTCTCTATTAGTCCTAACCTCTTTTCCCGTTCCATCACATTTCGAACACCATGTTCCCTTAAAGAAATCTGCATTACTTTTGTATATTCCAATTGCAGATCTTCATTTGTTTAAAAAAAATAAAGCAATAAAAGCTATAATATTTGTTTATAAGAAAAATAATAATGTTATCGATGATAATTATGATGATTATAAAAGGCCAAGTTCCGTATTCCTTTAAAAAAAATCATTTTCTGTTGCACTAAAAAAAATAATCAAAATAATCATAGCAATGAAACACTCGTACAAGTAAATAAATAGATAAATAAATAAACGCCAGGTTTTTATTAGTGTTAGTATTGTTAGTGTTGTTAGTATTACTAGCATTTGCTTGTTTGATAACAAATCAAATAAATTCGAGGTAAATTTGATTCAATTCAGTTCAATCTTGTTGGTGTAAATTTATGGCAAGATATGTGCAGATAGACACAATAGAATATAATAGAATAAGAATACAAAAAAAAATGTACAAGGCCATGTTTCTCTTGGCGTTCGTGTAGCACAATAGAAACCTTGTTCTTCTTTTATTTCAATCAATTCACCAACTAAATAAAAATAATATATAAAATAGGAAAATACATTTCCCGGATACATTGGCTGCTTTAATACTATTTCCCTTGTTTGGCTTCCTTGAATTTTGTACTTTAGATCTTTATAATTTTTACCAAACAAACTAAAGAAATTGATATATTGATATATTGTATATAACATTGCTATTAACTTGAAACTTTTTTTTAATAAATAGATATCTTTTTTGCCTATTTTACCATTGTCCTTCCAATGTGCTTTCTTATCTCCTCAGCTTTGTAATTATTAGTAAGAGTCTTTACTAAAAGTCTCAGAGAAATCAATACTGATATTAATATTAATAGTGATATTAGTAATAAAAAAAAGGAAAAAAAAATAAAGTGAATTCTCAATATATATGTATATATATATATATCTTTAGGTCTGTCACTTAATTAATTAATAAGAATAATGATAGCTAAAATGTTGTAGTCCAATGAACAGCAATGGAGATTTCTCTCCTTCTCATTCTCTCTTTCATACGATCCTTTTAAAGAAATGAAAGGTAAAGAGATATATTGACAGATTCTAAATAAAAGTCATTTTTTGTATATATATAGAAAAAATGCCAAAAATACATCTTCCCCAACTTATCCTTTTGTTTTTTATATATATATATTTTAGTTTCTTTGTATTAATGACAATTTAACCCAAATATTGGTGACAAGATTAACTCGGTCATGTTCTGAAAATATTGTTGTAAATAGACAAAAACCCCCTTTTTAAAACCAAATATAGGTAAAGGAAGGAGGAATGGGAGACTGGGTGGTTTGTCTTTTGGTGCTCTCATTCAATTGCTGAGATAAAGCTTTTGTCACACCAAATCAGTGGAAACGAGTTTTTGGAACACTGTCAATGCAAACCCGATACACACACATATATCTGTATATCTATAATTGTAAACAATTGCTTAATTCTATAAACTATTTTATAGTTACAATAGGGAAATGGTAGCTATGTATTTTTGTAATAATGCAAATCATAAATAAAAAAAGTATCGCCATTATTGCCGTCATTGAAAATAAAACAAAAAAAAGCAAGAGAAACTAGATGAGGGAGATAGAGAAATAAATAAAGAAGTAACTAAAGTTGTATTTAGATAAATGCATTATGTATATGTGCTATTACATATACACCAAGTCAAAGCGGCTTTTATTCAAAAGTTTATCCAATTTTGATTATAAAAAACACATGGGTATTACTAAGATTGTAGCTCATCATCAGTAGAATCTTAATAAATTTGAACGGTAGAGATTTTATACACACACTATTTGACCACACAAAATAGTAGCGTGCCGTGTGTATTCTTTGAGCTCAGTTTGGTACTTATTATATTGGTCTTACACTATCTAATTTTCTAATAGCAGGCTTGGTAAGCACAAGACCTTTGTGTTTCTTTGAACCACTAAATACAAATACATATATATATATATATTAGGCGGAGAGTGTAAGACCATACCTATAAAATAAGCGTTATCTCAAACTTCCTTCATGTTTACTTTCTTTATATAGAGAAATAAGGAAGCTGATTGCACCGGTTATTATTACCCCCGAATCTGCCTAAATGAAAATATCTTATTAAACTTGTTAATTTTGTTAGGTTTGAAATATGAAGCGTACACACACACACACACACACACACACACAACATTAAACGCTCACTTGAAAGATATGTACAATAGATAAGCGTATACATGCAGAAAATCAGCAGTATCAATATCGGTAACAGTAACAAGAATATCAACTAATCGATATATATATATTAAAAGAATGTGTTAAAATAAGCCTTCAATTGAATAATATATATATATATATAATATTTAAAGCATGTATTTATCATTTTAATAATTGTCAATTATTATTTATGGTTTCACAGGTAGCACTCGGCGTTTCTCTTTTTCTTTCTTATTACTATTAAATCAACAAGCACAACAAATATATATATATTATTCAAGTTCTGGAATTCAAAGTTATTGGCATAGATTAGGTATTTACACATATACAATTTATGGTTATTGGCTGATTTAACCAAGAGAAAATTCTGTAAGAAATAGAAATACATAGTGTGCTTTTGGGGAAATAAAACAGCTCATTTATCTTCAAGATTATGTATTATATATCTGTATGTATATATATTAAATTAAAATTCAAATAAATTTACTACTATTGCTACTGTTGCTACTGTTGCAAGTATTGTTATTATTTAAACTATTTAAGATTTTTGTTCTTGTTGTTGGTGTTCTTGTTCTTGTTAATTATGTTTTGTATTAGGTGTCGGAAACAGAGCATGAAAGATAAGGTAGAGGGGGGCATAGTATTCCGGTTTGTTTTCGGTATTCTCGTTGATTGTAACGGTTTATAGAATTGAGCTTTTTTAGATTACTGGATTTGATCTTGCACAACGCCCGCACTGTGAGTTCGCGTCTTCTAGAGCCCGATGGCAGGTTGGGCAGCTGGGCCGGCATTCTGGACACTCCCAGCCTGGTGAGAGAAGCCTTCCACATCCACAGACAGCTCGGGTGTCAGAAGGCGGTATTGAGTCTGAGGAAAATACACTCGACTCTGTCGTCTTTGTACTTGGTGCTCTATTTCGACCTGTGGATCGGCGGTGTAATCCGAATACTCGGGCAGAAGAACGAAACAAGGACACTACAACGTCTTTTAACGTCCGCATCTTTGGCACCTTTGGCACCTTTGGTATTTTTGGCATTCTTTTGTTTTTTTTTGTTTTTATGTATTTGTATTGATATATATCTCTCTCTCTTTCTCTGTGCGTATACTTCTTTATTTATTTATTTATTCAGCTATTTTTATATTATATTATTTATGTGGGTGTGTGGTATTACTGTCGCGTTTCATAGATCGGGTTTTGCTTTGCGTATATATCGTGAAGAATTTACTTGGTGGTTAACTCTTGAAGTTTCGGATACTTGAAATATGCGTTTCAATATATGTATGTGTAAATTTAAAAAAAAATGCAAAGATGCTCTTGTTTCTTTTCTTTACAAGTAATTTTTCGAATGATGCTTTTTCTTGGTGGGATACAAAGATGAAAAGAAGGGAAACAAAAGTAAGTTAAGCAAGAAACGTGGCTGTTTTAAAGACTTTTTTTCTAAAAAAAAAATCTGACCCCCAAACGAGAAACACTGTAATATATACACAGAAACAGACACAGACACAGACATATAGAGAATGAAAGACCAAAACCCCCAATCCCCCCCCCCCCCCCCCAATCCCCATCACTTTCTTGTTCTCTATTCCTGCTTATAATTGAAAGACATATCTGCCGGGCAAACTTTGGCTTCAGAGACTTGTTCTTTTTAGAAGCCCTGTATTTCTTTTCTTTAGATTATAAGAAGTTATATTGTCAAGCTGTGTGTGTGTGTGTGTATATATATATTCATGTGAAATAATAGTAATAATAATAATAGTAGTAATACTAGTGATAAAGAGACAAGTGCGTAACTTATCTATTAATTTACATGAGATTTTTTTTAGATCTGAAT